GGGGGGGGGGTGGGGGGGGGGGGGGTAATACTATAGAAAGGATACAATGTATTGTACACATAATCAGGAATTATTCAATCCTGTGTCACTAATACAAAAACTATGAGGTTCCACTTGACAACAAACTAATCAAGTTGCATCCAGATATCAAAAACATTAATTGTGATTTGTGAACTGAAATTTAAAAGCACATGAGCTCGTTTGAATTAATTACTTAATGCGAGTTGTTACTATATTACCAAATGAACATTCCTAACATGTCACATGTTGGCCAAATACAAAAAAGGAAACAAGATTGATTAAGAAAAAGAATAAACAAATGTTTTCATATAAAGAAATAATCTACAGTACCTACCCTATAGTCTATCTCCAAGAATCAACTGTTATTCATATGCCCTAGCATCAAGCTGTCAATTCAGTGCACACTCAGAAAAGATTCTGGCATCGTGGCTGCTACCAGTCCAGGCCACCTTGCAACGATACTAGTTATTTTCCCAGCATAATCACAGACAACCTGTCAATATGAAATAACATGTTGGCATTCATTAGTTATGAAAACTCACTCATTTCACACTTCAGATAGGCCGTGAAATGTATAAATTTCACTTGTTATTTATGGTAATTAATGCAAATGCAGTTGAATATGTGATAATTGCTTTTCAATATCTATTCATACAACAAAAATTGGAAGAAAATTCTAATTACCCTATATTTATTGACTGATGAAGTATTTCTTCATTTTTAACTCATGTTTTCATTGTTTATCTTGTAACAATGTAAACAAAAATAATCTCACTTTTAACAAAACATTTCGAGCCTAAAACAACAAATGCTTTGTTTGTGTGTGGGGGGGGGGGGGGGGGGGGGGAGGGGGTACCCACTCTCGCATCTTTTTATTGGAAATGAACCTGTTTGTTTTTCTATAGTTTAAAATATATAGTGGTAATTGCCATTGATCAATTTACATGCTTCTCTTTGTTGTTTTTTCTTTCATTGATCAATGGCAAATTAACAGTGGCCCAATTGCCATGGCCATCAACAAAATATCAGAAATCTAGAGGTCATATCCGTATTGCCAATAGAAGGATGGAACAAGTTTTGATTTTTCAAATTTCCCTTTCGTTAAAAAGATATTAACGAGTGTTAGGATTTTTAAGTTTAACTATCCATTGGATATCCTTAACTGTGTACAAAGGCAGTGAAATGAGTACCTGTACGCGAATATTACTTTAATATCCATTTGGCCACTAGAAATCTTGCATTGGTCACCAATGAATTAGCATGGATGTACAACACACAAGACTGGAGAGTGTATATATCTAATGTGAAAATTTTGCAAGGTACAAAAAAAAAGGTCTAAAGGGAAAGCCGTGCTGGATCCAGTCATGATGTATTCATTTATTCTCACCTGAACATCGATGGAGTACCTGTTCTTCCTATTGAAGTAGTACCTGGCTCTTGCCCCACCAGGGCTCCTGATGTAAACATGTGTCCCATCAACAGCAACTCCTGGAAATCTGCAGTACTGGAAAAACTGCTTCTGAATAGTAGTCACTATTGCCTTGTAACTTGTAGGAAACTTCATGACTTGTCCCTTTCTTCTGACAACAGCTTCGGAAACATCCCTCACTCACTACTCTCCATTCGGCAAACAGATGAATATGACACGGCATGCCACCTCCTCACGGTGCATCCTTTAGATCGAATTACCTTTTTAAAAAAATTAAAAAAACAAGCATTCAAATAAATCATTTTTTTGCTGGTTTATGCTATTATATTTTTACAGCATCCCCAACTGTCACTGTCACTTTACAAAAAAAAAATCCTGATTTCTAGATGTGGTGTGAATCAATTTAACGTAAAAGACAAAATTGTCTATGCCTTTTCTAATCTTCATTACGGCTTCACCTTTTGAAAAATAAGTTTAAGTAGTTAAGTAGTTTTACACAAAACAAGAAATCACAAACCTGTTTCCAACACATAATCTGAATAATTTCCTCATGTATTAAAGCCAAATAACAGTATTGGGAAATGCCCCACACACAAATTATGAACATTAATGCTCCCATCACCTACAGTACCATGTAAAAGAATAAATATCATGACTAATCTATCAATGTATCGAATATGACAGAAAATGCTTAGAAATTGAATAAATTTATGTAAATGCACATGTGTATTGCATTGGGGGCTTGCACGGTCGTAGGCAGACCAGCGAAGCGGGGCAAACGAACAGTGAATTTAGGCGGTCAACATGAATTGAAATATTTCTGCATTTTAATAACGACACTAGTCTAGGGTTGGATTTTACAACAGAAGCCCTTTTTTTGTATAGCTATGTTAACAATATTCAATATTCATCAAGTAGTTTGGCCATGTTTTCAGCAACTTTCCCAATACAGAATTTGAATTCAAAGTAGCCTACCTCAATCTAAAACAAAAGGCTCATCATCCAGCGGGTTTTTCCAATCTCAGACTCAGAGGCCTCTGCCCGGTTGTGCTGCTATATATTGCTCCAGCTCCTCCTTCAGGTACACCAGCTCATTATGCTGAATCAGCTGCATTTCTACCATCTTTATTAGAGTGAAGATAAAATTAAACAAATGTTTAAACAATGTTTTTAAATTAAAGAAATGTTATTACTTGTGCTTGTGACTTTGTGGGTGATCCTTGCTCTGGAGACTAAGCCAGTTAATTAAGACAATCAGAACCAGATCTAAATTTAATAAAACTAAGCTTTGCTTGTCACGACTCATAGTCATAGACAGAAATAACTGTCTGAGTGATATGGGTCATTTCTTTAATAAAAATAATATTAAAACTGACATTTGTTGACATTCTATAATCGGAGGTCTAGTGGAGCCAGGCGTAGTCTCAGTGAACAACCGGCGATATAGAGAGACTGAAGCTTTTGGTCCATGCCTGTCAGTGTGATTCATTTTGGGGAACATTGGCATTGCTGATGCCATTTTAATTTCTATTTATTTAGGTACCAGTGTCAGTGAAACAAGTCAAGTGATGGACATCATTGCCAGGCCTATACTACTTTTACTAGGCTAGAGCCTGGTATTATTATCATTATCATGAATTTGTAATAACTAGTGTAGGTCTAGGCCTATTCTAATAGGCATGTGTCATGGCATTGCTGACAACAAGACGAAATTAAACATGACAGTCATAGATCTACTGACATACTCAGATATAGCCTACTGTAGGCCCGGCTAGGCCCAACTCCAGCCCAGGGTCAGAGGGTGCGAGCTCCCCCGCCGCCTTGGGCGTTGGACTCGAGCTCCCTCGGACTCAGTCCCTGAACTCTGGAATTGAGAGGCCGTCGGATATGTAAACACCGAACATTTCATGGAAAATGGAAAGTTATAAAGCATATCACATATTGAAGTCTCAGTAACGTGAAGAGTATGGATTCGACTACATGTACAGGTTTTATACTTACGATTTTAAGGAAAGGATCGAGAGATTGAGAGATTTCAATTGCACTAAAATCGGGCTGACCAGATACTATCGCAGATTGTTTAGGCGGTGAATTATTTGGATAAAATCAATCGAGCATAAATTATCTCCACCCAGTGCTGCATCCTGATTGGTTGATAGCTCTCAAACCAGGTTTGAGAAATTACAAACCTCCTATCTGAGCAGTCTGTAAATTTCGGGTCTGATGACGTACATAAACCTGGTCTGAGGACAAACCTTGCTTTGTGAAATGTAATTTCAGACCAAGGTCTGAACTCAAACCTGAAACGCGTCATATGACGTACATAAACCTTGGTCTGAGGACAAACCGGCTTTGTGAAATGCATTTCAGACCAAGGTCTGAACCAAGGTCTAAAACGCGTCATATGACGTACGTAAACCTTGGTCTGAGCTCAAACCTTGCTTTGTGAATTCGGGCCTGTGAGTGCGACTTGCGCGAGTTCGAATGCTGAATGAAAAAGGTCTGACATTGGCCGAAATCTTATACACATCACAGTTTGAACATTTAGTTTTGTTCCATTGGTATTTGGATTGTTTTCAGATTCTACATCTAATTACATTTGATGTGAGTTTCTTTCTTTCCTATTTTAATAAATAAAAAATACATTGCACTACTACAAGGAACAACAGATATCACAAACTTTCAAGCAGAGCAACGATGAAACTTTGAAACTGAATATCCTTAAAATTCATTACGAATAGACCCTACAAATTAAAACAACCCCCTCTCCAAAAAATAAGAGAGAAAACATCAAAATTAGAGTCAAATTTCGTCTCTAAAGAAATTTGTTATGTACCTTTCATTTTAGTAATGTTCGAGATATATAGAGACTTTTCCTTTCTCAATTAAAAAAAAAAATCAATTATTTTTATAATTTTTCAAACGTCAATGGAAAACAAAACTATAGACTATGCTTCTGAATTTGTTTTGATGAGTACCTTATAACTGTTGATGAATTCTACAACTATTTCCCAACAGGGCAACTTCTAGTATTTATAGTAAAGTGAACATGAGATGCCATGAGACGCGCCTGAATAATGTGCCCCTCCCCCTTTATACTGGTTATAATGCCCACACGAAGAAAGTTACTAACAGGCCCTGCCCAGAACGAACTTTTGCAATCTTTAATTTTTTACCCCCATTTTGACCTACTTAAATGATCCAATTTTATCTCATTTTATTCACCATTACATATAGTTTGTTGAACAAATCTTATGAAGCTTAATTCATTGTAACTTGCATTCAACTCATCACCAGAAATGATCAGTCATAAAAGCCTGATAATGATTTATGGATGTTACAAAAATAATGTTTAATTGTTATGAAGAATGGTTTCGGTTTTTACGATTTTACTACAAAATCAGCTGGTTCGGAAACACCGAGGAGAGTCGGGCGTTTGTGGGCGTGGGAATTATCAGTGATAAATAAATCATTCAGCCAATCGGAGCTGAACAAAGGTCTGGCCTGTCCTATCTAATTTAAATACACCAATCAATTGGCTTCCCGCTTCGCGTCCCTCTATGACCGTTACGCCTGCGCAACTTTGAGCGTAATTTGAATAATTCCTGTATACAACAAGAACCGTCACTCGTAACTGTCAACTTTTTTTCCCGTATTTTATCGGATACAGTATACTATAGGTAAGACTGAATACATTATTAACACATTACTCTCTCAACAATGTTTTATTATTATTATTTTGTTAAAACCTTTCACTGTAAATGAGTTTCAACAAAGATATATGTTAAAAATATTACCTCTATTTTCTTCGTTCTGCTCCGAAACATCAGGGACTTTTATTGTTCACTCATCGCCGAGTGTTCTGTTCACGGGAAACCGTCGGGGGGAATGCTCCTCCCGAATCGTACTCCTACTCCTAGATCTCGTTTAGTAATTAGTAGTCTAGTAGCTTGTCTTGTAGTGCCATAATTTAATATAATTTGAAAATTCTTTCTCTAAGATTAAAATGGTGAGCAAAAGAAATATTGAATGAGCTAGGCCTACAACTTAAATGCAAAATTGCTAAGAAATGGGGAAGCATGACCTTGGTCCTAGATCAAGTCCTTGCGATGTTTTTCTGAGCTGAGCTGAGGCGCTGTGTGTGTCGGTGATCAGAATCGAATGCGGCGTGCTGGTTTTTGTGCTGTGTCGATATGTCTGATAATATCTCTGTTACTTTTTAGTGTTGGTGTGTTGCGGTTCTGGTAGAAACAGATGAAGAAATAATGCTGATAATTGTGGAAGGTTATAAATCCTGAAAAGGTGAACATTTCATGTCAACTATTTTATAATTTCATCTGTTTAGACTAGAGTCTAGAGACTCTAGTTACTTTAGCTTTAGAAAAAGTGGGAGATCCAGGTGAGGGCCGAAGCAGCTGTGGTAAATGACGGCCAAAGGGGAAAGAGAGAGAGAGTGACGGTAGAACTAGAAGGTCTAGATCTAGGCTACAATAATTTAACAAAAATTGCTAGAGACGAGTCTACTCTGAGTAACGGGTAGATCTAGATAGGGTGGAAACCAAATCCCATCGCAAGTTATGCGTATTGCCTGCATCAGCATCTAAAGCATCGGCTGATCGTTGGGGGGGGGGGGGCCGGGGCGGCAAAGCAGACATTGCCCTCCTTTTATTTGGCAGTTTAAAAAAATGGAAATGGGAGCAAATGAGAAAGGAAATAGAAAATAATGTATAAAAGAACAAGATAGAGAGGATGGCGAAAAAAGGAGAGAGAGAAAGAAAAAAAAGAAAAAACATGAAACTAAAATTTACACGTAAAGATTACATTTCTGATGAGTGAGTTTGACATGTGCCTAAGAAGACTGCGGACGAAAGTACAATACGGGAAAAAAGTTCCATAAAACTAAAAGAGAGGTTAATTTCAAAATAAATAAAAGTGACATCAAAGGAAGAAATTACAATTTCTATTGCTCGTGAAGGCTATTTTGAATTTTCTAAATTTTTTGAAAAATTAAAGAACTTCCTGGGGCTCTGCTCACTAGACTTCTGGCAAAGGCTCCCCGCCGCACCCCACTAGTAAAGATATAAGGGTTCCCAAGACAACCTTTTGTAATTGTATACAACTTTCCTTACAACTGTCTGGTGCCTCTAGATCACTGTAGCGAAGAAATGTAACAATACATAGCCAGAGTCCCTGTGCAGTTAAGGATCAATCCTTTTTATAATCCAGATGGATAACTCAATAATGTGTGCCTCATCCCATTGAATATTGTTTCCATGAGATGGAATGTTCAATCTGAAGGCATTTTGTGCTTTTTGAAAAGAGCATACAATTTTCAGGGGATGGGTTAGAGTTTTTACAGGGTTTTTAGGGTCTTAACAGCTGGAAGTTTTTTTAAACCAAAATCCTGCTGTCCTTTTTGCCTGTAGATTGAACGAAATTACATGTAGTGATTTGGTTTTAATCTAGGTCCAGATATTACAGTCAATCTACACATGTACATGTGGAATGATATAATTTGTGGCCTTTAATAATAAATATCTATTGATGGCAAACTTAGCAAAGTACATGAAATGCAAGGCACAATATTGTAGAAAATAAAAATCCCATTCTCATGTCATCATGGGAGCATCATCTCAAAATTCTCAATTACAGGTGTAGGGAAGATTACTTTGTTTCTTTAAAAAAATGTATTATCATCTATTTATTGTTTACTTTTTGCTTTGGAGAATTCTTTAATCATTTGAAAAGAAAACTGTGTCTCCAGATCAAAGTAGTTTTGGCCTGGTACTGGAACATTCTTCTCATTGATGGTACCAAGACTTTGAAATCTTATCAAATCATGAAAATAATTAAGGGGTTTTCTTTTGTCTTGTTGATAAGAGCTAAACCTGAGCAAGCAACTAAACAAGGAGTGGAACGTACATACATGTATCTACTTATTAACCACTCATACAGTACAGTAGGACCTGTTATTTAAACTTGCTCATTTCCTGCCCTCTTTCTCCCTTGCCACAAATGAATTTGTTTGTATAGGAGATTTTTACCTTTCTCATATTTGACATCATCCAGACCCCCTTAGCCACTCTGTTAACACCTGCAAGAGATTGTGTAAATTTGCACTATCTACTCACTCCTCAATGGGTGTGGTTTGATGGGGGAGGAATCAATGTCAGTCTAAGGATTAGAGAGTACCATATTTTTTAAGCAAGTGGATTACATGATTCAATCAAGGCTGCCAGTCACAAGTTCATCCTAACATAATGCGTCAGTAGAAACAGTATCTGACAATTTATACCAAATCTGAATATCTCGGCATGTAAGAAAATGCAAAATGTACAAATTGTGTAGGACAGGTGCATATTGCTGTCTTATTTCCCTTTTGTGAATGAACAGTGATTTTATATTCTAAAGAGGGTTAACAAAATTTAATAAAATTAAAAATGGATTAAAAAAGATTCTTAGTCTTGCAAAGTCTGATGACATTCTGTATTTTGTTTTAATACTTTAAAACTAGTAACTTTTATCCGTTAATAACGTTCAGAATTTTATGAAGTTTCTGGTTTTACAATAGTACAATGATAGCTCTTCTATTTAGTGAGACTTTATATAGGAAGTACCATTTTTGTTGTTTCAGGAGCTGAAGTGAGCACACGTACACCATGCCCAGTACAACAAGCTTTGGAGATGGTGATGCTGTCATGTCCAGGTGGCCAGGCAGCACCTTATGGTTCAAATCCAAGATTCTTCGTGTAAGCGAGGATGGATACAAAGTGCAGTTTGAAGATGGCACCGAGGAAGAGATCCCATTGACAGATGTGAAGGTAAGAAACTAGTATGAAGTTTTATTTTATTTGTTCTTCTTTTGTTCTTGAAGGTACTTGAATCCATTTGCATTTAATTATAACCCACAAACATTTTGTAAATTTCTGAACTAGAGAATAACAGATCAGTTCAAAAATTGTCACTGTTAGATATATTTCATTACATTTTAAAGTGCTACACACAAAAAAAAATATATATTGATGAATTTCATGATTCAATTTCAACATCAGATTCATTCAGATGGCTGTAGTATACATGTACAGACTAACATAGATAAACTGGGGGGTTTATCATTGCAATAATTACAATTCCACCTTGTTTCTCTTTCAGTCGGAATCCTACTTCACCAGATCAAGGTCGCGTTCAAGGTCAAGGTCACCAGGCAGAAGAAGATCTCGGTCACCAGCACGCAAATCATCCCCTGCCCGAACACAGCAGTCTAGGAAGCCTAGAAGTCCAGGAAGGAAGCCTGCAGCAGTAAAGAAAGAAGTGGTTGAAACACCAGTATCAAGAACACAGGAGAAGAGGACTGAATCAAAACTCATCTCAAGGGTGAGATTTGTATTTGTTTTTACTTTATTGCACATTCAGATTGTAGTTGAAAGGAATGGGTAGCATGGTCATATGTGACTAGTCTTCAGTGGAATTTCAAATTTGCCACTGTATGATATAAACTTTTTTTTAATAATTTTTTTTTAGAAAGGATCACTGTGATTGTCATGCCAAGCTTGCCAGCTGTAATATGTCGACTTATAAATATTATGCATTTACACTGTCATAATGATTTTTGTTAATGTGAAGATAACATTTAATGGAAACAAATTGGCAACTTAGCCTTGAAGCTGCCAAACAAGATGAATACATGTAGTTAAGTAAAATTTGCAGGTATATTACTGTAGTGACATCATTTCCTCAGCATTGATTAAAGGGTAATCCAACCCTTATCTTGCTTAGGAGTCTAGACTTTAATCATGAAACATTATATTCAAAACTTGTTTATGTGTTTGAGCAATTGGGAGAGTGTTCTAACATAATTTACTTCATGGTGATATTACTAATCGCCACTTTGAAATTCCCATACGTGTACACTTGATGTTTGTGAAGTGATTATGATATCAAATTTCACAAATTCACCAGAGCAGCTTGCCGTGTGTGTTTGTATTTTCCTCTAAGTGTATGGACCGAATGGAATACATGGGGTCACTGGGGTGAGAGAGAGGTGTGTGCAGTGTTGCACATTTTGCTCTGTTTTTCAAATTACTGTTGATTCCTCCAGCCCAGGTAATGTTTTATTCCAGTCAGTGAGAGGGAAGTGTAAGTTTATCAAATGACAAGCACTGAGTACCTATGTGTTACTGCGGTCTTAGAAAAAATGTCTCTAGGCCCAATAAAGAATTATTTCCTTGTTATTACAGGCGCAGGCTAGAGCGCAATTAAAACCTTGAAAATTCAATTGAATTCATAACGGCTAGCAAGGTCCTGTTCGAAAAAAGGAGCAAAATTCATCAAAAATTTGACTTTGCGTATATCTCCCTTATTTTAGCACCAAAGATCATGAAAATTTCAGAGCACATACAGATTGATATTATTCTTTAAAAAAATTTCATTTAAAGGATAAGTCCACTCGAAAAATAACTTACTTTCAATAAAAGCAAAAAAATCAGACAAACCCATCAAGAAAAGTTTGAGCAAAATCGGATAACTAATAAGAAAGTTATGAATTTTTGAAAAAGTATGTAAAAATATGGAACAATGAGATTCACAACACAAATTGCCAAGATGAATATCAGTTGGTGACGTCATGTCCTCACAACTTATCAATTGCTTTATTTAGTCTAATCCCATTAATTTCCCTTTTATTCCCCAAAACTTGATTTCCTCATGTCTTTGCCCTGGTTATATGATTTGTATCATATTGCGTGCATGACATTTCCTAAAAACTTTTATGAATTTTGAAGAATTGATACTATTGTCTGAATATTGTATTTCATAATAATTGATTTTTATATAAATAGTTTATCAAAATTTATTTTTTCATGATTTAACTGGACATAAATTACTCTTTATTTGTGCATCCACACAGAAGAATATTACTAACAATCTAACTTGGATGCTGGAGTGAAGAAATAAGAATCTAAGGGTGAAAATAGGAAATTTATATAATTAATATAAAGAAAATAATTAGTGGATAGTGAGGACCATACGTCACAGATTCATGAGTGCGTTGCCAATTTGTATAGTGATTTTCAAAGTTTTTCATGTCATTAAAAGTTCATAACTTTCTTATTAGTTATCCGATTTTGCTCAAACTTGTTTTGATTGGTTTTTCTGATTTCTCTGGTTCTATTGAAAGTAAGTTATTTTTGGAGTGGACTTAGGCTTTAAGACTGTTAGATGTTATTAAAGATATAGGCATTTTTCTGTTTCAGAGGTGGGACATGAAATTGTGAAATAATATTCAGAGGAGAGCTTTAATATACTTTGATTTATCACATACAAAAGTATCGATCTGGCGTAATGAAGAAAAAATGGCACTTTGTTTCGCTCATTTTTCACATATTAAAACAGGGTTTGGCAATATTTAGCCGAGACCCTTCGTAGAGGTTTACATGTAGCATGAACAAGCTCTTTACTACTTTATGCAAAATAGAGGCTTCAAGGACAAAAGCTTTTACACCTTAATTGTACCCGTGCCTGATTAAATCCATATTTTATTATTTCACATCAGCCTAGTTCATTGAAGTTTATTTCATTTGAAAATTACAGTCATACGTGTACAAACACACTCTATTTGTTTCCTAAAGATAATGGCTTGAACATGTGGACTTTACCTTTCTATCTACGATCTTTTTTTAAGCTGCATAACTCAGGTGCATGGCAAAATCATCACTTTCTAGAAACAATTAAATTAAGGCATGTTGAAAGATTATTTTGAAAATTGTTCAATGCACATGTGTGTTGCTCTATCTCTCTTTGTCTCTCTCTCCCTCCCTCTCTCTCTCTCTCTCTCTCTCTCCCTCCCTAGCTCTCACTGCCTTTCTCTGATTCTGTATGTATGTAGCATTGGTATAGCAGCAGGATGTGTAATTAGTAAAACAGACAAAATTTAGTGATTGTCCGGGAAAATATCTGAAATGCTGACAGACCTCATTACATGTAATTTACCAGTTACCTTTTAACTTAAGACAAGGCTTGAGTACGGTATGTAAACTGCATGCCTTTTCTGTAGTCACTTAATTTTACTCAACATGTATAATATCTGGAAGGTACAACTTACAAAAGTTATTATTTATACCCCCCCCCCCCCCCCCCCACCCCTTATACAAAAACTGGAGGGGCCGGGTGGGGCAGCAGGTGACATATATTCTTTAGAGAGAGAAAGAGAAGAAGGAGAGGTTAGTATTATGTCAGGTTTTGTTGTTTACTGTATGTAACTATGTATTACACAAATGAACGTACATTTAAAAGACAGACTATGATACTGGTACACTGACTGTGCCTAAAAGTACTCACAATCTCATGTGTGTGTACGTAAATGTTCAGATTTTTTTTTTTGGTGAGGGGGGAGGGGGGGGGGGAGATCTCTATCTCTCCTTTTTTTCTTTTCATCTCTTTTCCTCTTCTTTTTAATAAACAGTATAAAGTGTTAATTTCAGTCTTTAAAGTATAATAAATAAACACAGTTAAGTAACAATCCAGTAGGTAAAAGTAAGTGAAAATATATTAACATATGGCAGGAAAGCTGTTGCAATGGTTATTATACAACTCACTCCCAGATCCTAATCAAATGATTGGTCATGCAAAAGGATTGCAATATTTTCCAGTACTATTGAACTCGTTTTCAGAGCGCGCAATAGTGCGCGTAGAGGTTAGAGCGCTTAATACTGCGTGTACATGGGCATATTCTTGCGCAGCACTATGAGTAAATAGATTCCGAGGTAAGTGCGCTTGCTATCTATCTATATTGTGTGCGCACTAAATTGAGACTTATTAAAACATGAGATTTATTTGTCAGCCATATACTGTCACGAAACAATCTTGAATTAATTCTTTTTACATCAAATAACAAGGATCTAGGAGTTTCGTTGTATAAAACAAATGATGCATGTTTTCATTCGTTTATTATACGATCTATATCCGCCATCGTTGATGCTATGTGTATCTATCGCACTCAGCCTATAACGGCTTCGTGCGATAGATACACACAGCCTCAACTCAAGTGCGGATAGATCGTATAATGAACTCATGCGCATGCATATCATTTGTATACTATTAGCACAAAATCACAAATGAAGATGCAAGTTGCAATATTCCATAGATTCATTGCTTATAATATATGTATTGCATTTTTTTAGAATTTGATTGACTCTTTGACTCCCTCTCAGGATATGAGAGTATAAACAAACATAAAAGTAGATAACAACAATGCATGACTTATGAATATACATACTAGGTGTAACATAGCATAAATAGGAGCTGTTTTTTTTTTGCTTAAGTAGCAGAGTGATATCTGCATGTACTGTATGTACAGTACAGCCATATGGTTTCTCACTAGACTCTGATGACATAAGGTCAGAGTACAGTTGTGTAATATATCACCAGTGTGAACACACCATATCAAATCAATCACCTGATGTGCGCACAGTCATGCATAACAATGATTTGCATACATTACTTAACATGTGCAGAGTATCTTGATAGTATGAGGTCATGTCATTTATGTAAAGCCACAGGGTCAATTCTATTCTAGATGCTGCCTACTGCTGTGTTGGGTGTGCTATTAAACGCTTACTAAATTTCACCTGGAACAATCTTAAGATTCCAGAGCAATTGCTAATTATAATGCTAGGTCCATGATTGTACATACAGAATAGCTTAAATATAGTCACCATACATCTACTGCTGCAGTATTGCTCAGTTTGACCAGTTGATCGATTGGACCTGCTCTAGGGTGTGCTCTATGATGCATTGAGGCATAACATTTGACAGTTTCTTTATTATAAAGTCTGGTAAGTGTTGAGAGACATATTAGTTTGATAATATTTCATAGTTGACTATATATTTGCACTAGAGCTTATTGATAGAATGGACTTCTTTATAGAAACGAGACTAATTATTTATAACATTTGGTTACTGGTTTTGCATTTCAATATAAAGGTTATAGGTAGTCTTGTATTTGGGAGTCCATCGAAAAGAGCTAGAAAGGTAAATTTCTTGAAGTGGAAAAGTTGTTTATGTGTTGAGACTTTCAGGAGTTTTCATTACTAACAACAGTATGCCTTTTAGTTTACATTGCTCTTTTTTATCTATTCTATTTCACATTATTTTTTTTGTTTTTATATAGAACACAATGCCTTTGTTTTTCAGTTTAAAGGTGTTTTATTTTCTTTGTTTTTTTACTATCTTTGTTTCCCCATTTTAATTTTACAATAACCCTCTTTTTCTTCCATCAGGAGTTTTTTTTTTTTATGTTCATGGTTTTATGTTTCCTTATGTATTGTGCTATTTGCAAATTTGCAGTGAATTATTTTATGCAGTTTTGATATTCAACATATTTTATGCAGTTATAATATTTGAGCTATTTTATGTGAGTTCACTGCATACCACTACATGTATATGGATTGCTCTTCCCTAGTTTTCTTGACCCAACAAATCTATAAATAAAACATGAAGTTATTATATTTGACTTGAGTGATTAGGTGTATTAGTCAACACTTGACAATGGCATGGACTAAATATTTTTGTGATTCATAATCTGTCATACAAGCGATCAGAATTTAGCACATGAAAAAACAAACATTGTTAAGTTTTTATTAAGCACAAAATCGATCCAAAGTAAAAATGTGTAGAAAGATCACCAAGGAATCCTGCTCATGATATGTACATGTAAATGTAGTGTAATTGGAATTTCTGTAAAATATTATTGAAGATCAGTGAATCGTTTCTTTTTTTTAGATTACCATAAATCGACTAGAAATATAAAAGGCAAAATTCTCCTCAGAAAGAAAAACAAAATCTAAATGATACCCTCTGTCTAAAATAATTCTGAAATAGTATGGGATTGTACATCTTTAGGGTATGCAGTCATAGAAGACCTTGGATTACATGGAAAACATAAATGATACCTCCAATTTTTGCATCATGACTGAGTTTTGTGACACCTGAGTTGCAGTGATGTTATGTTTTACAAGGCCATGGGATGATGGGGGTGTTTCGTAAAGTTACACATGACTTCACGAATGACTTAAATATGAAAAGCCAAATGGGATGCTCAATCATTATTAACTGCATCAACTAAAGTTTAACTGTGCAGATGTAGATTAAAGGTAAAGACCAGTTTTGGAAACGCCCTAATGTCAAAAAATGAAATGGAAGCTTTTATTACTAATCATGTGAAAGAGTATACTTCGACTAATACATGATGATACAAATTTTGCTGGGAAACCGCCTACTAATTGATATATTTGGTAAATTAGTTTATCTATTGGTGTGTGAGAGATAAACACACATGTCACGCATGTGTGCGTAGTCCCATATACATCTTTCTGTGTACAGTGCTTGTAACTTTACGAAGACTGGGCCAAATTTCTTATCATTTTGATGATTCCAAATCTTTGCAGTACACACCAATACATATTATGATCAACCTTTTCTGATCAATTCCACGTTTTGTTCACAATACAATCGCATGACCATAACTGGTCTTTATCTTTAATATTCTTATCATAACAAACATTTTTAATGCAAAATATATTTCTTTGCCATAATTCAATTGAGGTTATTGGAAATATATAGTCACACTTTGTTAAAGCATCAGGAAAACTAATCTTTGGTCGTCCTATCTGGCACTTCATTATACAAGTCGTTCATAAAGTCATGCGTAACTTTACGAACAGCTTTATGAAACACCCACCAGGCCTCAACATCACTGGTTACCTATGTCACTGAGTCAACCCCAAATGGATAAGGGAATTTGTGAATTATATGACCATACCGACATATACACAGTTACACACCCACAAAAATGAAAGAAAACAAAAAGAAAATCTCCTGACCACTTTATGTTGTGTTTTTTGTGCAGACACAGACAGTGACCAAGACAGAGCATCATTCATACACAACCAGAGCACAGACAAGATCAGGCAAGCAACAGCTAGAATTACCAGTAAAGATGAAGGCAGGAAAAGTTGCTAAAACCACACACTATGAATTTGGAGGTCCAATTGGTAAGTTATTTGTACTGAAATATATGGAAAATGTATGCATTGTTGTTCATTTAGTATACATATTTTCCATATGATGTCATCCCAAATGCAATTTAACAATATGGTACCAGTAAGTCCAGTTAACGATATGTACTGTATGCCTGCAGTACAATGAAGTTAAATAAAATTGTTTCATGGGAGCTTTCTGAAGGAATGTTAGGGGTAGAATTGAAATGGGTCAATCAGTCTATTGAATCGATAGATGCAGGAAGGTTGGTGAGGTATTGGTTTGTAACTCAATTTCTTGCTTGTTAGTCGAAGAATGGAAACTTGTGTTATCATCTAAAGGGGTAATAATAAAGTGTAACACCAAAACATGTATAGGTGGGGTTTTATGAAAGTGAGTTGGTATACATATTGTGGAGGTGTCGTGGTCGAGTGGATACGACTTCGGACTGTCGATCACAAGGTCTGCGGTTCAAGTCCCGCCGCGGCACTAATGTTCTTTGGCAAGGCATTGATCTACATTTGCCACACTCAACCCAGGTGATGTAAATGACCGTACCTGGCAGGAATTAATTCCTTGAAATGCTGGAGCAATAAACGGCAGCTAGACTAAAGCCGGGGTAATAATAAATGCCCCTCGGAATAAAATTATCTAGATAGATGGTGCTATAGAAATACCTATTATTATTATAAACCAGAGCTTTGATCACACATATACCTCTGTCTCATATGGCATTATTCCACCACACCACACACACAGGGACGTTCTTGATGATCTTTGGCCTACCGTTGGTGGTGTACTTCCTGTACTTCACCTGCCTGCCATCGGGATGCAAGCTGGTCTACAACCCACCTTTCTCCCTGGACTGGAGGGATTACTATGACCAGGAAGCCTATCTCTTCTACGTGGGATGGTTCCTCTTTCAAGCCATCCTTGCTCTCCTTCCATTTGGAAAGGTAAGCTGTAATCATATTCCACTGGGCCAAGTCATATAAAAGTTGCAATTGATCTGGATCACCTATAGATTGTTGCATAATCAGGCCTGAAAATAACCCGATTTCAATCGGTTTCCCGATTTTCCCTTATTTTCTCTATTCTTCCATATTTTTCCCTATTTTTTTCCTATTTTTCCCCAATTTTTTTTTCTCAAAAGGGGGGGAATATGAGATGCCTTTTCCCCCCCGAATACTCTTTTTAAAAATTTTACTCAAAGGTGTGTTGTGGACGAGGGGGGGGGGGGGGGGGGGGGGGGGAGGAATGTTTTATTTTTTTATATTTTTTTTTTTGGTGCTCACTATCACCCCTGATAATGCTTTTTAAGATTGATTAATGATTGTGATACACTTTCTTTATTTTGCAGGTTGTACAAGGTCAGCCTCTCAGGTCTGGACAGAGGTTGAGCTACAGGACCAATGGTAAGTGCTCGTGTTGTACAGGGGGCTCATTTAACTCATTATTTTGGCTGCCAACAGGGCAACCTAACATAATCCTTGGGTTTCCACAGGCAACTTTTCATGGATATATGAATTAGGCAAAGTTGATATGACACAATTACAATGATTCATTAATTGAGAATCTTTTAATTCCCCCCCCCCCCCCGACCACATACATGTATGTAAGACATTTACATGTAGGCAACCAGATGTGGTTTTAGGTTGCCAATTATGGAAACCACAAATTTGAAGTCGTTCATTATGAAATTCTTTGTATTAAAGATAATACAAAGTTTTGGTATGGGGTCATGAATTTGATTCAAATGAACATATTGCAAGCATATGCGATCCTACAATATTCAGTGATTGTTGTCGTGGTTGAAGTCGAGTCTTCAAATCGTAAATAATAAACTCTTTATGTTGTAAAGCTCCCTCTCAACGTCAATATATCAATTAAGCTATAAAACGATGTTCTTGACTAAAATCGACCGATTAGCCAATCCCGTTTGGGAATTATATATCACAAATACATATTCAGAGATTTCCATGGTCGCAGCTACCATTGTACGGCCGAAGGCGATATTTTAAATTTATCAAAACTTTCCGAGAGTAGAAGTGTTTTAGGGGCTAAATTTTCTAGTGCTTATAATAAATCCACAGGCATCCAAATATATCAAAATTGTAAAGAATCACTATCCAGCCAATTTTCAAAATTTCTCAAAACTTTGTATTACCTTTAACATTTTTATTCTTCAATCCTCATGCACCTTGTCTGTATTATTCATTGATTACATTATTATATCTTTAGCATCACAAATACAATCATTACAGATTTAAAGAGTTCTTATATTTCCTAAAAATGTCACATTTATTTTCATTCCCTCTGCTACACCATACTCAGGTCTGTTTGCCCTTATTGTGACCTGTGCAACCTTTGGAGGTATGATCTACTACAAGTGTCCTGTGACCTTGATTGTGGACAAGATCCTGCCTTTGATGACAGCCTCAGCGCTCTTCTCTCTCCTCCTCAGCACCCTTCTCTACATCAAGGCTAGGTGTGGACCAAACAGTGCTCTGGCTACTGGTGGAAACTCTGGTAAACATCTTTTTGTTTATTTTACATCATAAATCATTCCTTGTCATATCAGTAACAAACGAGAGCTAATTGAATAAAGCTAGGAGATAAACATAATGAATCAATCATGGCAGGCACATAGATGAGGCCCTTCTAACATCGAAAGGGATTGTGTTTTTGAGCTAGACATTAAGAAAAATAATTACTCGAACTCCTTGTTGAATAAAGTCACTCCTGAAAAAATCTCTTTGTTTGTTGTAGGAAATTTAGGGAAGATCTGCAGGAGTAAATAAATGAAATTCACATTTTGTAGATATCAATTTTACAAACTAAGAGATATTTCAGAGCTATTGTGTGAAATTTTTAATTTTTATTACCTGTTTATAAATATATTTTCATTCTTGTAGGCAACTTCTTCTATGATTTCTTCATGGGTCATGAGTTGAACCCTCGCCTTGGAAGCCTGGACCTCAAATTCTTCTGTGAGCTCCGACCTGGTCTCTTCCTTTGGGTGAGTCTCAAACTATAGCCTGTCTAGAAGTTGCAAGTAATTATATAATGCTGTTATTTTCAAATGAAAGAACTTAATAATTGATGAATTGGTAATTGATGAAACTTCTTGAGGTTTAGGGCATCAAGATGCACTCAATGAAGTATTAGGGAATTCAAGAAACGAATGTACTTGTATGATGTAGATTCCTTGTCATGTATTGTCTAGAGAACCATGTATATGGGAGAGCCCTGATCACCAATAACTGGAACAGACAATGCACCTACCATTCAGGCAAGCTCTGTGTCGGCACTCATCAGTGTACAGTTTTCATATTTCTATAATTTGTGTTTTGATATGTAATTCATTATAATTGAAACTAACTTTGTCTCTGTAATCAGGCCCTGATCAACATGGCTTGCCTGACTAAGGTATGGACCGAGTTCCCAGACAACCCTCCATGGAACCTCATCTTGGTCTGTGTCTTCCAGTTCCTCTATGTCTTTGATGCCCTGCTTTATGAGGTATGTGTGCTTTGGTGTGGTAAATTGTTATAAAGCAGAAGGATATTTTTATGGCATTCCAATTTTGTAATCTGTTTGAGACTAACACAATTCATTCCTTAGGACATTTATGTCTATATTTACATTTGATTTAGGAGTAATGGTACAGATATTTTTGTTGTAATTGCAGAATATAGAGACAAGTATTGCTGTACAGATCCTTACCAGATCTATGTCTGTGTGATATCATTCAAGTCCTTATGGAATGAAATTGTTTGTAGCCAATCTAGTAGATGCCAGGGATGCGTTTGATTTTATCCTAAGTTGAACACGTATGGTCAGACATATCTATGGATTATATTTGAGAAAGAATATGATGATGATGAGGTATTCATAATGGTGGTGATTTTCATATCACATTCTTATCATATATGAATAACCTACTCTCAGTCAATGTATACACGTCTTGATGTAATTGCAGCCAAGATAGAAAGCTGTTATTAAATCATCTTTATTTGTCATTGTCTTCTTCTTCCCCTTAGTCTGCCATCCTGACTACAATGGACATCATCCAAGATGGCTTTGGCTTTATGCTCGTCTTTGGAGATTTGACCTGGGTGCCTTTCACATACACCCTACAAGCTCGCTTCCTAGCTGATCACCCACCAGCCTTCCCAGACTACTGCCTTATCCCGGTTGCTCTGCTCTTCTGTAAGTCATGTCCAATTTTTTTGTATCCTTGCCTAAGCTGTGGACTTCTCATTCCCCTTTTGAACTATACATTCTGGATGTTCCGTAATTACCTGCATATATTGGGTGTAACTATGCAACAGACATGTATTTAAAATGTGGTAACTCTCTCACTTTTGGTGGGGGGGGGGGGGGGGACAACAGCTGAATAATCTATTAATTTGCAAAGCTTTCGTCATAATTTCATTCCACTTTTTTTAGTATATAGATGAACACTTCAGTCAGAGTATTGAATTTAACAGCCTTTCCGGAATTTGTTGAAGCAGTCTTTCACTGAGAATATGAAAACTGTTGTCAAATTTTTTAAACATATTTTTTCAGTGAATTCATAATTTCATATCAGTATTTCTAATCAATATCTTGGTCTGCATTGATTACTTATTTTTTGTATCATTTCATTATAGCCCTTGGATACTTCATCTTCCGTATGTCCAACAGTGAGAAGAATGCTTACAGGCAAAACCCATATGGCAAGAATGTTGCAGGTAGGCCATCCCCTTTGCTATTGTAGTTAGATTTGTATATGTATTATGACTTAAAATTTAAAGTGGTTACATAATCTACATTATTGTGCTCGAAAAGACAAGGATTTTTGTGGCAACAGATTACCAAGATGGCTGCAATAATAAGGAAAATCATGACAACTAAATTTTAAAAAGCTTCTTTTTCTATTTAGAATATATTTTTCACTTGATGTTTTGTTTCATATATTCAGTTAAAATAATTCATTTTGATGAGCAAATGTTGAATGTCTCTTAATGGATGATGAACTTTTGCCCTCCCCTGACAGGTCTTCAGACCATTCCAACAGACACGGGCAAGAGGTTGCTGGTATCAGGTTGGTGGGGCTTTGTACGTAAGCCTAACTACCTGGGAGATCTACTCATGGCACTCTCTTGGTCGCTATGCACAGGTGAGTAATCAGAGTTGGATTTCTCTCTCTCTCTCTCTCTCTTAATCTCCATATGACACTGCAGTGTATAGTACGAAATCTCAACATCACATTTTTGCAGTCTGGAATGTGAAGAAAGTTATGTACCTTGATTTGTGAAAGCTGCAGAATGATTGAATTATAACACTCATTTTTGCAAATTATGAAAGTTTTTTGCTTCAAAAATGCCCTTTATCACCAATTTACCAAAGTTTCAAGTCATTGATATCTTGCAACTTTAAATTATCTGCTTACCTAGAAGAAAGTCCATGTTTGGAAAGCATACACTCATCCTATAAGACACAATCTTGATTCGTATTCCTATTTCACTTATTTTTTATAACAAAAACTGCATTCTCTTTGCTTTCCTGTCCAGGTTTTGTGAGCATCGTGCCCTACTTCTACCCCATCTACTTCTTCGTCCTCCTCGTTCATCGGGAACGAAGAGATGACGCATCCTGCAGGCAGAAGTATGGAGGAGCATGGACCAAATACTGTGCTACCGTCAAGTACAGGATCATTCCTTACATCTACTAGAATGTCTCTCTCTCTCTCATGAGCCTCATGGACAATTGTGTATTTCCAGCCATTGACATTGGTGCTTCGTCATTCAGTGTGATTATTTCTTTTAGCTATTATCTAACACATGGATGCATTCCTTTATTTACTCAAACCCTTGCTGCACTGCTAACAGAATGGATTATGACCCTCATCATTTGCTCAGGAGATGTCATAGAGCATCCACTTGCCTCTATATATTTTAGGATAACTATTTTGATGTGTGTAGAAATTGGCATGCTGACAAATAGAAAAGGTGTCTTCAACGAACGTATTATCCCAGAGAAGGCTGGATGGAAATGCACCAGCTTTTGATAGTTGATATGATGACCTTGACTGATGTCTACAATTAGGGATTCATGGTGTTGGGCTCGTAATGAAGATTGTATGTCAATCTTTGTTTAAAAATATGGTTATAAGATTTGATGGCTTCTCATGGGTTTTGGTCTGTTTTTATGATGGGCCCCGTCTTATCAAGAGTTGAAAGCATGTCTGCATTTTATGCTGCAGAGTTTGCAAATAAAATGTACCAACTTAATTTTTAACACTAATATGATGCTCAGGGCAGGATTTCACAAAACTGTCATAAGTACAAGTTTGCTGACATCCAGTTGAAGTGCATGTTAATTTTAATACGCATGTTTTAATGGAATGTCAGCTAACTTGTCCTTGTGATGGTTTGTGAAACACTGCAATTTTGCATGTGTAAATTAAAGCAATTGTTCTTGCACTATGATGAAGATTCAATTTGGTATGTCTCAATTATCCATTCTTCATTCCAGTAAAGTGAGATGTGTTTTACCCAATGAATGGCACCACCCATTGTATGTAATATATGTAAATATGTACAGTACTTTGATTGTACCCATCCCAAAGAATGTGCAGGTAAGCTGTTATGTGTAAGTTTATGGTCAGATGGTTCTTTTTATAACCCATGACTTGATCAGTATTTCTTAAATTATTAAGTCTCATCTCTCTAATGGGCTTCTTTAGTTTATGTGTTTTACAAGTACATTGTATATAATTATTTAATGGAACACAGTGATTATGATGTACGCTAAGCAATCAATGCAAGAAGCAGAAAAAAGTAAGCATGCCTGAGCTTTTCTTGAAGTGATCTTATCCCGGCAGTGGAGGGATTGCTATTCAATTAACAAATATTGATTAGTGCTTTATGGATAGAAGAATTGGATAGCAATAGATGTTAAAGAGTCCTATATGTACAGTGTATTAGATTGTGCATATCTTGACATAATCTTGTATTCCTTTTACTTCTTATTCTTGCTTCTTCATTGAGCTTTGCTACAAAATATGGAAATTCCTATTTCCTTTAATTACTTTCAATTTCAATTTCAATTTTTTTTAAATTTATCCTTACATCTGATGTGGCTGTTATACACCATTATTTGACCCTCCCTTCCATGGAGCTTCAATAGTACATTCTTATGCAAGAAAATTGTAAAAATGTTTCTATGTATGTAGCGTTTGCTCACATGTATTTATTGAACTCATGGTAGATAGCTTCAAACAAAATAACAATGCATTATGGAGTGTGTGATGTGCAAAAAAATGTTACTCTTTTTGAGGTGCCATATTAATGTTGAACTGTATTTGATTTTTGTTTCATTTTAGGTACTTACATCATTACCGATGTAAATGTTTTTCCATAGCAAACACTAGCCTGATAATTGAAGAACATAGTTTGTTTGTTTCTGATTTTACTAGAATATGCATCTTTTCATGAACTTCCAACTTAAATTTTGCTTTAGAGGTTTTGTTGCTACACTTGCTATCATTTTAGCCAAGCATTTAATTTTCCTTGCAGTGCTTACACTCGTAACATGCTAGGTTGAAAGATGCTATATGTTTGATGCGTACAAAACTTGGAACCGAGCATATGCCTTGAATAAGATGTGATATTATTAAAAAATCTGAAATATTGACAAATGACAGTACAAATAAACTTTTGATAGGTATTTGAATGAATTACATGTGTTTGGCAATACACTGTACAATTGTTTATTATAAATAATTTTTTAGACATTCTTGACAAATGACGGGCTATGTACGTATACATACAATTCTTGTAAATAGAGATTTTGTAAATATATGTGTATAATAAATGGACTTTCTGTGAATCTGTGGTTTTAATGCATTTATCTTACTACGTTTATCTTGTATTCATTCAGGGACAGAAATTGTGTATATTCATTTATGACTAAGAAATCTTATCAATTTATTATTTAATAGAATTCCTGCCCTTTTTTTTTCAGTTTTCCAATTGATGTGGATAAGTGACACTATGGCCCGAATTCACAAAGGAGGTTTGTCGACAAACCGAGGTTTAAGTGCGTCATACGGCGCGTTTCGACACGTTTTTACAAACCTTGGTTTATAAAAAAACAAAAGGAGGTCGACAAACCTCCTTTGTGAATTCGGGCCTATGTGTCCCTCATAATCCCTGAACGGTATTCATAAATGCCATGTCTTTTGTTATTTACATTATTCATGTGCGTAAACATTTTTTAATGTCAGCTTAGAATAAACATGCAAAATACCTACGTTGTATGCAAGAAAAACTAGCTTAGTAATAGCATGTATACTTGAACAACCATGATCTTCATGTATCCTGTTCTTTGGTAGTATACATTTTTCAATGTAGATGTATTTTTATAACTGCAATTTGGAAACTTCATGTTCTTTCTACATTTTTTGCTCATAATGAATATAACAGTTTTGTAAGAACAACAAACATGGATATTGTATGAGATTATAAAGGAGTTGTGGTAAATAAATGTGTGACTTAGTTATAGCTGAGGATTTAAAATGGACTGTTTTTATCTGTGTATGTGTAAAGAGCGAGTGTGTTTCTCATATTCACAAGTTATCTTGGAAAACTTTCTTGCACAGACACTCATACAAGCAATACAATACTTTTACACACATCTCCTTTGGTTTACACAAGGTTTTTTTAAAATACTAAAACAGTATCTTTTATGCCAGGAAATTGTCCATCAGTAAAGTTAAATTGCACCTTTTCATTGGCGTTTGCATAAAAGTTATTAATGTCAACTAGTGTTTTAATAACTTTCCATGTAAACTGCCATGTTTGTGCATCCACTTACCAACAACTTGGCATTTGGATGTGTTAATCGTAATAACTAAGATAACTCCTTGAAATCGAAAATAGAGAAACAAAGAGAACATACACGAACTAGATAAAAATAGGTTTTAAAGTACCCATTTTATTTTTTTCTTTAGAATATAATAGAGATGAAACCGTGTTCGGAATATTATCCTTATTGTCAAAGTAAATAACAGTAGAAGGAGGAAGATAGATTTAAAGAAGATTTGTAAGAAGAGAATTACTATACTATACGAAACTAGAGACGGCTGTATAATCACCAGAGTAGAAGGCCCTATATTATAAAGGGTTGCGATTGATTCAAATCAATCGCAACTCTGTACTAGGATAGGAGTTGTGATCATTTTTTTTAAAATAATTTCCTCTTTAGAAGTATTTATTCGGTTATAAAATACATTTAACAACAAATAATTGAAATAGAAATATACATTCACTTTACACCTCATCTGTAAGGGCTGTAATGTTGAAGGACATTTGATATAACATCTGAGATGTTATCCAAACACAGTTCATTTTTAAAAACATGAGATATTGCAAGACTTGTAAGTTTTCCCTTGGAAATAGTTTAACATGTACATTTTATATATTGCATATTGTGATTAATATAATTCGAATTGATCGCAACTCTGTATAAGACGGGGCCCTAAAAGGACAAACAAGTACATTCACTTCGAGAACGTTGAACTGCCTTACTTTTAAAAGTATTTTCTATGGGAAAGATCATTCCCTTCATGATCATTTGATGTCCACTCAAGCGTTCGTCTGATACATATCCCCTCACTCTCTCTCTCTCTCTCTCTCTCTCTCTGACTCTCTATTTCTCTCCCTCAGTCTCCCACTCTCTCTCTCTCTCTCTCCCTCTCTCTCTCTCTCTCTCTCTCTCTCTCTCTCAGTCACTCAAATCAAATTGTAATATACTATACTCTCAAGCTAGATGTTAGAACTAGATGAAAAATACATTTTCAAATAACAAATTCCAGTCAATGTATTACAATTGAATAAGTGTAGTTATGATAGAGGTTGTTGTGTTCCACATTCTTATTTTATCCCTTCTTATTTTCCTTCTTCTTCTTCTCAATATTATTATTACTAATATCATTAATACTTTATATTTATTGTTATTACCATTATGATTATTATTATTACTACAACAAAATGAATTTCAAGTATGAGAAGAAAAACATGCTATTTTTAGGGTCTTTAATAAACATTAATACTACATCTGGAAGGAAACGCCGGCTTTCTTTCAGAAAGGGGGCATCAAAGGGTGAGGCAATTTCACAGAAAGTGGAAAAGGGGAGACCCCAGATGATAACCTATGTAAGTAACAGGAAAAATGACATTTCATTCCCGAGCCGCGCGTTTATGAATGACGAAATATTATCCCAAAACCAGAACTCAAAGAAAGCAGCTAGCAAGACTGGCCCTGACGATCGAAGGCGTCATTCCATTGTTCCGTATTTACAACCGAAACAGAACTTGGAGAATGAGCAAGTTGCTTATGAAAATATTGCATACAGAGTTCAATGTTTGCCCAACCCAAGAAATTTTCCTCAATAACAATAGGACTCGGATTTTGTTCTTTTATACAGAGTCAATAGGCAATGGTTCAAATTTTTCGATGTGTTTGCCAATACCGTCTGCTTAGGAACTTGATGGTCCGTGAGAAAGGAACAAGTCAGATGAATCGACGCGATTGAGAAGGCCACAGCAATCTACCTTTCCTCCAGATAAGCTGTTTGCTACGCTCAGGGTCTTCTTTTGACTTAAACTTACATGGTTGACTTGGAAACTAGTTGAATTTAAAATAACAATAAAGGTTCTTGATACATCATGAACTGAAAATACAGGTATATCACGTCTGATCTTATTATCTCCAATCGTACTTCTTGGTGGTTATTTACTTCCAATAGAGAAACATAGCAGGACACGATTCAATTTCTCTCCGGAAACGTATGCAGAGGTCAAATTAATGGATACTCGAATATATTATTGGTAAGTAAAATATATTTTGTAAAGTCCATACCAGATCGTTATACATGTACATGTATTTTTTATAAATATGGTATTTGTGATTATACGTCGCTTTACTTTATCAATAATACTTTGAATGTGATAGTTTGCTTATTCATAATGGATTTTTTTTTTTTTTTAAGAAGTCATTTTTTTAAAAAATTCATCAGAGACTCGACATTCATATCAAACTTCTCACCGATATACCAATGGTACATTTCAAATATTAATTAATATTTTCGTATACCTGCACTAGTAGTATGTGATTCATTGATATGAAACGTTATAGCCTATGTATTGTTATTTACTACTTTCTAAATGTTTTACCAAGTAATGTCGGAGAGGTACAGTTGTGTAAGTCATTAACATACGTAATTGTGTTCTGGGGGAAATTGGTGTCGGTGCTTTTTGTGATCAGAATACAATGAATGTGAAAAACCAAAAACGGCCTAAAAAAACGTCCATCCGGCAGGCGGAGGGCGATGAGTTGTCAAAAAGAAGGGGAAAAATGAACAGGTTAGAATAGTGTAACACACTTCTTTATATAGTGGCCAGATGTGACAGATGTTTAAAAAATAAACCCGTTTCTGATGCAGACACACATAAGGTGGTCTGCAACTATATATGTATATTAATGACATGTTCAGTGAACCGAAATATCTTCTTCTTTGGGGGTGTTGATTTACTTAAATGAATTTTAACAAGCAAGCGAAAGGGTGGTTACCAGGTTTTCCAGATTATTTTTGGAGTCATTTCTCTATTGGATTCCTAAGGTATGTCACATGGATGTTAAGGGGGGGGGTCACCTGCCCTGCGTCCCCACCACCACCTCACCCGTGGTATATACATCAAATGCTCGTTCGATTTGGACTATAGACCTTTCTTCTTAGATTGTTCTATGACAGGTCGACCGGTCGATCTAATCCGTGGTGGTAGGATAACTTCGTCATACTTCGCCGCGTCATGTTATCCTAGTATGTCTCGCTCAAATTTGTTCGAGGAGTGTAACATTTCTTTCACTTTAGGCACGTTTTTGACTGTGAGGCCTTGAAACTGATAGTAATGTTGTTGGGATTCCTTATCCGAAGGTTAATGCTACTCAGAAGTTTCGTATTTCCGAAAGAACGTGGCAGAAGACGATAACAACATTGAGAACAATGACTGCATAAATGTAATGAGATTTAAGATTTATAAAAACAACAGTTATTGTTGCTTAAGTGTATAAGGTTCATATCAAGGTTCGGTAATACGAACGCTCGTTTGTAATCTGAATGTTTACTACTCAGAAATTTAGTACTTCCGAAAAATAAATGTGATTCATAATTCTGAAAATAAAGTAGGGTTTATAAATCTGAAAATGAAGGAATGGTCGTAATTTCAAAAGTTGATTTAGATTTATAATTTCGAAAACGAAACAGCACCCTTAATTATTTTCGGGAAAATAAACCTTCGGAATAATGGGAATAATATATCCCATTTCTATATTAGAATCCTGTTCCGTTCTCGGAATTTATGAGCCCCTGCTATTTGTATTCTAACTTATAAACCTTCAGAAAAAGGAGCCACCCTTCCCCGGTTGTTCAGGTTCATGAACTGCAATTCTTTCCCTTTCCATTTGTATTCTTTCCCTTTCCACTGCAAATACATGCATGTATTTGCAGTTTTTATTAATTGTCTTGACAATTTTCATAATTGAAAGTGTCACCAATTGGAGGTTTTTCCACTGATTTGTATGTATTCCCCAATATAATCTCTGGAAAAATTGGATTTTATTACCACATCCATAACGCCTGAATCTCAATTTGAAAGGCTCGAGATTTTCAGCACGAACTTCTCTACCTGCAATATCACGAGGTGCATGCATGTATTCAAACTATGAATAAAACAATAATTCAAGCAATAGTAATAGCCTATGTATGTTTATCTCTTTTTTTTCTCCTTCTGCAGCAGCAGTACATCTTTCACGATGTATCATGTAATTGTCATGATGATGGTACTGGTGTCATTATTAAACAGTTGCAAGGCAGATGGTAAGTTAGAATGATCATTTGTTTTCATTATATTTGACCCTACATGCTGATGATCAAAATCGAAACAGAATACCACTTATTGTATAATCGTTTGGCGTTGAAAGAATACAAAAATGACGTAGGATTTGTGGAACACTATACAATGAGGAACAAGACAGCTAGATTCAATGAGCCAGAGGGAGAGAGGATGGAGAAATTCATTATAACTTGCATGATTAACTGGATTTCTCTATACCAGGATGCAATTTCAGTTTGTGAAATCATAAATTGTCCCTTTTCATTTCCACACGACATGTTTTGTTATCAATATAAACACCGTTTACTTCGAAAAAATATCAACGAAGTATACAATAAATGCTTGCGTCAAACGGTAACAATAGCTAGCTAGTCAACTTACGTGTAGCCTTTTGTCCCCGTTTATTCATTTTGCCTTGAAGAGTGTGGGGCCATTTCTTCTTGTTACCAGTTTCAGGTTATCAAAGCAAATCAGTCATCATTATTATGAACTTTTCTCAAGTTTGCTCGTGACAAAGAGTGTGAGTGAGAGAGAGAGGAAGGGAAGAGAGAAAGAGAGAAATGAAGAAGGACTAAAATAAGAAGGACAAAAGAAGGGGAGAAAGAAGAAGTGGAAGAAGAACAATAACAAGAACGAGATGATTAAGAAGAAAGGGAAGATACTAAAATTAAAATTGCTCGTCAGTTCACCCTTTAAACTTAAAAATCCAGTTACGTTCGGTTATCTAAATCTAAATGCATATTGTGTAAAATTGCAGTTCGTGTTTCTTCACCTCAATAATTGTGAAAATAACATTAAAATGATGATTCCTTGGATCTTTTCATCCCATGAATCAGTACACCAGCCCTCAATACTTATTTGATATTACAGACATGCGGCATATGTTTCCGAAAGTATATGAAATGTTGGATTGTGTAGGTTCTGAAGATTTTATAGTCATTTCTTAAAATAATATATCATGTTTTTCAGATGCGTGTACCAATAGCCCATGCCAGAATGGAGGAATATGCTTTCTTGCTTCGAACCCATCGGCTAGCATTGCTTTTATATGTACCTGTCCTCAAGATTTCGAAGGTCCTTTATGTGAGACAGCGACTGGCTCAGCTCGTAAGAGACATTTTGAATTTATTTATTTCAAAATCCTTCACTGAAATGAGCAGTAAAGATATAGGGATATTTTTGCCCACTTAAGAATTATTCATTTCAAGTTTCGAAATATTTGTTCATGTATATGTATTAAATGGATGTAAATGTAATATTATATTTTCATTTGGTTTGGGGGTAAAAAGTGCTTTAAACACCTAAATTCTTACTTGACAATTACGTACAAAATTAAACAAATATCTATGACAAAATAGTGAAGAGAAAAGATAGTTACCATACCCGGAAATTTTAAAATGTAAAAACACAACTGAACCTTAGAGATAATGACAAAGTCAGAGCTAAGAATATAATATATTTGGAATAATTGCAAAATGCATGACTTAAAGAACATGAGTTCTCGTACTGCACCAAACACCGATCACAGAGACATTCGAGAAATACTGAAGGACAATTCAAATACCCTTTTTTAAAATTCCATATAATTTTGGGGTAAAGAAATATTTAATTGCAATATTTATCCGTACATTTCAATGAGTGATGGAAAAGACTGTTGAAATTACCTTAGGTAGATTTTTCGAAAGTCTTAGCGATCGTATTAGACAGTTACTAATGTTTTACTGCTCCCTATTGTGCAAACAATAACATGTGTTTTTTTAGTTAAAGTCAACAGTTATCAACATATTTCTAATAAAAGTAATCACTTTGTTAATCACATGCAGCTTCTCCTCCTGTGCTCGCCAATACCCCATGCTCCAGCGGGCCATGTAGGAATGGCGCCACGTGTATTAACCCTACCAATCCCCTATCCACTACCGCCCTCTGCCAGTGCGCCCCAGGGTACGTCGGTTATACCTGTGACAGGCTAGACACTGGTAAGTTCAAAGAAATCAGACTTAATTCATAGCCATCGATAGTTAACATTATCTTTAAAACTTTACAAATCCCCTATCCACTACCGCCGTTGATCAGTAAGCAATTTTAAACAGTAGCTGGGCCCATGACTAAATATGGATTGTGCTGACAAACGTCCAATACAATTTCTGGCACATATTTTTGGTGGCGTTGATGATTTTGTTCGCAGCGACTGCACCGTGCATCATATTTAATAAATAATCGGATGCATATTCTTCAGAGTAATATGCATATTCTATTTTTATGTCTAAAATAATGAGCAAATTATTAAAAAATAGTTGATGTCATTAAATGATTGAATCCAAAACATGCATAATTTAGATGCTGTACAATGGTTTTATACCAATGATATAAATTATCAGTATAGATATTGATTCAATTGCTCGTAAATTGGTGTAACCTTAGGCTTAGAAAACCACCTATTTTCATATTTCGGTTACCACTCTCACTCGTTACTCGGCTCTATATCGCCATTTCAATGCTCCTTTTTAACTGGTCATGTTCGCAACTGAATTATGGTATTGAAAGTTAGATCTGTATTATGAGTTTTTTTAATTTAAATTCCACGCTAAACCTAATTTTTATATCAACTTGGCGTGACTTGATAAAGTAACTATGATGTTCATCACAGTGTAAGGATCAACCGTGTATTGCCAGCTCTATTCTTCAAGTTAATTCGAGCGGCTCTAGTGTCATCAACCTAGATGTGTCATGAAGCGATGAAGCAGAGAATCGACCGATATGCGAGAAATAGAAACAAAGATACAGGAAGACGGGGAGATTCTGAGAGAAAGAGAGAGAGAGCGAGAGAATGACGACAAATAAAAAGGAACATAAACAGATAATGAGAGAAAGATAGAGAAATGCGGAAAGAATAATATGAAAATAAGACATATGACGCAACCCAAACCACAACCTGCCCTTAATCAGTGTCCTTGTTTATTCGTATTTCATCTACCCAGTCAAACCGGTGCCCCTAGTGGCCCCTCAATGTCTAGACTCACACTATGCCATTGACCCACTGCCCAATGCACCCACAGTTCAATGACCCTCTCATGTAAGATCCATAAACCTAAAAAAAAAAAGGACTACCCAGATATGGACATTTTATTTGAGGATAACGAGAAACATTCTCGGCATTTATTGACACCCCATTGTTGAGGTTCCTTTTTAATTTGTTGTTGTTGACATTTAAATCAGGGAAAGGCGACTGTGACCCCAATCCTTGTGGAGACTTTGGAACGTGTGACCCCAGTCCATTTGCTCTCAGGGGTTACTCGTGTCAATGTATACATGGCTATACAGGGGCTAACTGTGAGTTGAGTCTCTCTGGAGGTAAGTCATACGATAATCATTTATTTTTCATTTTGAACAAATGTCATGTTATGAAGAAGAGTTTCGTGCAAATTAATAAAGGGACAGTTATAATATTCGCAATTCGTCATCTGTTTCTTCAAAAAAAAAAAGGCCTAATGGATGAACGCCCTAAAATATTATTGTACGGATAGAACCAAACATTGATATTCATCTTGATACATAACAACAAATGTAAAAATACATGTTAAGTTTTCATGTCGCCCTTAAATTGCCCTATTTCAGAGCGGTGCCGAGTACGGCCCAGACCCAAGGCCGCGATACAATCTTATTTTCTTCTCTAGATAGTGCCCTTGTTTGGCATTCCCTTTTAACCTCAGCCATTCATCATGTTTTCATAAATTCGAACAAAGATCTATGTTACTTGAGGCGAAAAATCAGTTTGTTTATTTCTCCTTCATTAGAATACAACGGTTGTGGTAGCTCGCCTTGCTTGAATGGAGCACAATGTATGAATCAATATGAAACCTATGACTACTACTGCGCCTGCGCATCAGGATACAGTGGTCGCCATTGTGAAGTGGAAGGTATGCTAGCATTGCTATTACTCCAGATTATTTATTTCTGATATTTAGTGTGACTCATTATCACTAATAATGGTGGTTTTCCATGATGCCCTGTTAAACATAATGAGAAACAATATTTCAAACAAAAAATATATAATAATAAAATTAATAACAAAATCATGAACATAAATTCATAATAGCAATAAAGAATAATACATAAACTTATATACAAAGTATTTGGTATCCTCGTAATGAATGGTTTGTTTGTTTTTTGTTTTTTGTTTTGCTTTGCTTTTTCGTCCAAGAAAACGTTGTTGCATATTTATAATATCTTAAAATATCGAAACTTTACAAAACATCAAAGTGTGCATATCCTGATATTGAAGCACAATATGAAACAAACGAGAAAAAACTCGTAAGTTAAATATATTTGGACAAATTCAGCATTTTACTATTTAATAGTCACACCTTTGTAGCTGGGAAGAATATGTGCGCAATGAAAATGTAGCTATGTTTATTAGTATCATTAAGAGACTCATGCATTCTCCTATAATGTATGGGTTGTTCTATCAACATTATGTATATTCAATACGTGCTATGTAAATCGTAACCAAATCCCAGCTTTAATCTACCTATTCGTTCTGAATTTTTACCAACAGGTCCATGTGTTGGGAAGCCTTGCCTCAATGGAGGAACATGCCAGGAGGAAGCCTTTGCTTCCATTGGTTACATATGTGCTTGTACTTCGGAATATTTTGGAGAAAACTGCTCAGAAGCTTACCAATCTAGTAAGGTTTCTCCTCTTCTTCCATTTTTATATGAATAAGTGATAAATAGAATTTGAATACAGTTTGGAGTTGATTTCAACATATGACTTGTTTTCAAAATGTATTTCATAATGTTGCGAATTCTTGATTAATACCTTAAACCTGTTTCCCCTGTTTTCTGTTTTTAAAGCTATTTACTTAGTCCTAATTTGTGCACATGCAGCCTCTTTGTAGTTCTTTGAGAATGATATGTTTATGAACGTTATAATTCATGTAATGGGTATGTTATTAAATTCACTCTCAACGAATAGTTTACCATTATTTTCTAGTTTATCATAGTCTACTTTTTATAACATCCGTCAGAAATGTACACAAAATACGAATATTAATTATTTGTGATCTAAATGCAGACCCATGTAGCCCAAGTCCATGTATGAATGAAGGATCGTGCTTCCAACTGATGGAGTCAGAAGTCAACCAAAACTTGGCACCATACTTTTGCTTTTGTCCTGCTGGTTATGTAGGCAGCACATGCCAAAATATAGGTGAGTATTAAGATGAATGTGTATCAAAGATTGTTGTTTTAGCCTCTTGACTTTATGATTATTTGTGTCGTGTTGTGTTATATGCGTAACATGGTATCTAAACAAATCAGATATCCAGTGAAGCATACCCCCCCCCCACTCAGTGTTATTTAGGGTACGCATATGCGTGTTCCCTCCTTTTGAAAACACCCCCCCCCTAAGTCTAGTGTGTAAAGTCAATACGGGCCGGATTTTTGTGTACTTCGAGCCGGACTTTGGTGCGTGAAAAGTACCCCTTTACCGGACATTTTGGAAACACGCATGGTATCCCTCCGTTCACGGAGTGGGGGGGGGGGGCGAGAGCATACCACCCCACCGACATGAAAAACAGTTGATTCCCTGAACAATGTCAGCGCTAGGATTTAAACAAAAAGGTATGGGCACGCTTTTACCTCGATTCAAGAATGGGAAAAATTGTAGAATAGGAACAGGGAATCAGTTCACAATGCTCTAAACAAAAATCAGTCATTGGGGATTGGCGCAAAATAAATTTTCGGATTTATAACGGAATTTTCTATCAGCCTTACCAATTGTCTCAGCACTGTAGATTATTGTACAGGAGCTAACGGAGATGACGGGGGAGGGTCACAGGGATTGACTACAAGGGTAATACCCCCCCCCCCCCCTTGGTACTGTGTTCTTGTAAAGAAAAAACTTGTTATTTCTTGTCTCTTACAGATCCATGTTATTCTAGTCCGTGTATGAATAAAGGAACATGTACCCTGATCGCACCAGGTGGTAATGAAGACATGGTACAAGGATTCTGGTGTGACTGCCCATCTGACTTCACTGGTACCACGTGCTCTCAACCAGGTCAGGACCGTAGGCCTAACTCTAATCCCCATGTTTTCAGGACCCGTCTTATGAAGAATTAGGTTAAACCGAATCGCTTTCAAATATTTTAACATTGACCTTTGTCTCGAACCGAGTCACGTGCACAAACCTAAGAAGGTAACATTTTTCAGTGGCCTCGTAACTCAGAAAGAAATCAATTAGATTCTCTTAAACGACCATTGAAAAAAAAAGCTTGTTACTTCATATTCCATACATAAGATGTGAACGAGCCTCCATTTTGTATTCTTCTCACTGTCATCCATCATTCTTTACAACGAGGTGTTGATGGGTTGTGAACTTCATTTGGTCGACTTGGCATTTTCTTCTCTTTTTTCTTCTTCAAAATGTGTGTGTGTTTTTTTTTAGAGAGATATCATATTCATGTACGAGTAACGGTATGTGTGGTAGTGGTGATAAAATTTCACCATTTACATTTAATAAATATAAGCAAGGAATCACTATGTTTAGGCTTTACATCACCTTCTTAAGTTACTAATTCGAAAATTGTTTTCACCCTATTTACACCAGCTTTTCAATGACCCTGTTCACCCTTGGTGTATTTATAATGTTATGATTTCGTTTTTCACCTCTCTTTCAATCTCTCTGGTTTATACACTCATTGCACCCTTTCATTGGATGTTCCACACGGCACACATTCTATGACATCGTTCATACTACACATAGATCCCTGCTCATCCAACCCCTGTCGCAATGGAGCGACTTGTATGACCGTTCGTGACGTCTTTGATCCATTATTTGAAGATGGAAGTGCAGGTTATATGTGTGATTGTGACCTTGGCTGGGCAGGAGTCAACTGCGAAGAGGAGTGTAAGACAATTAGCTTATCAGGGCAACTTCATTAGCGACAGGGATATATTGAAATCTATAACTAAAGAGATTCGACGGTGCTACGACGACGTTAGTTCCTAACGTAAAGTGAATGAAAATATAATCCACATAATATGGAAGAGTAGATTTACATACCAAAAACGTTTGACTATATTTAAAAATATTCTCGATCTTATAGTACTAGTCATATATTATGAATGTAACGTATTGGTATCTGGGTAGTTGTTCTTTTTGCAAGAATTATCACCTCTGCCACTTAAATTCTTTTTTACATTTTAATGATCACTAGCATACTATGCTCACTTTCTTCCTATGGGGTTTGGTAGTTGGCTTGCACAAATATTTATATGTTTTCTCTCTCATTCTCTCCCTCTCCTATCTCTTTCTCTAATTTTTTTTCTTTCATCCCTGCCTCTTTCTCTTCTTTTGTGTACTTAGGTTTCGCTGTTATTATTATACATGTAGTTTCTAAAATGTTTTGTTCTACACTGTCTTGAACTGTTTTTACACAGTGCCAATTTATGATGCCTGTTCATCAGATCCTTGTTTAAATGGCGCAAATTGCACCGCCATAAACAGTTTCTACTTATGTGAATGTGCTGATGGATTCGTCGGATCTAACTGTGAGCTTATTGGTAAGCTATATTCAAGACTGAGATTGTAGAAATATGTAATATGGATAGGGAATTACCAATAGGTAGTAATTTTTTGTGAGGAGTCTATTCGGAAATCATTTTTCTTGAGTAAAAAATGACAACTATATAACATGATGCCATGTTTTGGCAAAATAAGTTGAAATATAAATTCTCAATGTCAATTTTCCCGATCAAATACAAAGTAATGAACGGGTCGACAACATGGTTAATTATAATACCACCCCCCCCCCCCCATTATACCGAGCTCCGCTTTATTTATAATAAAATAAATAAGGAATTAAATAGTTCGTCCCTATCTCTTATAGTGAAAGTATATAGTACCATATTGACGTTTATCGTTTATCATGATATTCAAATAAATGTAATGTGCTACTGTCGATATATTTTTGTAGTATATGTTACCTATGTCCAGTATATGTTTCTGTATGCTGACAAAATTTGCATTTCTTCTTTCAACACATGAACAGACCCGTGTTCATCCAGCCCATGTGTCAATGATGGTCAGTGTTTCATCAGCGCTCAATTGAATTCATTCATATGTCAGTGTGCTATGCCGTTCATGGGGCAATATTGCGAAATATTTTATGGTGAGTTTTGTACCACGTCCATGAAGATTACTCTAATAACTGTTACTTCGGGAATGATGTAATTCAGGACATCAAGTGGATGTTTTCTGCGAGGTTTATTTCTTTGTTATTCTTCTTGACAATTACCAACATCAGATACAACTTTTAAAAGTTCTTTTTTTTTTCTTTACACAGTCGTTTTATTAATCTGAGAGCAATATATTTGTTATAAGAAGTGTTTAGCATCAAAATAATTGCTATATATCGATAGGTAGGGAGATACTTATCCTTGCACAACTACTTATTGCTACAGAACATCCTTTGAAAATAAAACTAATTCCTTTTCAGTGGTGCTAGTCAGGTGGTACCAGAGATAATTCAATTTTATTTCCTCCCTATTTCAGAGCACCCGTGTTTGTCTGGTCCATGTTTGAACGGCGGAAGCTGTACGTTCGATATCAATGTCTATGAATGCCAATGCGCACCGGGATTCCTTGGTTTACAGTGTGAATCTCCAGGTGAGTCAAGATCCAAATAGCATCATGCAACACGCACAAATTCGAGATGAAACTTAATCTCTTGTAGTTGTTTTCTCTCACATTGAAAAAACAAAGAATTTTAATATTCGGACGACTTGAAAAGAATTCAAACTTTCATTCAACCGATAAACATTACCGTATAACTGTTGACCTGTGGTGTGTTCATACGCTACTCCGGTAACAATTAGGAGTATATATTTTTTCATATCGAGATGGAAAGACATGTTTTTCCAATTTTTATGTTTGATGTTTTCATAATCATCCATTCATGAGAAAAATACACTATGTAACAATAATATATTGTTGCTATTATTTATTTATAGGAGATCGTCATCATGATAATAACATCCACCTCTTCTTTTATTCTCTTTCAACTTTTCTCTGATGTCAGACCCGTGCTTTCCTCCACAATGTCAGAATGATGGTGTATGTTGGCGTAATGCTGATGCTACTGACTTCTTGTGTCAATGTGCTTCTGGATACACAGGGACGTACTGTGAAGAAATCTCAAGTCACCCAACTCCAATAATGTGTAGGATAACTCACGCACCTGCATTTAAGATATAAAAAAAAATTGACTTAATGTAATCACTGGTATACCTGGGTCTAAGTGAATGTAATCCCTAATTATATAAGGAAATCAGGCAGGTAACAATATTATTATAGAACTAGCAGGACCCGCGGAAATCCGCGGGATCCTAGAGGGGGGCGGGGGGTGTAAATAGATATATAGAGACTGTCTAAATTAAAACCACCAAGAACTTTATTTGCCATTCAGGCCATTAAGAAATATACATGTTAAGCGTCCCCGCCCGCTTCCTTTTTGGAGGCCGCCTCCTGAAATTTTTTGAAAAGTTTTTTTTTTTTTTTTTTTTTTAAGAAAAAAGAAAAAGCGTCCCCGCCTGCTTCCTTTTTGGGGGCCACCTCCCTTTTTTTTTTCTTTTTTTTTTTAAACAGCTTCCCCGCCCGCTTCCTTTTTGGGGGCCGCCTCCTATTTTTTTTTTTTTGAAATTTTTTTGAATTTTTTTGTTGTTGATTTTTTGATAGAAAAAAAACAGCGTCCCCACCCGCTTCCTTTCTGGGGGCCGCCTCTCCTATTTTTTTTTTTTTTTTTTTGAATTTTTTTTTTGATTTTTTTTTTTGATTTTTTTTTTTAAAGAAAAAAACATGAAAAGCACTGCTAAAATGTATTTCTGATCTTAAAAAAGAAAAGAAAAAAATTGTCGGCCGCCATCTTGAAAAATAGCCTGAATGTCAGGGAAAATGTACGGAGCAGCCATTTTGAAAGAAAAAAAAAAAAAAAAAAGGGCCTCCTTCCCATTTTTCGAAAAAACAGGACGCTAAACATGTTTTTTTTTAAATTTGGCCTTATATAAAAAATTTAAAAAAAGATCCAACTGTACCGGTAGTTATTCTTTAAGCCACTGGAACTGCGTAGAGTTCCGTAGTGTGGCGTACCGACTACGCAGAAATTAGGCTGCGTATTAATAGGAAAATAGTCCCTGCGTAGGTTATGCGTAGGCTGGCATACAGGTTTGCTTATATGGTTGCTTACTGTGTGGAAAGCTTTTACTGCTTTGACGATCTGGCGTAGGGTAGCATAGTGTTGCGTAAAAAGGCGTACTTTCTGCGTCAAGTTTCTACGCTGAAAGTACGCGAAAAAAATTAAACATGTTGACTTGTTTTCGTTCATCTTGCGTACCCCTTTCTGTCCCTCAGCATATAGTAACGTAGGCCAGCGTAGTTGGTAGCAACACTACGCAACTCTACGTATTGACCCCACGCCAATTAGTGACCCGCAAGTGTCACAAATAAAGTATTAAAAATATGCTTATCTGACCCTAATTAAACGCCTAAAACCCCCGAGCTTTCGGGGGTTTATGGCCCCTTGAAACCCGTGGACCCCACGCCTATATTGTATATACACTCAACTCGCTGCGATCTGATCTCTCCCCCCCCCCCCCCCCCTCCATACTTTGAAGAACGTAACCCCCGAGCTTTTGGGGGTTTATGGCCCCTTGAAACAAATATACACTCAACTCAGGGTTTCAGGTTTCCTTCTTCATAATTGCCTATTTAAAAAAAAAACATTTTTCTAGTTCAATAACTAAGTTTTCATGCATTGATTTGATGCAAGAACTGTAACATAATTGACCCTAGATTGTGATTATTTCTGACCATAAATTTCGATAATTATTTTTCAAAGTAAAATTTTCACAAGAAAATCAGACAGTCGTTAAAAAACGTAACATTAGTAATACTTTTACTAATTCTAAGCTCAGGTTTCGTAAATCTATTCACGAAACTATATTGAAATCGCGGCAATAATGATGCAAACCAACAGATAACAATTTCAAAGTGTCAAATCTCTTCGACTCGAGCTCAGCTCAGCTGTACTCACACACATAACACTCCAGCGTAACTCCAGAAGGCTCGAACACCCGCGCCGCAGGCCTCGGACGCCTGCGGTGCGCGGAGCCGGTGTTGGAGCTTGCTGGAGTTAAATTGCAGCTCACACACACTGCACAGCAGCCCTGCACTGACTGAAGGCAGCTTGCGACTGAATTGTCAGTCCAATGGTTTTCTTGTGAAAACTTTCCTTTAGAAAATGATAATCAAAATTTAGTAGCATGGCCGTAATAATCACAAAATAAGCTTTCATTTCATACCTCCATTCACGACACCTATATAAAAATCGCGGCAATAATGATGGAAATCCTAAGTTTGGACGTGGACGGGAAGCTTCGTGTGTATCTCTGTGGCTCGTGCAGCTACTATACAATACTATACTATAGAAAGATGCTTTACTCGGGTAAGCCCGACCCTGTGCGTCGTGCATTTAATACGCAACTTAATGTGAGTGGACAGTCATCGGTCGTGTGTCTATGAATGTCATGTTGAATATCCATGAGGTATCTCTGTCGTCACGCATATCCTGCATTATGCATATCGCGTCTGTTTTCGCCCTGGACGTCGACACGGAGGAGGACCTCGGGCGGAGTATAGCCAATTCGCTACAGTAGACTCTCCCGCGGACGATGGCACAGGGCACGGGTACCCCGAGGGGAGGGTTCAGGAGGAGATAGCCGCACCAACTTCGGTCGGCGATCTCATTAAAAAACAATAGAATACAAAGGCTCGCCGAGACGTCGCGCCCCCCGCGGAGCCTTAGCGTATTACTATTATAGACTAGCAGGACCCGCGGAAATCCGCGGGATTCTAGAGGGGGGCAGGGGGTGTAAATAGATATATAGAGACTGTCTAAATTAAAACCACCAAGAACTTAATTTGCCATTCAGGCCATTAAAAAAATTTACATGTTTAGCGTCCCCGCCCGCTTTTTTTAAAAATATTTTATTTTTTTATTTTTTTTATTTTTGAAATAAAAAAAACAGCGTTCCCGCCTGCTTCCTTTTTGGGGGCCGCCTCCTATTTTTTTTAAATTTTTTTTTTTTTTTTTTTTTATTCATTTATTTTTTTTTAAAGAAAAAAAAATGAAAAGCACTGCTAAAATGTATTTCTGATTTTAAAAAAGAAAAAAAAAATTGTCGGCCGCCATCTTGAAAAATAGCCTGAATGTCAGGGAAAATGTACGGAGCGGCCATTTTGAAAGAAAAAAAGGGCCTCCTTCCCATTTTTCAAAAAAACAGGACGCTAAACATGTTTTTTTTATAATTTGGCCTTATATAAAAAAACAAAAACGATCCAACTATACCGGTAGTTATTCTTTAAGCCACTGGAACTGCGTAGAGTTCCGTAGTGTGGCGTACCGACTACGCAGAAATTAGGCTGTGTATTAATGGGAAAATAGTCCCTGCGTAGGTTATGCGTAGGCTGGCGTACAGGTTTGCTTATGGTTGCTTACTGTGTGGAAAGCTTTTACTGCTTTGTCAATCTGGCGTAGGGTAGCGTACTGTTGCGTAGTCATGTAGCGTAGTGTTGCTAAAAAGGCGTACTTTCTGCGTCAAGTTTCTACGCCGAAAGTACGCGAAAAAATTAAACATGTTGAATTGTTTTCGTTCATCTGCGTACCCCTTTCCGTCCCCCAGCATATAGTAACGTAGGCCAGCGTAGTTGGTACGCAACACTACGCAACTCTACGTATTGACCCCACGCCAAATAAAGTATTAAAAATATGCTCATCTGACCCTAATTAAACGCCTAAACCCCCCGAGCTTTCGGGGGTTTATGGCCCCTTGAAACCCGTGGACCCCACGCCTACACTCAACTCGCTTCAATCTACCTGATCCCCCTCGCCCCCCCCCCCCACAACCCGTGGACCCCACGCCTACACTCAACTCGCTTCGATCTACCTGACCCCCCCCCCCCCACACTTTGAAAAATGTTTTGTGGGGTCTGCATGTAACATGTAAGATGCAAAAAAAAATATTTTGCCCCCCCCCCCCCCCAACAATCTTATGGCACTTCGGCCTGCCCGCTGTTGTGTTCACGTGTAGGCCTACTTCAATGAATGGATAGACATAAATAGTCGCATGGATGGATACATAATATAGCGTATAGTTGTCGAATATTGGCATGTTTGGCCCTTCATAGTCTCTTCGACTCTGAATAGCTAGCTCACTCACTCACTCAGCTCAGTCGAGCAGCCAGCGCAGCTGCACTGCACTATACACTGTATGCGTACGGCAGAGCTCTTGAAACTGAACGATGTTTTTCTCTGATTTTCTTGTGAAAACTTTCCTTTAATAAATGATAATCAAAACTGAGTAAACATGGCCAGAATAATCACAAAATAAGCTTTGATTTCATACCTCCACTCACGAAAACTATATAAAAATCCCGGCAATAATGATGGAAATAGATCTAGGTCTCTAAGTTTGGACGTGGATATGGGAAGACATCTGTTGCGCTGATTTTAGGCCTAGATATCATGAAATAAGCTAATAAATATCAAATAAAGACTCAACTCGTTTAAATTTTAAATATGAGGTCTACATTTTAATTAAAATTAAAAAAATGGTAAAGATTACAACATCTAAAATATACAAAACAAACACGGGGAAGAAAAAAAAAACTTTAGACGGAGGCGGGATCGAACCCGTGCGTGCAAAAAGTGCAAGAGCTGCCGGCGAATCGAACGCAACCGGCGCCTCAGACCGCTCGTCCACTTCCGTTTCATGCTAAAGCATGAAATTCGTGACGGATAAGTAGGACGTGCGGACGCATCGACGACGTCGACGACGACCGGGACGTCGCACCGGGCCGGGACGTGGCCAATTCCGTAGATTGAAACGCCGTCCGTCCGCGGGACCGCCCGGCGGCGCCCGGGGGCGGGCGGGAGGGGAGATTTGGGCGCCGTAAAATGGACCCCGGATACCCCCCTCGACGCCTTAGCGTATTATTATATGGACTAGCAGGACCCGCGGAAATCCGCGGGATTCTAGAGGGGGGCGGGGGGTGTAAATAGATATATAGAGACTGTCTAAATTAAAACCACCAAGAACTTTATTTGCCATTCAGGTCATTAAAAAAATATACATGTTTAGCGTCCCCGCCCGCTTTTTTTTAAAATATTTTATTTTTTTATTTTTTTTATTTTTGAAAGAAAAAAAACAGCGTTCCCGCCTGCTTCCTTTTTGGGGGCCGCCTCCTATTTTTTTTTTATTTATTTAGACCTCTATTTATTTATTTTTTTTTTTTAATTTTTTTGAAAGAAAAAAAACATGAAAAGCACTGCTAAAATGTATTTCTGATTTTAAAAAAGAAAAAAAAAATTGTCGGCCGCCATCTTGAAAAATAGGCTGAATGTCAGGGAAAATGTACGGAGCGGCCATTTTGAAAGAAAAAAAAAAGAAAAAAAGGGCCTCCTTCCCATTTTTCGAAAAAAACAGGACGCTAAAAATTTTTTTTTTTAATTTGGCCTTATATAAAAAAACAAAAACGATCCAACTATACCGGTAGTTATTCTTTAAGCCACTGGAACTGCGTAGAGTTCCGTAGTGTGGCGTACCGACTACGCAGAAATTAGGCTGCGTATTAATGGGAAAATAGTTGCTTACTGTGTGGAAAGCTTTTACTGCTTTGTCAATCTGACGTAGGGTAGCGTATTGTTGCGTAGTCATGTAGCGTAGTGTTGCGTAAAAAGGCGTACTTTCTGCGTCAAGTTTCTACGCCGAAAGTACGCGAAAAAAAATTAAACACGTTGAATTGTTTTCGTTCATCTTGCGTACCCCTTTCCGTCCCCCAGCATATAGTAACGTAGGCCAGCGTAGTCGGTACGCAACACTACGCAACTCTACGTATTGACCCCACGCCAAATAAAGTATTAAAAATATGCTCATCTGACCCTAATTAAACGCCTAAACCCCCCGAGCTTTCGGGGTTTTATGGCCCCTTGAAACCCGTGGACCCCACGCCTACACTCAACTCGCTTCGATCTACCTGATCCCCCTCGCCCCCCCCCCCCACAACCCGTGGACCCCATGCCTACACTCAACTCGCTTCGATCTACCTGACCCCCCCCCCCCCCCACACTTTGAAAAATGTTTTGTGGGGTCTGCATGTAACATGTAAGATGCAGATTTTTTTTGTAACATGTAAGATGCAAAAAAAATATTTTGCCCCCCCCCCCCCCCCCCCCAACGATCTTATGGCACTTCGGCCTGCCCGCTGTTGTGTTCACGTGTAGGCCTACTTCAATGAATGGATAGACATAAATAGTCGCATGGATGGATACATAATATAGCGTATAGTTGTCGAATATTGGCATGTTTGGCCCTTCATAGTCTCTTCGACTCTGAATAGCTAGCTCACTCAATCACTCACTCAGCTCAGTCGAGCAGCCAGCGCAGCTGCACTGCACTGCACTACACACTGTATGCGTACGGCAGAGCTCTTGAAACTGAACGATGTTTTTCTCTGACTTTCTTGTGAAAACTTTCCTTTAATAAATGATAATCAAAACTGAGTAAACATGGCCAGAATAATCACAAAATAAGCTTTGATTTCATACCTCCACTCACGAAAACTATATAAAAATCCCGGCAATAATGATGGAAATAGGTCTCTAAGTTTGGACGTGGATGGGAAGACATCTGTTGCGCTGATCATGAAATAAGCTAATAAATATCAAATAAAGACTCGACTCGTTTAAATTTTAAATATGAGGTCTACATTTTAATTAAAATTAAAAAAATGGTAAAGATTACAACATCTAAAATATACAAAACAAACACGGGGAAGAAAAAAAAACTTGCGACGGAGGCGGGATCGAACCCGTGCGTGCAAAAAGTGCAAGAGCTCCCGGCGAATCGAACGCAATTAACCGGCGCCTTAGACCGCTCGTCCACTTCCGTTTCATGCTAAAGCATGAAATTCGTGACGGATAAGTGGGACGTGCGGACGCATCGACGACGTCGACGACGACCGGGACGTCGCACCGGGCCGGGACGTGGCCAATTCTGTAGATTGAGACCCCGTCCGTCCGCGGGACCGGCCGGCGGCGCCCGGGGGCGGGCGGGAGGGGAGATCTGGGCGCCGTAAAATGGACCCCGGATACCCCCGTCGACGCCTTAGCGTATTATTATATGGACTAGCAGGACCCGCGGAAATCCGCGGGATTCTAGAGGGGGGCGGGGGGTGTAGTTAGATATATAGAGACTGTCTAAATTAAAACCACCAACAACTTTATTTGCCATTCAGGCCATTAAAAAAATATACATGTTTAGCGTCCCCGCCCGCTTTTTTTTTAAATAGGGTCTATTTTATTTTTTTATTTTTTTTATTTTTGAAAGAAAAAAAACAGCGTTCCCGCATGCTTCCTTTTTGGGGGCCGCCTCCTATTTTTTTTTTATTTATTTATTTATTTTTTATTTATTTTTTTATTTTTTTGAAAGAAAAAAACATGAAAAGCACTGCTAAAATGTATTTCTCCTTCCCATTTTTCGAAAAAACAGGACGCTAAACATGTTTTTTTTTAAATTTGGCCTTATATAAAAAAACAAAAACGATCCAACTATACCGGTAGTTATTCTTTAAGCCACTGGAACTGCGTAGAGTTCCGTAGTGTGGCGTACCGACTACGCAGAAATTAGGCTGCGTATTAATGGGAAAATAGTCCCTGCGTAGGTTATGCGTAGGCTGGCGTACAGGTTTGCTTATGGTTGCTTACTGTGTGGAAAGCTTTTACTGCTTTGTCAATCTGGCGTAGGGTAGCGTACTGTTGCGTAGTCATGTAGCGTAGTGTTGCGTAAAAAGGCGTACTTTCTGCGTCAAGTTTCTACGCCGAAAGTACGCGAAAAAAATTAAACATGTTGAATTGTTTTCGTTCATCTTGCGTACCCCTTTCCGTCCCCCAGCATATAGTAACGTAGGCCAGCGTAGTTGGTACGCAACACTACGCAACTCTACGTATTGACCCCACGCCAAATAAAGTATTAAAAATATGCTCATCTGACCCTAATCAAACGCCTAAACCCCCCGAGCTTTCGGGGTTTATGGCCCCTTGAAACCCGTGGACCCCACGCCTACACTCAACTCGATTCGATCTACCTGATCCCCCTCGCCCCCCCCCCACAACCCGTGGACCCCACGCCTACACTCAACTCGCTTCGATCTACCTGACCCCCCCCCCCACACTTTGAAAAATGTTTTGTGGGGTCTGCATGTAACATGTAAGATGCAGATTTTTTTTGTAACATGTAAGATGCAAAAAAAAATATTTTGCCCCCCCCCCCCCTCCCCCCAACGATCTTATGGCACTTCGGCCTGCCCGCTGTTGTGTTCACGTGTAGGCCTACTTCAATGAATGGATAGACATAAATAGTCGCATGGATGGATACATAATATAGCGTATAGTTGTCGAATATTGGCATGTTTGGCCCTTCATAGTCTCTTCGACTCTGAATAGCTCACTCACTCACTCAGTCTAGTCGATCGAGCAGCCAGCGCAGCTAGAGTGCACTGCACTACATGCGTACGGCAGAGCTCTTGAAACTGAACGATGTTTTTCTCTGATTTTCTTGTGAAAACTTTCCTTTAATAAATGATAATCAAAACTGAGTAAACATATGGCCAGAATAATCACAAAATAAGCTTTGATTTCATACCTCCACTCACGAAAACTATATAAAAATCCCGGCAATAATGATGGAAATAGGTCTCTAAGTTTGGACGTGGATGGGAAGACATCTGTTGCGCTGATCATGAAATAAGCTAATAAATATCAAATAAAGACTCGACTCGTTTAAATTTTAAATATGAGGTCTACATTTTAATTAAAATTAAAAACAATGGTAAAGATTACAAAATCTAAAATATACAAAACAAACACGGGGAAGAAAAACAAAACACTTGAGACGGAGGCGGGATCGAACCCGTGCGTGCAAAAAGTGCAAGAGCTGCCGGCGAATCGAACGCAACCGGCGCCTCAGACCGCTCGTCCACTTCCGTTTCATGCTAGAGCATGAAATTCGTGACGGATAAGTGGGACGTGCGGACGCATCGACGACATCGACGACGACCGGGACGTCGCACCGGGAAGGGACGTGGCCAATTCTGTAGATTGAAACCCCGTCCGTCCGCGGGACCGCCCGGCGGCGCCCGGGGGCGGGCGGGAGGGGAGATCTGGGCGCCGTAAAATGGACCCCGGATACCCCCCTCGACGCCTTAGCGTATTATACTATGGATTTTTCTGATTCATATAATGTACTAAGTATAGGAAATACGGAAGAATAATAATCAAGGATAGATTTACTGAAGCCGCATAGAATGAGGATTTTTAAAGTGCCTTACATCAATTTATATTCATGGTAATGCACAAGAGGTGTCTATTGGAGTCACCGAGGCCCATAGTTTTAACCAGTACCTCGAATAGAAGGCATGGTATATTTGTTTTATATCCTGCATCAACAATTTATTTAATTTTTTTTTTTTTAAATACCATTTCTCGGAAAAAAAATAGAATTAAGAATAAAAAAATATGTAGAATATTTCGTTTGCATTAAATTAAGCTTTGGAAGAAGAAAAAAAATCCCAAATAGTATTCCCAAATAGTACTCTCATAAAGTACTTTTTCAGAGCAACCTTAAAAATAGTTGAAATATTTCTGGTTACGTGACGAGCTCTCAACCAATCAAAAACCAATACATTTTTGATGCATGATATAAAATAGATTATTCATTTTTCGATGTTACAATTATGTTACTTACCAAACAATGTAGAATGCATCGTAAAATAGTACAATAATTGTTAATTCATATTATAATCCCCTTTATATCGACGCTGAATAACTGTAATCGTTGTTTTCATTAAAAAGTGCGATCGGCATGCAAGAAAGAAGCACACACTTACTTTCATTTCTAATAAGCTGCTCTATTGAGTACGATTTGAAACTAAATAAGTAAAAGTATATACTTCTCAGACTAATTTGGAATGTTTGGTTTTTCAGATCACTGTGAATCGAACCCTTGTGAGGGTGATAGTACGTGTGAGCTTGAAGGGCCTGATTCATCGGGTAATTTCTACCCTATGTGCCTATGTCCGCTGGGTTTTACCGGAGTCACCTGCGGCATCGAACTCCCACGTAAGATTGAATGATCAGGGTTTTTTAAAAATAATTCGTATACTCCGGTCACACCAATGAGACCGACAGCAGACTAAACAATAAATCACATTACCCCGATTGGCCAAAATCAGTCTGTGTGGAGTCGGTTTGCTCGTGTGACTGAGGTGTTAGGAAATCATCAACTTCACCACTATCTTGATCGTAATAAGGGTTGTTCCGCAGAAAGATTTGGACCCTGTCGGGAATAATTTACGAAGAAATTCCCGGAAAAATCACAGTATCTGAGGGCAAATGTGCAGTATTCCTGTGGATGGTTCCTGTAGATGGTTCATGTGGATGGGAACCCCTATACACTCACCTAGTCATGTTGAAAAAATAATACAATTTAAAAAACGAGCAGTTTTTAGGGCCAATATTTTTTTTTACATTACATCAGTCTTCAAAACTATGGAAAGAGCGATTACCTGTACAACCAATTTCGAGAAATATTGAGCCTTCATACAACCGTTTAATCTTAATACATAAAAACTTTATTGGAAATGTATTAGGCTAGATAGTATATTATTATCTAACCGAAAACATGGTTGTGAGAACTACACCCATTTTTTAATGTAAAATAAATCATCCTTCTGTTGTCTATAGCTACTCCTAAGTGCCAACCGAACCCCTGTTTGAACGGAGGAGGATGTACACCATCTCCGAGTGCACATGTTGGATACATATGCAGCTGTCAGCAAGGTTACACCGGAATGAACTGTGAACACACCGATGGTAAGTTGCTTAGTGAAGAAAAGAAATACTCAAACGCACATTCTTTGAAGAAGTTTTTAAAGATAGTCGTGCTTTGTGTGCATGGTTATATATTCTATGAGATGTTTTTGAAAGGTATTGTCAAGGGTTTCCCTACAGTCGATTAGAAATCGCAATATTTATCTTGCAATATCGTAATCTCAATCCTAAACATTTTGTTCATGTATATTTCCCTGTTCTGTATAGTTTCAATTAACATGAGTTTTTGAATCGCTAGAAATTTTCAAATTGTAACCTTGAGTAAATATGATTGATAATTTACGACTGTGAATCAAGTAGTGGCAAATAAAGCAAACGACGAAGCTGTCGTATACCCCTTATTTTCGAAGGCCTAGCAACAAAATTAATATACATTGTAATGTCTTTGTATAGAGCATGGTGATGTCCATGTACACTATGCTCCCCTTCCCTTCCCCTTCCCCTCTCCCTGCCGTCAGGAGAGAATCTATCTTTTCGTTATCACTAATTTTCTGGATTGGCCATTTAATTAATGAAATTCGCATTCTTCTTTTCTTCCAAATTAGTACTACCTTCTGACCTGCCCATCGCCACTGAAACTGAAATTCCGACTGCCCAAACCCGAGAGATCCAGCCATGCCAGTCGAACCCCTGTCAGAATGATGGCACATGTGTAGATAATGACGAACTATTTATTTGTCTTTGTCCAACCTTCTTCGTTGGACCTGCATGCGCCACGGATATTCGAGGTAAGAAGCGATCTTCCTTTTTTTTTTTCTTCTTTTTTTTTTTTGGGGGGGGGGGGGGGGCAATTTGCTTATATAAATCTGATGTAGATCTCGGATTAGGTTAAAAGGAATATTGAATTGCAATTTTAGAACCGGCCTTTATCCAATCCTCATGTTGATAATCTTCTTGTTCTGCCTGTGAAAAAATATATTTACTTCAATTCTATACTTGAATTTTCTATTAACATAAACAGATAAGATAAGATGAAATCACTTCTAATCTGCTGAATAATGATTGTGTCGACAAATTAATGGGTGAATTCTTTTTGCCAACTTGACATTATATGAATACAATTTGAAAATATGTATGGATGGTGCCTTCTTTTATATTATCTTTATCAATGGTAATGAAACTTTGGAGAAGAAAAAAAATCTGTTTATGATTTTCATCTTCCAGATTGTTCGTTCGGAGGTCAATCATTCAAAGACGGAGACATTCGAAACGAGGGGTGTGGAGAATGGTAAGTTATACACTCAGCAAACAGAAAGAAAAAAGTATTTATAACAAGGATTTTGCTTTATATTTGCCATTTTAATCAGACCTTCTAATGTGTAATGTAGGAATTAATTCCTTGGAATGCTATAGAGCGCCGCAATGGCAGCACAGCTAAAGCCGGGGTAATAATCTCCAAGTTTGGAAGCGCTTAGTGATTCTAATAAGCGCTATATAAAAACTGAGTATTATTATTATTATCATTAATGTGTCCACCAAAACGTGGAAGTTCGAAAATTGATCGTCATTGATTTTGGTAGAGTATTTATTTTCCTTTATTTTTTATTTACATTTTATCATATTTTATTGATAGAATATGACCGTTTTGAACAATAAATAGTTTCCACTTTCGTTTTCGCCCCATTTTTTTGCTGAGACATCATGCATGCTCTGGCCCATCTTATTTTCTTAATTAAAATCAGTGTATTGAACAAGGGGGAGAACAGTCTTTATACATGTTGTTCTGTAGTCAAACAAAGAAGGCTATTTTATTCGAGAGATTATATTTAATTTCATATAATAATAATTGCTAATAATAATTATATGTCTTGTTTACCCAGGGTAGCCTCATCAGTATTCATACTGTTCTCACTGAGGGCCCTGTAATCATATTTAGTTTCAGTTCTATATAACTTTTGCTATCTATTTTGCTTCTTTTCAATAACCATAAAGCGCCTGGACATAGAAAACCAACAGTTGTTTCTAATTGCTTAAAATATGTATGTATCGTATCAGTATTCTTGTATCATGACTGACGCATACATTCAAATTGTTTCCACAGTGTGTGTGACAACTCGGAATGGGAGTGTACTACCAATGTGTGTGGTAAGTTTACTCATTCTTCTCCGTCCCTTTCTTTTTAATAAAAAATGATGAAATGTGAAAGTTATGGCTGAATTATATCAAGTAACAAAAAGCGAAGTAAGATTTACCCGTCATTATACATCTACAGTAAAATAGTCCATATCATTTATTTGGAGATGATTTCTGTCTCTTTACATTACATCGATATAATCCTTTAATATGATTGATAAAAAACGTTTTATGTAGTATATATTTGACATTCAAAGATAAATGAGAGTACATCACACAGAACTCTTTCACTTTTCTTATACATTTATTTACATATTCCTTGACTACTGTAACATCTGGTATGTTTCAACATGCAAGGCAAAAGACACTTCACAATACCAACGCGCTTATCGTTTGGTGTTATCATTTTTCCTTGTATTACCCTTTAACTCTTAGAATGTTACGCAGATGGAAATGTATACAATAACGAGGATACTTGGTATGAAGACTGCAATACATGGTAGGTGAATTATTTTCTAAATGAGATCATTACCATATATATTCTATCAGTTGCTAACTTGCTATCTATAAAAGAATTGAATAAAGAGGGAAAATAAAATAAATAGAGAATTCTGCTTTTAATTTTTTTTTTTATTATAAGCGCTTTTCATTAGACCTAATTTCATTAACTTGACCGAAGCAGCTAAAGAATACCTCCAATGCTTTAGGGTGTAAAATCATGTTTCTATCCGTATATGTTGGCTAAAGATCTGATTGTAATTCCTTTCTTTTAACATGTTATATATATTTTTTTAATTTCGTTTTCTAGTTCCTGCCAAGATGGTATTACTTTGTGTACAACCATTGATTGCAGTAAGTATGACGTCATTGTAATTCTTAAATGCGCATAATAGTGAAAATACGAAATACATTTCAAATATGATCACTCCTTGCCTAAGATGTAACGTAATGTAGTTTACGTGTTCACACTTAACAGAATATCTTGGTATGCATTGAGGTTATATTTTTTTCATCTGAGTTTATTTTAATGCATTTGATTTTATAGTAACAAAGGTTTGCAAGACTTCATCGACTTAATTTACATCCTGATGCAATGCCTAAAATAGACGGTTTAATGTTAAATTTTGTTTATGTTCTCATTTGGTCACCACAAAGGTAAATTTTCTCTTTGTTCAGTAATTTAAATCCCTCGTATTTCTTTGCAATCGTTTTTTTTTTTATATGCCTTCGGTAACGTGAATGACATAAAAGGTAATCCTTTCTGTAACTCATGTCAATATTTGTTCGTTGTTCCTATTTCTTACTTATGATGCAGGTTCAGTTTGTCTTCATGATGGTCAGCTTTATGATGTCGGTAGACAACGAAATGACAGATGTTCTACATGGTATGATTATTATTTATATTACTCTCTCTCTCTCTCTCTCTCTCTTCTGACCAACGCTATATTTTGTTTAATTAGAAACAGAAGTGATTTATTTATCATAACACATATTGTTTTAATATCTATTTTTTCATTAAAAAAACGAGCAGGGAATACACTAGAAATTATCAAACATGCACAGACGTTACAATTCACTAAAATAGTATCCAAACAGTATACATCTCAAGTATTCCATTTACTCTTTTCTGTGCTAAATATCAAATATTTAGAAGTACGTTCCGATTACAAACATTTAGTTTATTATTCATTTCTGTTCATCTCTAATCTCATCCCATCTCTCATATACGTATATATATATACATATTTGATTTTCAGTCTTTGTCAGTTCGGTCGCTGGTACTGCGCTCAACTCGATGACTGTGGTGAGTTTGTCACTTATGAATAGAGCATAATAGTAGCAGATAGCTGCTATGCTAAATGTATTTTCAAAGATATGCATTTGAGCGTATTATACTCTTGAAGTACTTTTAAGTCGGTTAAAGTTGCGTCGTCCTCGCAATGTCTGAATTTGGAGTTTCACCCCAGTCCACGGTGCTACATGCTAGGCCTTGTACTCAAGATACTTCCTTAGTATAGCTTTTGTTTCGAACGATGTAGACCTAATACTTCACTCATTGTGAGCATGCTACACTAATCTTGTAACTGAATGAATAACCACAGTCAAGTGACTTGTGTCTAATGAAATGCTCCTATTTAAGGTTTATAAGTACTTTCTTTATGACATGATACTTAGCCGAAGGCATTATTTTATCAAACACGAAAGAATAATAACCTATCCATTAAACTATCCTGAAAGGAGCAAATATGAATTGTGGGTTATAATAAAATGCTTTAAACTAATGATGGCCCACTTTTCCACCACTATTTCTGAACAGTTGACAACACTTGTATGTATGGTAGTACGCCCTACGAGGAAGGAACCATTCGCCCACAGCACTGCAACCTCTGGTAAGGAGATTGTTCCGTATGGTTTCCCTGTATTATTGAAATGAATTTTCAATTTCTGCAAAGTTATTAAAGACAGAATTGGATACAATTAGACTAGGATATATGGAGAAGGCTAACTGAACAGAAAAATATATAAATGCGCCTCATAATAGATGATAATAATAATATTTCAAAAAACCAAATAATTGCAGCTGAATATAATTCTATCATTAACGTTCTTTAATTTAGTAAAGAGTATGGCAATCAATTATTCATTGTCAAGTTGAATTTTATTCTTTTTAAAATCTTGCATTGACTTATTTATATATTCCCCAGTACTTGTCAGCAGAATGACTGGCAATGCACAACGAGCAGCTGTGGTAAATATGTTTACATCATTACTAAAAAAGGGTGAATTCTGCATCTTTTTTTATCAAAACAAAGTACAATGATTATTTGTAAAGTTTTAGGAGAAATTTAATGGGTTTTGAAGATGCATATTTTTAGGATTACGTATATAATTATGTCGAGAATTAGTTTAATGTTAGACAAGCAAATGATGCAATAATGATCGAATTAATCATTCATGGTCATGCTATTGAGTATAATTTTATCACATGGATATATCTGTATAAAGATTTTTTATTGTCTGGACCATAGGTCTAGACGATCGAAGATGTGTCTATGTAATAGTAAGCATTTAATGATTGAAGCCTATACATGTATAATGAAATCTACTTTATTCTCTCCCCCCCCCCCCCCATTTTCTTCCTCATTTTCTCCCTTTCTTTTCACCATCTGATCGGGTGTCCTTAGATATGTAGTAAGTAATTTTTTAATATTATCCTTGGCTAAATAGTATCTATATTTATGACTTGCGTCATGCAAATGACCACAAATTTTGTTTCTTCGCTCTCCCCCCACCCCACATACACATAGCAGTGTATGTGTGTGGGGGAGGGGTGCTGAGTTCAGGGGCGTTGCTAGACCACTCTAAATAGGGGGTATTGGACCAAATTTCCCGACAAAGAAATAACAGGTTGCCGGATATGCAAATTTGCAAGCATACATTTTTTAATTTTCTCCCAAAGAAAGAAAAAATACACAAAAAGTCAGCACTTTTTACATTTGCTGGCAGATACCCTGACATGTTCCACCAGAAAATGTGATGGCGGATGATGGAGTGTGACCCCACTCCCTCTAACAACGCCCCTGCCTGGGTTGAGCTATGGGAGGAAGAGGTTACTCAGGCCTCACTCTGGTCGAATATACCAGCCCACCACCATGACAACCATGCATTCAAAATAGCATAAGTCTGTATAAAACAGTAACGTTGACACATTAAGATAATCATGTGTAACTAGTATTAAAAAAAGGGAATAATTATGACGTAATTTTAATTTGTTTTCATATAATTATCAAGCCTGATCATCAATCATTACAGAACTCGTAGTGCTTCACGCATATGGTATTTTTGTTTAAATTGAATTGAAATTCATATTTATTTATTTTTCATATCGGTACAATAATATGGTAAACATAAAGATCCGTGCAGTAAATGATACAGTAAATATAAGAAGGCGAAAATCAAGGCTTGTGTTGAGAACGCCCATTACAAATCATGACAAGCATCAATCATATACAGTAGATGGAAAAAAAAACTGAGAAGAGAGTTAGGCATTGGATCGTAAGTTCATTTTAATTATATACAGGTTAGTATATAGATTGCGTTTATTATTTCGAGCCTTCTATACTAATCAGTGTCTACAATGACGCCATCGTAGACTAAAGATTACAGTGAATTAGAATATTAAGATAGACAGCATACATTTCTGTGTCTGATAATGATACGTTACATATGTTTATCTCTATTTCACTTATTCAGTCCTGTGGTTACTCAAGTCACCATTGAATTGGACAAAGCTATTCCAGCAGGAAAGGAGAGTGACTTTAAGGAGTAAGTTGAATTTAATTTAATTTAATTTAATTTATTTCCACATTAATTAAAAATACAGAAACACAGTTATATACAAAAGTAAAAGTATAAAACCTAATTAAACGCTAAATACGTGCAAATTAAGAAGATAAAAGGTCAAATCTCCCCTATACATAGACTGTACTCCTTGACAGTACTTCAGAATATTTAAAAGTATATTAAAACTGTTTAAAACTAATGTGATGTATTTTCTTCCCTGTATAGAATGGCTAACACTTATTAACATGCTCTTAAATAACGTTATGCCCAGCAATATGAAGTAAGCTGAAACATCCTCCAACTTTATACAACTTTGCTTTTGATGAATCTATTAGTCGAAGGTTCGATACCCAGCTAGCACATATCGACGGCCCTTTTGAATAATACTTTATATTGTTATTGTAGATTTCATTTCTTTCTTTATTTAATCACAGTAACTCGCGTCAGCCTACTAAACCGCTGCTTTAACAGTTTAAGAAATACAATGAATGTTTGATATGGTGGAGTGTAAGCTAGTAAGTTTCTTTCGGTAGTTCGCATAATATTGATACGAGTGTAATAAGACAATAAATTGATCCCTTCCTTAAATAAACACAACAATGTTTTTTTGTTTTTTTCTCATTCTAACAGTGCATTTCGGACAGGAATGGTCCAAACCTTCGTAATTGGCAACACACAGATTCAAAATATGGAAGTAAGTAAAACAAATATATATATATATAAAATAACATTTTAAAAAATTCTGTTTTTTGTTAATAATCCTCAATGGGGCCCGAATAATTAGTGTGATGTGAATATTAATGTAAGAATCATCATCTCGAATTGAAATGCCGGAATTTGAGTGGGTAATATGGGTTTGGTTATTGGTAGTTTATTATTTGAGTGTCGGTCAAAACAGAGACGGTTCTGTTCCGTTATTTTATACAGCATTTAATCATGTTAATGATTTAGGCGAAATTAATAGCATTGACCGTGTCAACCTCAAGTATGAAAATAGAACTCAGTTTTTTTTTCTTCAGAAAACATAATATGTCAGCGTTATTTTGATACATGCATTTATCAGTTAGATATAAATCTTCTACCCTTTTAATGAGAGAATGTAGATACTGTTATTGTTCTTTTTAATGAATAATACAATATGCTTTACATAGTTGTTCTGTTTCATTCATTTAACAGTTAAATATTCAGCACGGCATATTGTGGCGTGTTAAACTACCAATATTTTCCCCTCTCTATCTCAGATCCGCCCTTCTAATGGGAGCCGAACGTATCTCCAATTTAGTATTGTCAAGAATTCGTCGGAGGAAATCAGTGTTGATGTCATAACAGAAGCAATCCAAACCAAAGTGAGTTATTTATTTTTCAATTCCATGTCTATAGCGTACGTATTTGGAAATTGATTTCAAATATGGTATTAATATTCACAATCAAACTTCGGTTAAAATAAATTTGTTTCTTTTACTTCAAATATTTTCAGAACTAACAAAAAAAAACTTATACTTAATCATTATCAAATACGGGATATTCATAGATATAAAAAGAATAATAACAATGTGTAAACAACGCTCTTGATTGAGATTAACCTTGTCTTTATCCGTATGCTTTTATTCAGGTGGAGGGTGGAAACCTTGAGCTCGTGTTCGAGGGTCAAACATACCGTGCCATCTCGTCTACGTTCACGGAAATCGACATTGATATGACGACTGAGAAACCATCGGACGAGGGGAGAAATAACATGTCGGTGATCATTGGGGCCGTTGGAGGATCAATCGGCATCCTTGTCATTATCATGTGCATTATCGCCTTCGTAAGTATATTGATAACGTCCAAACATTGTTGAAATCAACAAATTTACGCTTTTCCATAGGGCCTGCCTACCGCTCATGTCTTAAACGAAGTGACTTACGAGTGAATCATTAAATAGTCTAGTTTTATATGTTTAAGAACAAATTATTCTTTGTTATATCTTATTCAGAAGACTGTGAAGTTTTAATAAGATACGACGATCATAATTCTGTGGAAACTAGAGGATTACATGTATGATATTTCATATAAAACTAGTTTTTACATAACTATGACCATCGTATCCTATTAAACTTAATTTTACAATATCATTTATTGTTCTAGCAAATCAAAAGAACTCGCGTTTCATTATTAAATCCGTGATTAAAAAAGACTCAAGGTTTATGTTTTTCCAATATATTGTTGTTTACAAAGCGATTTTTTAGTGGGTACGTTCGCTTAATCATTTCATAACAAAACACTGAATAGAATTAATGTTACATGTGTATCTATTTTGATCATATATCGATCTGTTCTTCTGTATCCAGAAGACTGACCTTTCATCAATCAGCAATGAAGCGGCTGACGAGTTTATATTTCAGCTGTTGCAGTTTTCCATTTTTACATTTTCATTTAAAATTCACATGAAGAGACACGCACCTAAAATAATAGCTCATGTTCTATCGTGTTCTTCACTTGGGACCAATATTTTTAATTTATTTAGAGTTGATGGATAATGTGTGATAACTACCCTCGTTCATGAAATTACAACTCTCTAGCATATTTTTCCATTTTTTCTTCATTCTAAACAGTTGTATTTTTACTCAAAGAGGAAAGGCGGCAAAGAAGGCAATGCCAACGTCCCACTACATCTACAGGTAACGAAGGAGATACGATATAGTTCATATTCACTCTATACTTAGCATATACATAATTATATTGCATCACTGCAAATTTACGGGACATTCTTAACAGATCGCCTGTATTAAAATAAAGAAACCGTTATTCATGAAATTTTGACCGTTTTGATACAAAATGTTAAACATGCATACAAGAATTAGTGATTGCACAGAGCCCATTACAAGGGAGGATTCATGATTCGAGTACCTCAATCATCTTAAATCGTTCTTGATTGATGCCCATGCACTGAAGACGTGCCATTGAGCATCTTGTTCATTTGACCAACTCATCTCTGAAACCTAGCACCTTTTTCATTTCTAAGAGCCTGATAAAACACAAGCGGTGAAATCACAAAGATGAAAGGGTGAAATACAACTTATTCATTTATTTTTCTTTGTATTTACATTTGTATCTTAATAGCGATTTGATGCGGTGACCCCGCCCGAATCACCCGTTAGTCGCAACGAGCGATCGCAAACAGTTCCAGCTCATTACCGCTTCAAGACGAACCCATACATATAAACCACAAGGGTGTCGAATCCAGAACCTAGAAGATTAAGTGTCATTCTTTGTACAGATTCGTGTAATGCTTCGTATGTCAACGTGCCTCAGTGAATGTAGGCCTACCATTTTCAATTACTTACATTAATCTATATAGGATTTATAGACCTCTGTAACAGATATAATGCAGTCTCTCGTAAAATATTTCAGTCCACGTGCGTGGTTTCGTTTGTTTATTTGACAATGATTGCTCCTATATATATCATCGTTCCAAATAGCTAATTACGAGCTTGAGTAAATTAAAGATATCTATTGAGCTAACTGGGATTATTTATAGGTCAACGTATAGTGAATTTATATATCAGTGCATTATGTGCATGCTAATGTTTTAATTTAGATTCTACCTCAAATTGTAAGAGTGAAAAAAAAGTAAATATTAAACCAATGAAATAAGAACTTGCCTTTATGTTCAATGATTGCATAATTATACTGCTGTTTTATAGTCTATTTATAATGTAAGTTACTTTCTTTTTTATCTTTATATTTTCGTATGTGAATTAAGTTGTAAATATATCCGCTCGTTAATAATTTTGTTTCCAGGAAAGATCTGAAATAACGTAAATGGCATCATTCACTACTGTAAGAGCTTTAATGTATTCTTTTTGGCTGTGAAGGTTATTTAATTTTTGGAGGAAAAAATTGTATTTTTATTTACTTTTCCTTAAATCATTTCAAAGTATACATGTTAAAATAATGTGTGGGATAAACCAGGAAGGTGAGACAAACACTCCCTGGATTAACTCAGGGGAGTTGCTATAACGAACGGCGGAGTAGGCCTGTGTGGTGTCGGGACAATTTTGGTAACATTTTCTGGAACTAATTAAACAAGCACATCACTTTTTCAAATTGGGGAACAGGTATTTAAAACAAGGGATCTAAAGGGATCTTAAAATATCTGCCGAAATAATTTTCTTCCTTGCAGATTTTCTTTCGGGGTGGGGGGTGTTGTCGCGCCCACCCACACCCCCTATATAGGGACATCCATACACGTAGAGATGTCTAATAAATCTGTTGATTGTAATTATTTTGAATCATATTTCTTACTGGACAGGACAATATTGTTACTTTGTAATTAACATAGGTTTCGGACATAAAGTATTCTGTAATTTAATGCTTTGCACATTTCTCAACATCTTGCTGGTCAAGGTGGTAATGTTATTGCTTTAACTACAGGATTATATGCTTTGTTGCCTAGTAAAATATGCAGATAAATTATGAAGAAAATATATATATATATATATATATATATATATATATATATACAGTGAGGAAAAGTCAAACGAAGCATGTCAAAATGGGTGCATCATATGTATGTAATTTTTAAGTTTATTTTAAAGGAACAATGCAATGCAAGGGAGACTGAAATGTGTTTGGAATTATATGTATTGAGATTAAATTCGTAGGAGTACCTTTGAGATGCTTTCATATATCATTTATTTCTTACTTTTGAACATTCAAATTACTTGGGAATCGGAAAGAGTTATCGTAACGTCCCCTGGTGGATTGTACTTGTATGGAGAAAATAGAGAACTCCTGTACTTGAAGCGTATTTATTGACGATTCAGATGAGTCCAGATGAAAATGCCTGGTCCAATAAGAGATATTTTCTAAATTGTTTTAGATTGAGAATTTCTTTTGAATCAAACCCAAATTTACAATAATTCATATTATCCAAACCAATTAAGTGCCTTTTATTTTCTGTCATTCAACCATCTATTGAGAACATTTCCTTTCCTAATCGCGTGTTAGCGACTCCCTTTTGACAATTAGGTTTTGTCAGAAATGAAAGCATTTTGCTAGAGGGAGATCACAATACAGAGAAGGAGAGAGAGAGAGAGAGAGAGAGAGTGAGGGAGGGAGAGAGAGAGAGAGAGGTGAGAGGAGAGAGCACAATATAATTTGAAATTAAAATGTAGTTCAAAATCTGGGGGTGTTTATTATACGGCCAGATTGAAAAGAACCTCACCTGTCAGTTTTACCAATCAATTAAAATACTGCGTTCTGATTGGTCCAAAGTGCGGGGCTAGCATTCTCTCTATGCGTTCGCAACACGCATACACATGCGCCGAAGATCTGTATTGCATTGCGCTTTGCACTGCACTTATTGTGCACTGTATTATGCACCGCGTATAATACGCGTATACAAATTCAATGTTAACGCGATTGCGACGCTGTGCATTATTTTGAATGCAAAAAAAAAAACCCACTGCCGGTTATCATTTAGCTGATAAACCAGACATATTTAGAGGTTGTCATGGATGTATCTTCATCTGACGCAGCTGCAGAGCCAGAAACTGAGGAAACTTTTGCAATGTTGAAACATAATAGGAGAAAACGAACGATCATCACCCCGGAGCAGTTGATGAAGCTAGAGGAGCTTTACAAACAGGAGCAATGGCCAGGCAGGGATAAGAAAGAAGAACTTGCTAGGGAAATCGAGATGTCGACACATTTTGTTAATATTTGGTTTCAGAACAAACGTTCGAGAGTCAAAAAGCTGGTACAGGAAGAAGAAGAAATGAAGGCAATGAAGAGCAGAGTACATGTAGAACAAGATTCTTCGCAGTGTGATAAGAAAGTTCTTCTAGCCCCCAAACCTGATTTAAGAAGCAATTTGTTCAGTCCTAACGTCAACAATGCGACAGTCGCAACACGTCTTCCTCCGCCGGTGATCTCGGCTCCCATTCAAAGCGTGATGCCATCTTTGGGAGGTTTGCCAGTCTTCACTATCAGCACTAAGAATGTGTCTAGCCCCGCTTTATCTGTTTTAACCAGTTTGCCTCAACTCACTGTTCCTCTTATTCCACAAAATACGATTTTTGCAACATTTCCACAGTCTGCTTGCCTGCAAAATAAAGACAAAGTTAATGCGAGTCCTTCAACAACTTTGCAAACTGCAACATCACTTGGGAAAGCTGATTCAGTTAGACCCTCAACTACAAACTTGAGGTCTCCTCATCCACCAAAGAGATTCAAGTCTACCACTCTGACAACACTTTCGTCAATTCCCTCATCATCATCCATGAATGACACTGTAAGTAGACTCTATATCTAGGCTAGATATGAGGACAAGCGCGTAGCCAGGATTTCATTTTAGGGGGGGGGCTGTAGTGAGCACGCGAAGCGTGCGAATCACTTAAAGAGCGCACGAAGCGCGCTCCCTAGGGGGGTGGGTGCAGGGAGGGGGGAGTTTTGAAAGAAGACGATTCGTTGTACCTTTCTCGACTCATAATTCTTGTCTGAATTCAGTCCCTCCCCTCTCTCGCGCGAAGCTTTGACGTTTCATTAAATTATTAGAGAAAGAAGACGATTCGTTGTCCGGGTTCGTTGTACCTCTCTCGACTCTTAATCCTTATCTGTATTGTAACAAATCAGTGTTGTAGTATTGGACGAAGGTTAAGCATTTTCTGTTGTACGAGCATGCGCTATAGCAATATGGTGCATCGTTGATTTAGCAATTACCAAACTGAAGGAAAATGAGCATAAATTACATATTTTGATCATGTTGGTGCAATTATCATGTTTCTTTTAGGGATATTACTTGTATAGTAGTGATCTAATCAGGAATAAGGGGTTATACTGAAGATTATATGTGAAGATTTTATGGGATTAGTAGAAATGTGGTGTTGAAGTGTTGTTTTACTAACGAGGACATAATTGTTCTTTTATACGTTTATGTATAGGGAAATTTTTAGGATGGTCAGGATTGTGTAATTAGGACTTTCCACTGCACTGTATCCGATACAGGCCAGCCTCACCGAGGCTGGCCTACTTGTAGTTGGCACTGGCCTTAGTCTTTACTTGAAGTCTTACTTCTAGTCCACACTTGTACTTGTTGAACGAGTTTACCCTGAATTGTTGGTTGGTTCGCATTAAAAGAATTCAACATGCAACTCATGATTGGTCTGATTTCTTAGAACAGTGAAACCGTAGTTAGACATTGAGATCGAGAATCAGTGACAGGAGTTGACAAAGCATGGTGATTGATTGATTGATTGCTTATGCTCGAAGGATGTTCAATTGACTGTTGCTGTGCACAACGATTGGGGTGACCGATTGCAGTCGAAGGATGCATGATTGTTAATACGCCCTGTGACGTGAGCAGTGAAAGAACTCCAGCCATCAAGCTACGGGCATATACTTTGTCCAAACGGACGGAGAGCGCCTGGCCGACACGGGGCATCCTGACAAATATTCCGTGTCAAGCCAAGGTGGCGAACCGTGTCCGCCACACATGGTGTCAGAAGTGGGATTGCTGATGGTGTGGAGTGGTCGAGCTGACGGAGCTGGGGGACGACGACAGTAGCACTGACGGAGCTGGGGGACGACAGGCAGTAAGTCTGACGACGTTACAAGCTGGTAGAGCTGACGGAGCTGGGGGACGACAGGCAGTAGGTCTGACGGCGTCACAAGCTGGTAGAGCTGACGGAGCTGGGGGACGACAGGCAGTAAGACTGACGGCGTCACAGCTGGTTGAGCTGGGGGACGACGGGCAGTAGGTCTGACGGTGTCACAAGCTGGTAGAGCTGACGGAGCTGGGGGACGACGGGCAGGAGGCCTGACGGCGTCACAAGCTGGTAGAGCTGACGGAGCTGGGGGACGACGAAGGGCAGTAGGTCGGACGGCGTCACAGCTGGTCGAGCTGATAAAGCTTGGGGGCGACGTGCAGTGAGACTGACGGCGTCACAGCTGGTCGAGCTGAAGGAGCTTGGGGACAACGGGCAGTAAGACTGACTGCGTCACAGCTGGTCGAGCTGACGGAGCTTGGAACGACGTAAGGTAGCATTGACGGTGTTGCAGCTGGTCGAGCTGACGGAATTGCGGAACGACAATGGAGTCGTATAATGAACCAAACATGCTGCCAGACTGGTTTGACGGGGAAATTCCCATACTGGACTACTTGGAGCATTTCGAAGCATGCGCAATCATCAATAATTGGACGGAAAGAAAGGCAACGCATTATCTAGCAGCCAGTCTACGTGGGCCAGCGTTGAGGCTACTGGGGAAGAATGGTGAGGTAGAACTGACGTACAGTGCATTGACCAGCAGGCTCAAACATCACTTCGGACCTTCAGGGAAAGCTGATGTATTCTTGGCAGAACTACGTTTCCGACGAAGGAAGCCGAACGAGACCCTTCAGGAATTGGGCCAAAGTATCAGATACATGGCAGCAATGGCTTACCAGGAGTTTGGTGCCGATGGACAGGATGAGCTGGCTCGGGGTCACTTTCTTGACGCAATAATGAATCCAGCCATCCGAGAAGGTTTGTTTCGGGCTCAGCCACATACCCTGGATGAGGCTATTGGAGCAGCTCTGAACACGGAGGCTCTTCTTCAGATGGAAGCAGAGAGGGGAGAGTTGTGGTACTCTCACCGTCACAGTCACAGCCGGGTACTGACAGGTAGCGATCGACCTCAGCACCCTGATAGCCCTTATACACCCGAAATTTTGAAGAAGATGGAGAAGGCGCTAACTGATCTTACAGCCAGATTGGAAGCACTGACCCGCCAAGTAGCAAGTACGTCGCAGTTTGGCAATACAGGGCCACACTCCCGGGGAAGACGTCAGGACGGGCCTTGTGATGATTGTGGCCAACAAGGACATTTTTCTTGGAATTGTCCTCATCCAAAGATGCTGTACGCACATGACCGTCCAGAAATGAAGGAAGCAGAGACCAGACGTTGTCACCAGTGCAATGAAGCTGGGCATTTCTTTCAGAACTGTCCTCATAATCCAGCTGGAGGCGATGGGGTGGCGACTAAGCACCCTGAACAAGACGTTGGTGGTTCAGTTACCATTCCACCAGATGAGGATTCGACGAATGTTGATGCACTTGGGGGGACGGTAGATGACATTCTACCAGACGAGGAGACGGCTGGGGATCCACCAGATACCCTTCTACTAGTGGACGAGGCAATCAAAGACCCGTCAGAGGCTGTCCCAATAGATGAAGAAGTAGCTAGAGATCCACCAGGTACTGGCCTAGCAGTTGGCGAGGTGATCAACGAGGTGTCAGTCGGCGGCCCAGTGAAGCATGAGGTAGCCCAAGACCCATGATTTGAACTCTAGAACAGTTGAACACTTTTGGAAAGAGCCATTTTGAACTGTCAGAAAAGACTTGGATTTTAGTTTTGAATTGTTTTGATAACATGTTATGATTTGTTGTTTTTGCATAAGTTAGAGATAAGTTAGCTTGGGGACCAAGCTTGGGAGGGAAGGGAATCGTGTAACAAATCAGTGTTGTAGTATTGGACGAAGGTTAAGCATTTTCTGTTGTACGAGCATGCGCTATAGCAATATGGTGCATCGTTGATTTAGCAATTACCAAACTGAAGGAAAATGAGCATAAATTACATATTTTGATCATGTTGGTGCAATTATCATGTTTCTTTTAGGGATATTACTTGTATAGTAGTGATCTAATCAGGAATAAGGGGTTATACTGAAGATTATATGTGAAGATTTTATGGGATTAGTAGAAATGTGGTGTTGAAGTGTTGTTTTACTAACGAGGACATAATTGTTCTTTTATACGTTTATGTATAGGGAAATTTTTAGGATGGTCAGGATTGTGTAATTAGGACTTTCCACTGCACTGTATCCGATACAGGCCAGCCTCACCGAGGCTGGCCTACTTGTAGTTGGCACTGGCCTTAGTCTTTACTTGAAGTCTTACTTCTAGTCCACACTTGTACTTGTTGAACGAGTTTACCCTGAATTGTTGGTTGGTTCGCATTAAAAGAATTCAACATGCAACTCATGATTGGTCTGATTTCTTAGAACAGTGAAACCGTAGTTAGACATTGAGATCGAGAATCAGTGACAGGAGTTGACAAAGCATGGTGATTGATTGATTGATTGCTTATGCTCGAAGGATGTTCAATTGACTGTTGCTGTGCACAACGATTGGGGTGACCGATTGCAGTCGAAGGATGCATGATTGTTAATACGCCCTGTGACGTGAGCAGTGAAAGAACTCCAGCCATCAAGCTACGGGCATATACTTTGTCCAAACGGACGGAGAGCGCCTGGCCGACACGGGGCATCCTGACAAATATTCCGTGTCAAGCCAAGGTGGCGAACCGTGTCCGCCACAGTATTCAGTCCTTCCCCTCTCTCACGCGAAGCTTTGACGTTTCATTAAATTATTAGAGAAAGAAGACGATTCGTTGTACCTTTCTCGACTCTTAATCCTTGTCTGAATTCTGTTCCCCCCCCCCCCCCCCCCCTCGCGCGAAGCTTTGACGTTTCATTAAATTATTAGAGAAAGAAGACGATTCGTTGTACCTTTCCCGACTCATATTTCTTAATTTGAACTCAGTTTCCCCCTTCACGCGCGAAGCGCGGAAGCTTTGACGATTCATTGTACCGTTCTCGACTCCTTTTCCCTTTTTCTTCCTACGTCCTCTTTTCTTTTTTTTCTTCGCTTTCTCTCTCTTTTTTTTTTTTGGCCGGCGTTTTTGGGGGGGGCGACTGCCCCCACCGCCCCCCCCCTGGCTACGCGCCTGTATGAGGAGCGGATCCAGCCGGTGGCAGGGGAGGGGGCCCAATTTGTGAGAAAATATTTAGCAGCGAAATAGCCGGCCGATAATTCGCTCAGTGGGGGGGGGGGGGTAGTGAGCACTAATTTTTTTTTTTCGCACCCCCCCCCCTCCCCTTGAGCGCCAGGGGTGGGGGCCCATCTCCAAAAAAAGGTAAAAATTAATGTGTTTTTACATGTTTTTTCCCCAAGGGAGGGGGCCCGGGCCCGTTTAGAATGAAAATTGCATTGTTACAGTAGACCCCTACCTGCATTATTAGGCAATTCAAGCAGAATTTTAATTGATTAATTTTTATTTGTGTTGTGCTCCATTAACGATTTTAATTCCAGACCCTTGCATTTTTCCTTGATACATATTTATAATAATGATATTGATTATTTAAGAATGCTAAAAAAAGTAGTACCACAGCGTTTTTAAAATGAAAGAATGTGAAGAGAAACAAAATATATAGACTTATAAAATGTCACAATATGTAACTGAGGGAAGAAGTAAGCTTTGTCTGGGTTCTTGATTTGCCTCTAATTCCATCTTACTGTTGCTTTTGCATTCAGATACCACCAAATGTCTGCCAGCAGCCGACACAACATCCAAGATCTTCAAACTCTGCTCCAGTCAGAGCCCCTGATTCACCTAGCAAACTCAGAACTCTCACCAGCTCACAAGATACAGTAAATAACGTTCCTGCCCCAACGCTTCTTCGCTGTATGGTCCTCATGATGGCACTCTCTGAATTGCCTTGTTCTATCCCCAAAGACTCCAGTGAGTTTGACCATGCAGTATGTGCTATGTTGTATGGTGTCAAGCTGAATAACGGCAGAGTGCTGACCTACAACAAACAAGATGGTTTCCATATTGAAAAGGTGGCAAGGAAGGGCAAGAAAGGAAAAAAGAAGAAAAAGCGAAAAGCAGGCAAGAAGAAATAATTATGTTGTAGTCACAGAGAAAGGCACAGCTCATAGAGAGACAAGATGTACATTATTTTCTCTATTTTTGTAGAACTCAACTAGATTTTTAATATGCAATTTTAAAACATGTATTTATTCATAACTTTGTATACCTTTGATCGCTTACTGTATATCATCTACTTTGTCCTTCTCTGAATGCTTAATTGACAAATAAAGTCAGTTTGGGTTTATATGATTTAGAGACACCATGGGTAAAATGTACATGCAGGTTTATGCTATGATGCGATTGTTCCCTCTTTACACTTTACTTCATGATTTTTCTAGGGATGTACACGCATTCAATGATGATTGAGACCGAGGTTCTATCGACCCTTTTTAAAGAGATTTCATGTAAAATGAATAGCATAATATGAAACAAAAAACTTGCTTGTCAATTTTCATTGTCTTTTGTTATATTACTTATGATGTATATTTATATTTCTTTTTGTCATTACCCTGAATTTGATTATTTAGCTAAATTTGCAGTGTTCAGGGATTTCAATGAAAATTTAATGACACATACACGCGTTGTCTACTAACAACTTTTTACTTTTAAGAGCCAACAGGTCCCCCCCCCCTAAAAATAAATAATTGTGGGGCTGTAGTAACTATGTCATTGTTGGTCAAACAGCTTGTGAGCGTCAAGTAACGCCCGGCTGGAATGTAATAATATATTTGTAAAGCGCTTAGAGACATTTGTATTAAGCGCTATATAAAAATTAAATATTATTATTATTATTATTATTATGTCACTAGACTGGATCAAATGGTTTCTGATTTAAGTCTAAGGGAGCCATGTACATGTACAGTACATGTAGTACTTATGTCCTTTGGAAAGACATTTGTCTACAATTGCCAATCTAAACCCAGTGCAGCTTTGTAAAAGCCATAATAGTAATAGTACTTTGCACGTGCCTTTGAGCAACCCTTGGGGTCGGATATGTGCATGATATACAGTTAACAACTAAATTATTCATACCCTCACCAAGGTTTATCATTTTTCGAGAATGTAAAAAATGTATTTGTCCCAATTTATGTTTCTTCAGCGAATGTGGCATATTAAAGGGATAGTTGAGTTCTGTTGCAGAGGGCACTACACAAAATAATTTTTTTGTGCGATAATAAAAACTGAGCGTCAAATTTGAAAGAACATACAATTTAAATGACAAAATCATCTTTGTTTGATCAAAATCGGGTCAGAGACGGCTGAAATATCCATAAGTATAACAATTTCTAATACTTGTGTACCACCACAAATATTCAATAATTTGAAAAAGCCGTTGAAAAAACGAAATAGGGCCTTTTATGTTGTATTTTAACCAATGCCGATGTTGGCTTTTTTGTGTTGGTTTTAATTATATTACGCACAACCAGTCGGCCCATGTATTGTTATTTTTAATTAAAAATCAACGGTTACCATATTTTTTGACGGTGGAGCTGAATTGGTATGATCGTATTGGCTAAATTTCACACATTTTGGGGTCTAAAATAACATTCATAGCAAATTTAGGTCCTAAAAGAGCACTAGATATGTCAAAGATAAGAATAAGAGCAATAACCAAGCATTTTGAAGGCATTTGCGGTCTGAAAACAGAACTAAACTATCCCTTTAAAGCTTACATGTAAAAGTATTCAACAAAGACCCTAGTTCAACTAGTACGCCTTTCATTACTGAGTTACAAATAACACAAAAAACATCAAATTAACAAGGGTTATGAGTAATTTAGTTGCTAACTGTACATGTAATGTATGTAGCTGCTATTGTCAGGAGTGTTTCTACACCTTTGCCTTTTTACGTTTTCGGGGCAGTAAACGTGATTTTGTATTATAACTACAATTTGTAAGTGTCTCTGAATACTATAGATTCATGACATTGGTTAACAATTTGTTCTATAAGGATCAGTTATATTTGATCTGAGACCTTCCCTTTACTCTTGGTAAATTTAATTCTGTTTTATCTTAGTGAGAAATTTACATTGTAGTTCATGTAGATTGATGTAACATATTTGGTACAGTAATTAGCAGTACAAGTATTTATTTTTCTTCTTTGTCATGTAAATTTCTGGATGGAATAAATACCCCTATTTTGCATATATACAATAATTGCTTACTTTTTTCCATCTTTTTATTTCACAATAATCCTATATTGATATTTAGTCAGTAAGACATTCAAGAATGAAGAGACAAAACAAGGAAAATATAACTTATCAAATTTCATACTTTAATTAGAATCATCATTTGCCATCAAGTGAAAAATGAACATGAATAATGCTTTTTTAGAAGATTGATAGTCATGATTGTATTTTAGAAGAACAAACATCACATGACTTGGCCAATTTGTTTAGGCCTATAAAGTTTTTCTTTGCCATAAAAATACAAAATGAACTGTGCATGCTTCCCAATATATATTCCTTAATTTCATAAGGACTCGAATTTCATTCCACATACAACTATACAACAAACTACCCTTCTTTCGCCATAGGAATTCAACCACCAAGTTTTTATTACTTATTTCTCTTTTGAAAACTTTACATATCTACAAACATACTTCCCTACACATCGTATGATTTGTTGTTCAGGACTTTTTCATTTCAAGCAAGATTGTACACATATTATAGACAAAATAAAGTCCACCCTTTTTCACATCTGGAACTTCTTTATCAGGAAGATGGACACAAACCACATGACAACTTTAAACTGATGCAACATTTTGTTACTGAATGCATATTACACTATGCGGCTCAACGTTTCAAACCATTTTTTCATAATGCTGCTATATGCTTATATTTGCAATACCGGTAATGGATTGTAAATTGCTTTCCTTGACAAATGATGTAAGATACATATTGTCTGATTGTCTCACAAGTTTGTCTTATGCAAATCACACTGCATTTATCTATTTAAAAGCAAAAGTAAATTGAAGAAAGGAGTGAAAGAAATGTTATTCTGCATTTGTTTTCTTTTGTTCACTAGTGATACAGGGGGGGGGGGGGGGGGGGGGGTGTTAAAATGCAACAGAAAGATGGATCAACTACAACACTTCAACAAACTGCACACTATAGCACTTGGTAATAAAATTGTGATATATCATCTTTGAGAAATCACTTCAACCCAATATATATCCTTTAAAAATTATATACTTTTCATCTTTACATTGATTAATATATCTAGAATAGATACCGATAGTTAGAGACCCCTTACTGCATTTGATGTATCAAATTTAAAAATACATATAGAGATTCAAAACAATTATATGGAGATTTAGACAAGAGTGAAAGGAAAATTTAGGTGTAATCAAAGTGGGTACTTTTAATAAGTCATAAGAATTAATTACTGTCAGAGACTGCTGGGAATTTGAAAGTAAAACAATTTTTCCATTGCTTGACTACAGATCTTTATCGCATTAAAATTATGCATTCAGTATACCTTCATAGCCTTAATATGCTTTAGCAGACTAAACTACATATCCCATCATTTCTGTACGACCTCCTTGTGAAAAAATGCAAATATAACTCACTTAAAAATTATGTATACCCTTTCTCAAGACTTTCAGCATCAAACTAACTTAACCCTTTTCTCTTTTTATGGCAAGTTTATTTCCCCATACAGTTCAGGATCCTACTTCTTTGAAGCAAAGAAACAATGCATATATAATATATGAAACAGTTTACAGAAATGACTACAACTAATTGTATGTATTTTACTAAATAAAAAATAGTAAGTCAGATTTGCATTCATGATTGTAACAATTCTCCACTGTATGATCATATTTCCAACAAACACATTCATACAATTCAGGATGTTAATAAACAATATGTTATCCAAGAAGGCTTGAAAAAGATTGTACTCTTTTATTGATGCCTGATTTCTTTGTGAGGCAATTCAATGAAAGACAAATAGCTATGATCAGTGAAACATTTCAGGTCAATGGCACTGTAAGTGCACTGTGTACATTTGGAGGACTTTTTTGTAATTTCTTGTAATCACCATTTCTCACTCTGCTATCAGTAAACTAAAATATTACAAAGTGCATCCAATTCTGTGCACCACAGCTCCCTGGCCCTACTACCCAAAACTTCAATTTTCTTTATTATTGTTCACATATAGAAATACTCTTTGTAAGAATGGTGTTTCAGGCATAACAAATGACCTGCTGGAAGATAATGTATCAACAGTGGAGAAACAATGCATAAGTTTGATATGTGAGATATCTCATGGAAACGAAAATGAGTATCAAGAGAAAACACATTTTGTGAGGTTGAGAGGTTGACGTTAGACGACGCTCCACTGCATGCATGACATGTCACGCCCTCCTGTTGAGATCAGTTTAGTCGAGTCCCCGTTGAACGCAACACTGGTCACATGACTACTGTGACCTTTGAATGAAGTGCAGTCAGCCTGTAAAATACAATATGATCAAGAACAATTTATATCAGGATTGAAGATATCAAGCTAAGTGCAGCTATTGTTTACATTTTGGGGATTTTTTCCATTGGAGTGTGTGTCTTTCAAAATCCAAAATATTAGATTGTCATCCAGCATAAGGTCCAAACAGTCGGAACTTTGTATGTGGAATCATTTTTAATACAAAACACCTTCTAATTTTACTATGAAAAGGATCATGTTAATGGAAATGTTTTTAATAAGCTAGCATGTCCATGAGCTTAGAATGATAAGAAAATTCACAATGTACAAATAACAAAAATGGGGTGGTATAAATCAACATTCATTAAATAATTTGATTTATCAAAATTCTTTGAGACCTGTTTTCCCTACAAGCAGAGAAGATGAGACATACCTTGGGGTGGTTGACTGGATAGCGGAAGAGATTGATCTTTCCAAAGTCATCTCCTGAAGCCAAGAGGTTTCCATTGGCTGATCGTGCTGTAGTATTGACGTCTGTTCCATCACTACCTTCTGGCCAGATTCCTGAAGGATGAGGTAAAAAGTGAGAGATTAGAACAGATCTGTGAATAACTGTTTCTTATTTAATGCTCTTGGATGACTTCCTGTTGATTATGTTTGTAATCAGGTTTTATTTGCCAAATCAGTATATGATGTGATCAGATACTTATTTTTTCTCCCTTTCACAGGGTTTCTCTATTAAATTATATCGCTCACATATGTATACAAGAAGAGATATATACATGCAGAATTTCAAAATGATACTAATTGTCAGATCAGATACTTATTGTCAAATTACGACTATACAAAGAGAAGCAAATATCAAAGCTCCACAGTTATTTGCATTTTTAAAGATTTAAGCTTGTGACATTCCAAATATTGTAGAATATTATATTGTTTAAAATAATAATCTTCTGTATACAAATCTGTGGAAAGAGCACTGATGCATTCTGGACCGTCTCTCCTTTTTTCCTTCATACTACTCCAATTATAATGTCAGAGTTCAGTTGTCAAACATTGGATGTTCGCAAACCATAGGTAATGATCTGGCTATCAAGCCAGGGTAATAATCGGGAGCGCCAGGAGGGTCAAATCTGACTGACATGAGCGCTATACAAGAACCCATTATTATCATTATTATTATCAAATGAGATGCAAATTTGTAACTTTAGGAAATGGTATATTGCATGTCATTAGAAATGTGAAGACGAATTCCATATAACGCTATTAACTCTTTATCTGTTATTGATGGAAATCCTAGACCGATTCATTGCTTTGAAGCATATTGTAAAAACACATTATACATGTGACACAAGTGGACCGTGGCAGTCCTCCGTTTGTCTTTTTAGTCAACCAGAGCAGATGAAGAGTTAATGAAAGAAAACAAATAGTTAATGCCTACCACAGACGGGATATCCTAGGACACCAGTGAATGTTGCCCACTCCACATCCCTCGTCTCTTTGCTGATGACGATCTGCTTGCAGGTAGATGCATCCCAGAAGAGTAGCTCGTAGTCACCGGAGTTGGACTGTAGTTTAGTGGAGTCAGCTGACCAGTCAATATGAGTCACAAAGCTAGAATGACCCTAAAGAAGAAGTGAAATAATGTTGATGATAAAGGTGATATTTCATCGGTGTGTGTTAGACATCAAAAGGTATTGTCCGTTTGTCCACATATGTTTATACCTCTGTCTATTTTCCCATTCTGTATTTCACTTGCTATTACTCTCACTTTCCTCTCCCTTCCTTTCTTAAAAATTCTCTCACTCTGTCCTTTTTTTTTCTATCTCTCTCTCTCCCCTCTTTCACTCAATTGCTTTCTGTTTATCTTTCTTTCTTTCCCCTCTTTCTCATGACTCGCTTAAATCCTGGATTAGACAATTTTGGTCCACTTCTGCAGCCCTTAACTAATCACAGACCACTGTTAAATCTTAGATCTAGAACAAATCTAACACCAAAATCAAGCGAGATTTGTACATCACCAATACACACAATTATTATGCAACTTTCTCTGCATGATTATTTGGCCTAGTAATTTAAATTAGTTTATTTATTCAAAGAGGGGAGTGAATACAATGTTTTTTCTGGATATGACATTGAAAGTAGAATACTTACAGAACATTTTCCAACTTTGGAGTACTTCCTGCCTTCTTCTGTCACTGAATAAATATAGATGTAGTTGTCATGGGAAGCCACAGCTAGGAAGTTTCCATCTGAGGTCAGAAGAAAAAAATCTTACATTTACATATCATAACTTTATAACAACTTGATAATATTAGGCTAATAAATGATGATAGGATCAGGAAATCATATTCCACTTTCACCCTATAGTATCTTATCCACCAAATCTTTTCTTCTTGTAGTATCAGAGACCGCACATGCACTTTATAGCATCATAAGTATAGCCTCTTGCTTTATGGAATCTCATGTAAATTACCTCCACAGAATTATGAGGTTGATTCTGTAATGAAAACTATGTCAATGCAGGTTATTTGATTTTATCTAAATGTGAAATGCAATTTGTTATTTCTTTTTCTCTGATTAGATAATGATATAATGTGTGGGTGCTAATGGGGTTAAGAATAGTTAGGTTCATGATCATTACAATGATCAATTTGCAAGGCCTCTGTAATGTTTCCCGTCAATACTGATTATAATCTGCCACTGCAGGTTTGGGGATTACACAACAAAGCTTAATACACTTTTAATTCAACATCATAGACATTACACATAATACATCTTTTTGTAGAAGACATACCAGGGGAATATCTGATGATGTCATGTTGCTCTTTGCCATCGGTATGTACAGTGATGAGATCCTGGCTCTCAACATCTAGGGCTACCCATCGTCCACTGGTCATTCCTATGGCAACCACTGCTCCAGAGGGATGGAATCCAGCTGACTGACATCCATCCTTCATGATCAAATAATACAATCAAATACAATCAAATAATACAATCAAATAAGATAAACAAAAAATACAATCAAATGATACAGTCAATAAGCATTTTCTTAAAAATTTGTTGAATCATTCATCCTTATCAAGAATGGTTTGAGACACAACAGGACATAGAATTCCCAAAATGATTTGTGCTAACAAAATAAAAGTTGTTGATTTTTGTTGTTTTTGTTGCCTGAATCCTCTTTGAATATGACAGACGAAATAAATATCTCATCATTGTACAATATACAAATGGTAAAGGGACTGGGGCTTTTTTAATGAAACTTTTAGGCCTAAAGCATTTATAAATGAATACAAATAAGAACTAAGTCCCTGATATAATCTCACAAGAAAAAAAAAGCTTTCCTGATCAGTCATACAATCAGAGTTAAAAGTTCAAAGGTCAAGCCAGGGAATTCTAAAAGAAAGGGCACGCACTGACCTCCATGAGCTTGTTCCACATTGGTTTGTGTTGTTCAAAGTCCCACATGATGACATTCTTATCGTAGCCACAAGTCAAGAATAGACCCTGGGTTGGATGTAAAGCTAGACCCCACAGCTCCTCTGTATGGGCCTACATCAAAGATATAAATGACACAATCAAATTTTGTAATCAAAGATTATACATAAACTAAATTTGTGGGTGATATCAGTCAAAAGTTCACAATTGTTGGACATGTGGGTTTCATCATTCTCTAAAGAGAAAATGAAATTGTCACGAGCTTAAACTCTTGCTGATATCTATTTGATGCAATCCTCTTTTTAGCTGGGAATTCACTTCAATTCAAGTTACAGTCAGATTTGAAATAATATCACAGTTATAATGTCTAACATGTTCTTATGGTGGCATCATTCCAGACAAGCAACAAATTGTGACTTGCACTAATAATCAATCTATTATTATATCAGTGTCCAGCATTTAGATGCACAAAATCAGAGAGGATACTCTTTCCAAAATCTTCCCAAAAGAATTCTGCATTTTATTCTAATGAACTTTCCTACGACATCAATCAATTTAATAATGCAAGGAGAAAATCTATATACTCCCACAAAAAAATTAATAAATCTTACCGTAATTAACGGTGTATAAACCGCACCTTTTAGCCTCCGAAAAAAATTCTATTTTTTTATTTTTTTTTTAAAGTTTCGATTTTTGCCCCTCCACCTGGCGCTATGCCTGGCAATGTCTCCCAGCTCAGTAATCGGTGTGTTGACTCACCACTCAGACACTAGAAAAACACTCAAATTTGTCTGTCAAATTAGTCTGTGATCTCAATATGTAGTTTATAATAATAATTCCTCCAATTTTTCTTCTATTACATGGTGTACCACAAGGTTCTATCCTAGGTCCTCTACTGTTTTTTAATTTAATTAATGATCTTACACATTCAGCTGCACCTCGTAGTTAAATGAAAGGCCTTCCCGCGTGGGTTTTTTTAACACGGACCAGGCTTGCTGCCGACAGAGTTGGCAAAAAAAAGTCGACCAAAATTTTTATTTTTTTATTTTTTTATTTTTTTTTAAGGGCGAAAAAGAGGGGTGCGGTTAATACACGAGGGCGGTTTATACAACGTTAATTACGGTAAACAACGAGTGCTACACACCCTTTTCATTAATCTCTACTAAGAATAACAAATTCATGATATCTTTACCCCCCCCCCCCCCAAGAAAAAAAACAACAACACAACAACAACAAACTGGTCTTACCTGAACCAATGTATTGAACTCTCCTCCCATGTTTCCGCTAAGGATTGCATTCCTGGTAGTTCCAACATAGAAGTCCTCTCCCTTGCCTTTACACAGCGTCCTTACTGGACCCGTGGCCTCTGTGACCTATACAGAGAAATAAGAGATAACATCGCATTTGAATACTATCATTTTGCTTGGAACAAGTTCCACCCAAAACGTGCTAAAAATAGCAATCGATTTATGCATCAGTTGACCAGAGGAGAATCTAACCTGCAAATTATTTCTTTTTAAACAGAATTAGCTACAAATATCTTGCATTAAAACTCTCGTTCATACAACGTAGAAACATTACTTCATCAAACTACTTTGTTAGGCACAAAGGTCATCAAAATTGTTTCTTCAATACGATTACTTGTACATAACATAACATCATAAACCTTGAAGTGTGAGTCGTAATGGATATTAATTTGATGTACAGAGAATCAAATTATGTAGTGCGAGACACAGATGATGACAAGGAAAGAAGGACAAGGGCATGGATGAGGAAATCTGAATTGTAAAATACGACAGCCTGATTATCAGTCAAAAGCAGAAATTCCAGTGAAAAAAAATAATAACTGGCAGTGTGGAAGCCAGAATTTATCAACCTTGGAGGGTTTGTTTGGATACATTCTGGTAAAAATATTGAATGATTAAACTGCAATGGAAAATGGTACAGGAGTCATGATGATTGATCATCTATTAGGACAACAATCAATGGCTTTGTACCTGCATACAATGAAAGCAGACATTGCCTTGATTTTAATACAGATAAGAGGATAAGTATTAAAAAAAATAAGCAAGTAATAGACTGTGAGGGATAAAAGGAGAGAGAATGGAAGAGAGGTGAGAGAGGGGAAAGAAAGAGAGAAAGAAATGGAGAGAGAGAGAAAGAAATGGAGGGAGAGAGAAAGAGACGGACAGACAGACAGAGAGGGGGGAGGGGTAGGAACAGGGAGAGAGGGAGAGAGAGAGAGAGAGAGAGAGAGAGAGAGAGAGACAGACAGATGGACAGCCAGAAAAAATACCAAGAATGACATAGTGAAAGGCAGTTTTGAGATCTGATAATGAAATGATATCCATCACATGAATTGGAAAGAAACTGTATACTAGCTTGTTAGCAAGCATGACAAAAAAAAATGCCCATAGAACATGTACCGGTAGTACTTTATGTCCTGTTAGTTGTCAGTGTATGCAATTTTCGATAATTTGTGTATCAAAATAATCAATTTCACCCATGGTGAACAATCAAGGAATATATTTAGAACACTCCTACTATGAAATGAAATTTCCCTGGCAGAACTCGACTTCAGGATTACTTTTCAGATACAGAGGTGGAAAGAATGCATGGTGGGAAGTCTAACCTGAGTGACCTCACTCTGTTGATAGTCCGCCGTCCAGAGAATAACCTTCTTATCCTTGCCTCCTCCTGACAGAATCTGACCATCGTTCATCACGCACAGAGAGAAAATACCGCCCTCGTGTGCTCCGAGAATAGCCTGGGAGATACGGGTATTGCCTGTGAGGAGCGACGGTTAAAGCATTAACTTTAGGAAAAAGCTTCCAAATCAGAGAAAATTATACATAAATAATATCAGTATTTTTATATTATATATTACCTTTTTTGTCACAATTTGATAGTGATAAGCCTACTTTGACAAAAAACCTTTGACAACATTTTTTTCTAGAATACAAATAATACATTTCCACCTGTCAAAATAAGTAGTATGGATTGTCTCCATCCCAAATATATTTATATCATGTCATAAACGTGTTTTTATGCCAACATATTTTTTGTAATCCATACATTTATTCATCATCAAATTGTTGATTCCGGAAACTCTTACTTTAGATACCAGTACCTCCTTCTTGACTTACCCTTTCCCCAGATGTACATGTTTCCATTGGAGTCCCCTGTAATCACATCTCCATTGCCAGTGAATGCAAGACTCAGCACGAACTTGGGCTTATCATATTTCTAGTGCAGGAACAAAGTAAAACAAAGGCCAAGGTTAAGTTGCATTTCTACATTGAGGTAACAAACTAGCCTTCCAATTAAGTCTTCCAAATGCAGTTAGCGTAGATCAATCTTTCATTAATTTTCTCAATGCTTTACAGTATCACAACTCTGAGATCAATGTCAAGCAACAAATTACCAAAAGGTCAGAGCATTTTTAAATGATGACCTAGCTACTGGCTTTAATGCCCCTTTCAAATGTCAAAGCTTATGATTAATATCCCCATCTGTTTTTGGCTCTTTGCCCCTCCAACTTGCAAATGTGGCCTGCCCCTTAAAGTATAAGGCCTGTATTACACTAATTCAGTTATAACTGACACTTGGTCTAAGATCATGTTTAACCCTTTGAACAAAAACTTAAGCCCAGCATCATGTTTATTAGAATATGGGGCAAAATGTCTGGGGCCTGACCTTAAATGCCACTACACCAAAGAAGCAGCTCAGAATTTAACCCTGTGTTACTAAATAGAGCTATACAACATCACAGACCTGCAAATAAAGGCCACAGTTCCTAATAATTAGAGACTTACCTCAAAGATACCAGACTTCTTGACCAGTTTGCCACCGGTGGTGTTCCAGAAGTGAATATGACCTTTTCCAAGGGTGATGATCTGTTCATCATTCATGGGGTGGTATTCACAGGCTAAGACTGGGTCTTGAGAACTCTGCGATACAAAGAGGTTAGAAAATGACACAAAATGTTATACATCATTCCCAAAATACTTGCGTTACCAAACGCGCAATATGTTTCATTTGAAGTGGCCTAAGAAGTACTATTTCTCCTCTGTTTTGTATGAAATACAATAATTTTTACAATATCACATGGACAAAATATATTCAACTTGAAATTTGCCAGTGATCTATACCGGTAGGTTAATAAGAAATGGAATAAAAAATTATTTTGAAAGCATTAATACTTTCAGTCTCTTACAAACAAGACTGTCAAAACCTAATGGATCCACATTTTTACCAGCATTTTGTTAATTTATATATGTATCAAATGAGTACTCTTGCTTGGCTTATATGACCTTTGTGTCACTGAGTTTCTTGAGAATGCAATGTACTTGACCTATCGGCAGAAAGTATTTTTTTTAAATGTAACTCCTATAATTGTTTATTCACTCAGAAATATACATACCTTTGTGTCACTGAGTTTCTTCTCCTTCTTCCAGTCCCATACAGAGAGAACATGTTCATTGGATTCATCCACAGCTGCTAGGTGTACACCCACATTCTTAAGAGAGAAAAATGAAACAAACAATTTAGTCCTTCTGAATTCAAAGCTCTTCCTATTACAGGAATTGCTCTCTTTGATAGCCAATAATCATGATGGAATGAACATGTAAATAAAATGTTTGAAATAATTTTGAAGTTGTTTTTTATGTGGAATTTATGTAGAAAAGGAAACAGCACCTTCAAATGAAAGTGTGGTAAAAGAGGTTGTAAAAAGTAAAAGATATTGACATAATTTACAATAGATACAACAAAAAATATATATACTGAAAATGCAAGGAATTATTCTTACATGCTCCTACAGAAAGATGTTACAACCTGTCAGAGGAAAATGTTTCAAGTAAATATTATGCTTGAGATATTCAAATGGGTTATGAGAGGACAGTAAATCTGGAAAAAATGCTGATGATATCAATCTTACCACTTTAGAGAAGCTGAGAGCGCAGACAGCCCTGTCAAAGAATCCAAGGCCTAAGACATGAAGGGTTTCCATGGTGATAGAGTTCCAGATCCTCACATGGGGCTGAAATGCAGAAATGAAAAAGAAATTACAATCTTTCCTATCTTACCAATGATAATAACTCATGTCTGCGATTAGATGAATTTTGTCACAAATAAAACAGTATAAGCATATATTTTCTTTCCAACCTAGCCACTTTCAATTCATTGGCCTCCAACTTCACTCTGCCTCACTTTCATTCCTTTTTCTGTCTCTGTCCTCTCAATTGTTCACAACATCAACCAACATGCATGTCATTCAATCTTTGCAGGTTGAAAGATCAAGGCCATTCATCGCATTATTTTGCCCCACAATTTGTAATGAGGTAAAGACAGCTTTCAATCATGGAATACGTCATATAACCAACAACAAAAAATCATTTAAAACACTAGCAATATTTGAAAATACATGAGGTACATTTGCAACAGCAGTGACCCTTACCTTTCCCTCATCTGGGTCGTGACCTGCTACCTGTCCTGTTGCTATGGTGACACTGTCTGGATGTACAGCAATGCTGTCAAATGAATTAAAATATTTATTGATTGATAACTATGCAAAACATTCAAAAGTGTGAAAAGCATTTGTTACATGAGCAGGTGTAATGTCACAGCTTTAAATGAAATATGGTAGATTTGCTTGACTTAGAAATGCATGAATATTTGACTTTTGATGCCATAGTCTTATAAACTTAATAACTGATAGAATATAATTGTATTCATTCAATGTTTTAATAGTATAAAGTAAGTATCCAATATTTCCAAAATTCTAATTGGTATGAAACTAAAGACCATCTAAACATTAAGTCCTTTATCAAATCATTACACACTCCACTTTTTTTCTTTCAATACAATTACCTCTTTTTTGTACACTCGCATATGAAGGCGATATCAAAGCTTTTAACCAAATTAGATGAGATGAGTTTTCATGGTGTGACAACCTTGAAATTGAACCATTCAAGCCATTATCAAATTCAACTTTTTTTTTCTGTAATTAAAATTACCTCTTTTTGTACACTAGCATGTAAAGGCAATATCAAAGCTTTTAACCCAATTAGATGAGATGAGTTTTCATAGTGTGACAACCTTGAAATTGAACCATTCAAGCTACCAGCAAGTATCAATTTGTCATGACTAAACATTAAGTGATCGAGACTATACTTGACATTATCTCTTTGTTATAACATAGCACTTAAAAAAGGGCATGGTCCTATTAATACCAGACATGGTATTCTGATATTGCAACTCTGTGTGTAAAAACAACTACCCAACCATTCCCGATAGTTTAAGTACTCAATAAAATACTGTGCGTGATGAATATGGCCTTCATTATACTTGTTCAAAACAGACACTTTTGGTTTTGCCAAAATCAAATTGAACATGATTTGATATATGTACAAGGAGAAGATAATCATGCGTTTTATACATCAATCACTGAGAACAGAGCATCACTATGAGATTACATCAATCATATATAGACTAAATCAACATTGAATTGTGAAGCTAGTTTTTACCGACACAAATATTTAGATTTTAACTATCAAAAAGTGGGTAACAGCTAGTTCAACCTTAAATTAAGTATACATGCAGCTACTACCGTCTTCCATCCATAGATAATAGGTTACGGTATTATATTCTTTCTACTTTTTTTTTTTTTTACACAAGGCCCAGATTTTAGGCTCAAATAAACAAAGAAATAAGTAAATGAGGCGTATCTTTTCTACTCTTCGCAGGTTTATGAACTATTAAGTCTTTTTCAAAAGCAGGATATAGTCATTGGACTGAATTACACACAAAAACGAAAGGAATGCAAAATGGGATGGTTCATTTACATTGTGGAGTGTAACCGGGTTCCATGTGAATATGCACTAGTCTATAATGATTGGTTTTGTCAAAACAAAATTGTCTTTACTACAATCTTTGCTCCACAAGTAGGCAGCCAAGCATTGCTCTTGATTACACACTGTTTTACGGGGCATTGAGGGGGTGTGAAGCTGTTCTTTGCATTTTGTGGTTTCCTTTCTGTCAAAATTATGATACAGAAGTTGTCCATCAGAATACCATGCGCTTGCTGCTTCATGTTTAGCGAACATGGAAGTCCTTTTGCACCATAGCACTACCAATGTCTCACTCTTGCCCTAATAGACCCAGTATTATCATGGCAAATCACAGTTGCTACTATTACTACAGGTATCGTCGCAATTTATTTCAGCAAATAGGTATTTTTGTTGAACCCATTGCCTACTGGAACTGGCTGGCTCCTGTGTTAAATGGGTTAATACAGTAATTTTTTTTTTTTAATGAAATGAGATGTCATTCATATGTGGTAGTTTCAATGAATACTTCATTTCATTTGATTTTATCCAGTATCTTAATTTTCCATGAAGTTCAGCAGAACTCATATTACAATTGCAAGAAAACACTGTCAATTCACCTCTTGACATCATCATTGTGGCCCGTGTAGTGCCTCTGATTCTGTTCTTCTACGTTGTAGAGGACTACGACCGCTGCCATGAAGTAGATGATCTCGCCCGTCGGCAGGAGGTACAGGTTGCAACGACAGTCTCGTCCACGGTATCCATAGCTGAGAAGGATTGTAGTCAAGGCATATAACAACAAAATTGTGGATTTAAAAATAAAAATCACCCTCTTTCTTTTACAGTGATCCTGTTCCTTTTTTATATTGTCTCATTTCATGTCAAACTTAAAGAAACATTAAAATTCCAGTTATCAATTATCACCAATTATCCTTTTAGTCAGAACACATGAATGTTTACACATCAATACACATGTTCTTGAACCACACCTGCTCAAATATACAAAAACAATTCCTATTTAAATAAGAACGCCTCTTACACACTCTCACTTTAAAGAGCATAAAATTAACCAGTGAAATTATATGGGAAATATTCTTGTTGCTTACACAAAATGACTGAATTAGTTCTTTAAACATCAAATCCATAAATCACCTAGGATTACACCATAAGCCCTGGATGTCCAGCAAGTAAAGATTGCCATCCCCCCCTTAATCTCAATGGCTATTGGAGGCAAGGCCATCTATCTCAATGTCATCTTCATATCCTACCATAATCCTGTCTTATTAAACTGCAAGCATCATTAATCGTTGATGTGCACAATGCATGACTGCTTTTCAACATTCACGATAATTTTAATATGAGAGATTCTAGCATTGTCTTCGCATCATTAATTTTCAACTGGAGAAAGGAAGACTCTGGTACACATTTCTAGTTTATAATAGATCCTGTTTTCACTTAACTACTCCTAAATACATCCAAAGAAATTAATTCCTTCTTCATAATAAGATACATATTATTTGATCTTGAACATTTAAAGCCCCTCTTAATTGTTGGGAGCCCCAAATTCACCAAAAAAAATTGATGGCAAAATTTCACTTAAATTGTATCATAATGTGAAAGAGGATGTCATTTAAGAAATTTTGCCATCAAATTTGTTGACGAATTTGGGGCTCCCAACACATTAGAAGGGCTGTCAGGGATGTGCAGAACATTCTTTTGTACATTTTGATTAATCACACAATGTCAATAAATAACATTATTTCATTAACATTGCTCTCCATTATCAAGGCCGCCACATTCGCTTGAACAAGCAATTCCAAATGAAAAAACATCTCAAGCGCAGAATCATTACAGTTGATTAAATTACAGCTCTCAGCTGGTCATACCATATTCATGATAGCTTCATTCCCTAATAGACCAACCGAGCTCTGGCCGAGCTGGCCGAGAGTTGTTAGAGTAATCAAGTATGCGCTGGGTTATGCTAATGGATTCCACTGACCCCATCCTGATGCGGACACTGGCTGGGCCTGGGTGGGTTATTTATGGAGAGGTTTACATATTCCTCATTCAGTAATTGGAAATTGGAAATATAGGCTTGAAACCTATTGGGAGGCCTTTGAAAGGGAGAAGCATGCAATCCATGCTGTTATTCATTGCCAATCAAGTGGATAGGCATGGGACAATACAGTATTTGCATTGGTTCGTTATGTGTTTGGTTCAGTAAAGGTTGTGTAAAGATAATGTACTCTGCAGAAAGAATATTAAAAATAAAAAGTAATAACAAAAACAACAACAACAGCACTGTTTTATTAAGAAAATTAAAATAATATTAATAATAACAATGATAATAATGATGAATTTAAACAAACAGTTCAGAATATAGATAACTGTATTTCATTAATGTTCTGAGGTGATCTCAATCACATATGTTAGGCTACATGTATGTGTACTCACTGCACAGCCCAAGGTGATATGTATGCCATACCGGTAAATATCTTCAAACCAATCATATGTTTCAAGAACTTTTTCATAATGAATGACAGTGCCTTTAAAGGTACGTACTACATGTACGTCCCATTTGCAGGCCGAAAAAATGAAAAGGTTAAATTCCAACAGAATTTGAAAGATAATATTATTTTTAGAACTTCCCTAAAAAAGGGTTGGGCTTGAAAATGTCTTCAAGTGGGAAAATAATGACCATTAGTTGTCAAATCGACTTAGGGGCTATAGAGCCAATAAGTAATAGTCTTGATTTTCAGACCATTGTACCGAATGGCCATACGTTTTATGCTACACAATGATTCAATCAGTTTAATTTTGGCCATCACAAGAAGTGGGTTATTGATGTAGACAAATGCTCATGTACCCTTTACAGCTCATTTTTTATGTACCGGTATGTATATTATGACCAAAGAAGAAAAAAAGCCAGTCACTCACTCAATAGTGTCTGACAGTGAAGTCTGGCAAGTAAACAGGTTTCCTTGCATAATTTGAATATTAAGACACTGCTAACGTTTAAATTTTACAGAGAGGACATACATGACATATTCATAATTCCTGCAAAGTTCTACAGAATTTGATGTTGGCTGCAAAAGGGACATATAGTACCTTTAATTCAATACAGAGATTACCTGTATTCAAAGTAATACCTGTGTGAATACAAATTTTAACAAAGCTAAAATCCAGCTGGCAATTCAAGGATTTATTTTAATCACCATTGTCTGAGGATTAAATCTATGGCAAATCAGCTAAAACTGGTCTACATGCAGGTACAGCACATGAATGGCATGATAGAGCCTGTTTTGTACATGTACATGTACATGTATGTATTAGGACTCCTCTTTTCAAGTGGAGACATAACTCCAGGAAGCTCTGACGCCAACGCCAAAGGCGTCGGAGCTTCAGTGCGAAGTCTGAAACAAAAATCAAACAGCGGTTGTGGTGACATTTTTCCTGAAGTGTGTAACGGTAGTAATTACAAATTCTGACTTACAGTGTTTTCGACTCCTCTGGGCATGTCGCACCGCACTTGAAATTATATTTTGAAGAAGTCTTCGATGGGAAAAGGGGCGATTCCTTGCCCTAAACCGAGCCATCCATGTTGTATTGTCAACATGGCGAAGAGAAAGTACGCATTCGCGTTAGCGGCGCAGCAAATATGAATATTCATGCTATAGAGCGTCATTCGCTAGAAAATGCTGAATATGCATGACTCGAAAGTCCCTCGGTCCTTCAAAACCTCGGCTCGGTTTAGGACGAGGAATCACCCCTTTTCCCATCGAAGACTTCTTCAAATTATAATTTCAAGTGTGGTGCGACATGCCCAGAGGAGTCGAAAACACTGCTTCCTGGAGTTAGTGAAAACACAGTCACGGGTACCTTCACATACCTTCATATGCTGTACCCCTGTACAACCCGTCCAACATGGCATCATAATTCAATCGAATATGCTATTAGATTATGAGAGGTTGAATGTGCTTATCAAGGCAGCACCATTCCTCATTATTGGATTATTGCATCTAAAGATGATACCCTTGCTTTAACCTATCCTCTACACACAGTTCTCCATTCTTCCCAAAAGCAGTTCCTGCAATAGTTGCATGACTGTCTGTTGCATCTTATTTGACAAGTAAACACAGACCTATGCCTTCACATACCAAAGGAAAAGATTTTAATTGTTTAATCTCCTTTTCTTATTTGCATCCATACAGAAATGTGGGATGTAATGGTATACATTTCCTTTGACCCATGCACACTGTAACTCACAGAGTACCAGCCCTGCAGAGTACCACTGCACTTTGCTGCAACACAGAGGGCAGACCAGATCATTTTGGTAATTAAAACAAAAGAGAGCAATCGGCGCAATTCAGATCATGATTTGGAATCTCCAAAAAAAAAAATGAATTGTTTTTTATTTTGTTCATGCTAAATACTGAACATGGTTCGCCTACAATTTCATTCAATGTCACTAATTGCTCTGTGTGTGAAAGACTACATGTATCATATGTTGGACACCCTGCTTCACTCACTGATCTGAAAGCAAACCTGAAAGCAAGTCTGGAAGTCTGATTAGCGGGAGGTGCTAGATTTACACCTCCATTTCCATGAAGGAAATTAAGTAAATCCTGGTGAATCGTTAACTTTGACACCAAATTAGTCTTGTCAGACATAATTATCACACTCTGCTGTTTTAACACCTCTAATGTGAATGGCTCACCCCTACATGGCATGCCAACATTCCTTCCTGATTTACTCCTGAAAAGGAAATTACTTTCTAAAGCTTCTTGAGAGAATTATCTACGACAAACTGATGGAACATGCAGTAGACAATGATATGATTTCATGTCACCAGCACGGCTTCCAGAAGAAGTGTTCATGTGTGACACAACTCTTAGAGTGTCTTTATGACTGGACGAAAGCATACGATGAAGCGAAAGGAATGGATGTCATATACCTTGATTTTCGAAAGGCATTCGATACCGTCCCCCATCGTCGACTGTTATACAAGCTTAAGCACAATGGTATCCGTGGACATATTCTCAATTGGATTGAGGGGTTCCTAACTGGACGCAGACAAAGAGTCGTGCTAAGGAACGGCACCTCAAGATGGAGGTCGGTGACAAGCGGCGTGCCGCAAGGGTCTATTCTCGGGCCGCTCCTCTTTCTAATCTTCGTAAATGACATTCCCGATATGGTTCTCACTACTGCTAAGATGTTTGCTGATGATACCAAGATTTACCGCCAAATAACATCGAAAGATGATTGTGACATACTACAGAGAGACTTAAATGCACTCGCTGCATGGTCTAAACTATGGCTACTTGAATTCAATGCTGAAAAATGTGTTGTCCTGCGCATCCGAGCAGCTATTAACTACAATTATTCTATCAATGGTGTTCATCTGCAGGAAGTGACAAACCAAAAGGACTTGGGAGTTATAATTAGCAATACCCTCACCCCTAACGAACATGTTGATGAACTAGTTAAAAAGGCTCGCTGTAAGATTGCAATGTTCCGACGCTGTTTCACTGCACTGGATGAAAGGAAAATCACCATTTTGTACCAATCCATAATTCGTCCAGCGCTGGAATATGCATCATCTGCTTGGAGCCCACTTACAAAGAAGAATATTGAGAAGTTAGAGAAGGTGCAGACCAAATGCCTACGTCTTGGTAACAAGGAAATTCCTATTGAGACATTGAAGGAGAGAAGAGCAAGAACAGACCTTATCAATTTGTACAAATACCTTAATGGCTATTACACAACTCCAGCACAAAGATTCTTCTCCCACCCAAATAAGGAATTAAGAGGGCATTCTAGAAAAGTGTTCCAAAGACGTTCCAGAACTCAACTGACTGGCCATTTTTATACAAACAGAGTGGTCCAACCTTGGAACAACCTACCAGAAAAAGTAGTGTCTGCACCTACAGTGGCGACTTTTAAAAGTCAACTGAGAGCCCTTCCCTTAGGAAAAGAGGGCTAATCTACCAAGTATACCAAGTAAGTATATCAAGTAAGTATTGAATGAAAAGTATCTGTACTTTTCATTCTCATACCACCGATACAATGGGATCACTGCTCACAGTCCATGTACATTGTAGTCCTTTTTGGGAATTTGATTTTCTGTTGAAAATTATAAAATATAGAAATAAAACATTAATAAAGTCTGACTTGTTTGTAAAGATTGAGAGTGAGTGTTGCTTTCTGAGGGGCTGAGGGGGATTTTCACTGCTTGGTATTTGCAGAAGTAATAAATTCAGAGTAGAAGGTGAATGTTCTCAGATTAGACGTCTGCATGTCTTCCTCGTCAAGGCCAGGTGACAAAGACGATTGTCAAATATGAGGTATGAGTCACTGATAGACAGACCTAATGCCCCATACAGATTGATAACTAGTTCCTAGACCTTCATACATTTCTATTAGCTGACAAAAGCCTCTACCTAGTCCCTCGGATGTCACGCCTCATTTAGTCCCAATTGCACGAATGCATTCATGTATGATGTAGCGAGATCACCATTTTCACAGACACCTTTTGAATGAGATACGTGCCCTGCTGGGAACCCTGATGAGCATTTGTTGCAACACTAACACACTAGTGCCAACTTTATATTTGCAGTTCACACACCATGAAAGCTCTCAGACAGATTGATAAATTGCTACTCATTCGTGACTGAAACATGGCCGTCATAATAGCATAGTGGTCTTGACATAATTGCTTTCAAGTAGCTGACTACTGTTTTCTTATCAAACAGAGTTTAACAACTCATATAATTGTGAACCTTTTCCCTTGGGAATCATACTGTGCTATAATATTAATTTCTTATGTTGTATACTGGTTAGTCAGGTTCGCATCAAACAAACTATTTGAGTTTTTGCCCAGTACAACCAAAACAAAATAAATTTAGCTTTGAGTTGGGGGGGTTACAACAGCTAAACCTACTTTTAGCTGAAATGAATCAACATTTGAAGGATCATTTTGTGAACTCGTTTCATAAGATTAATGAATACAATTCTCTAGTCTAGATGATATAATCTATCACATGCTGTAGCTTACAAGACCAGAAGGACAGAAACATTGTAGTTTTAATTCAGCTTTACCCTTGGGCAAACATGGCATCCTTTCATTCTTCAGTAGACAGTTTGTAAAGTAAGATTTAAAGGTTATGCAAGACGGTACAATAACGCAGTAATGTGCAAAACAAATACAGACAGATCACTATCATGTACAAAACAATATCTTATTTTAAAGAGACAAACTCTGTGTTTTAAGGTGATTTGTGAAAGGATACACCCAGTCAAGCTTGAGTTTCTCAGTAGGAGCGGGGTGCTTGGCGTTGAGATCATAATCCTCAACGTCTGATGGAAGATAGTTGGTCACAGGACGCCCTCTCAGGTAGATACGGACGTAGCCTTCCTCTGCAGAAATCAAACCACAGGTAAAACAAGTTAGTATTTGATGGCTATACATTGTGTGAAGCAAAACCTTACATCAAATACTTCCAAAGTGTTACATTAAAGGATGAAGAAATAAAACCTCAAGTTAGTATTTTTCTGAAACTTCATAACTTACTTCAAAAAGAAAAAAAAGGGAAGTGTACATGTAATCCTGGTGATATAAAAAGGATAAACACAATATTCAGTTCTTTAATTTATCATTTCTCTTCATCAAATATCAACTGAATTGTGATTAGACCTCAAACAACAAACAAAAACTAAATTTAAAAACTAGATGTGGATTAATGTTGTTTTGATACAAATAGATTAATTTTACAGACTTCTTTAAAACCTTGTTCATGCATTGGCTCTGAGAACATTGTTATATAATGTGTTTTTGTGATCATTTAACTGGATTATAGACGAGCATTAAGTTGCAAATGAAGGCAGTTGAACATTCCATAGAACAACAAGGTTAGTACAAACACAAATGTATGAAAAACAAATAGAGGTGAGCTTGGAGGTTTGGACACGATTTCACAAAATGCACAAATACTTGACATGGAGCACAAATAACAAGCAATGAAGTTTGTTTTGCAAATTAAGTTAAATGGTAAAAGAAAGTTGACTTGACTATAAATCACTTCCTTATGTTTCTGGGTAAGGTAGCCTAGCAAATTGTAATGGCACAAAAAAAAAGCATCCATAAACATTTGTTTATTATTATTATTATTATTTTTTAACATCCATGTACTGTAGCTGAGTGAAAGTTTACCTAGCATTGAGCCTCATCGAGATAGTAAACACATTTACCAGCTCCATATCCTAATGATGTGGTTACACCCACGTGTGATAATATTATGATTTTCAACTATTTTAAGCTACCTAACAAACTGTGTATATTTCATATAGCTGTGCTGATGTGGTAACTACATGTACATGTATAGTATGTAGTGAATGAAATAATTGAGGTAAATATCTCAATTATTTGTTGATAAGTGCCTTATGCTCTCAATATTGTATGTACCAGTATAACTAATGATTTGACAATGTACAGTACAATGTAAGCAAATTGAGTAGATTATCAAGTATTTGTGGTTTCATTCAACATTCATCATTCTCTTGGTTGCGTCTCTCTCTCTCTCTTTCTCTTTCTCTCTGTCTGTCTGCCTGTCTCTCTTCTTGCGGCTTTTAGTGTGGTCTACCATGTTACTCTGAAGTTTCTGTACCAATTGTTCAAAGCTGTGCTGCACGTTTCTCTCAAACAAGACTTGACATTTCCCTTCTTTCCCATAACATTTTGCATGACAACACTGTTCAAAAGAAACTAAACATTGTGAAGTAAGCACTTGATCAAAAGAGCAAACTTTATCAAACTTAGAGGAAAGAACAGTATGTTTTTTAAAGGTCATAGGTTCGGTGAAAATGTCTGTGGAAAATGTGTATACAATGTACTTATGATGTAGGACTACAATGATCAAGACCTGAGAGTGAAACTGACAAAAGTGTTTATAGTTTACATCATCAACCCTGCCATAAAAATAACCACAAATATTTATATTTTAATGTTTTTCAAATTCTCCTTTTTAAACTGGGATTGATCCATTGTGAACTACATGTATATACAAGCTTGGATAAACTTATTGTATCAATGATGATACATGTACATACATCATTGCAAAGTGAATCAGCCAGGAGCCCATGACCTAAGGGGAAGACAACTATTATGCTTCAAAAAATAAGAAAGTTGGTATGAAAATGTGAGCATGGAGGAAAGAGGAAACAACTGGTGCGAACAATTCTGAAGAATACAAAACCTTCATGTACATGTACTTTGCTTGAACCCATGTGCCTTCAAATCTTTGACCCATCTTCTTGAAAAAATGACTTTAAGAATTTCTCATGCATAATATCATCACATTATCATGACACCTACATAGCCTAGTTTAACCAGATACCAAGTTACTTTCTCTATAAAATGTTCATGCATGAATAGATTATGAAAATGTTCAAACTCCCAAATAGTCCTCAGATTCTAGTTAGCTTGCAAGATAAACAAACTAATATCAATTGAAATCTATATTGTAACTATAAATAAATATATACTTTTCAAACATATGACACCTGCTAAATGTTTTAGCTCTAAATTATATCTCATCCCTTTGATACAGGTTTTTAATGTAAACTTCAATATCAATGATATGAAACGGATATTTTACATCACAACTAATTCATACAAATGAATTTTATGAGAATTGATTAAATTTTATGAGAAATGAGCATGTCATAATATAATTAATTGATTGATCAATTATCGGCATCATGAACATGCACGATGGTTTCAGCAAGGGGAAATAATATAATTTGTTTGGCCTGTAGTTGGTGTTGTCGATGTGACTTAGGTATAACTGTGTTTAGTAGCATCCATAGTGCATCTTGTTGTGACTGCTGCTGATGAGATTAGCCATTGTATATTGTATTGTATATAGTGCAAATCAATTGCATGTATTATGCATCAAGGCCTTGCCCTTTCAACAAACCGACAAGTTTTGAGGCTACTTCAAATAATACAAAACTCATTCAAGCCCTGGTAGATAATTTGTTGGTGACCCCAAAATCAATTTGTCTGCTGTAATCTGGTGTACTTCAAATACAAGTGGTCAATAGCAGGAAATCCACAGGACCAGAACAAAAATCTTAATTGCTGCATATTTCCTTCTTCTTAAGAGGAATAATATGCAAATCACCAAATCTGTGCTGTATCAAAGTGGAATTGTGTTTACCTTTTGCTTTGCAACTCCCATAAACTCTCTCTATATAGTGTGTTTGGAGTACAGGCCTTTTATTTTGATATTCAAAAGAAGAACAATCTCAAACAATATAAATTTAGAAATCATACAAATAACACCTGCTATAGCACATGAAAAAACATTGCAATGACCAGTAAATCATTTTACACTGTATTTCTGAGGATTTATATACCAACAAAAGATTATTCCCTTTGTTCATAATCCCCCATGGGAAAATGTGAAGTGTAATTTCTCATAAACATTATTCATTCAGGTAATGATATTCCCACCCATCATCGGCCATCCTAGGATTCCTAGCAATCAATAAGAAAAGCACCGCCTGTAGGTGTCCAGTCAAGCAGAGAGATCACGGCCATTCCTCTCACAAGATGCCTGTCATCATCAGCTCGAGTTTGCCAAATAACCTGCTATTTTAACTATTCTGAGAGTAAATTAGCCAGTTAATTGCAACCTCATCAGCCCGGAGTTGCAATGAGCGGGATATTTGGTCGAGAAAATATCCAGAGATATCTTGGTCTTGTTTCCAAAATACCTCGCTCTTTCCTAAATATCGGGTTAATTCGCGCCCGTTTGTGCAAGTTTGTGATGAGCGTATCAGTCTGGTGAAGTCACAATTTCAAGGTTCAGGATAATAGTCTGAGTCTGAAAATAGCGGGTTATTTGGCAAACTCGAGCTGATGAGGACAGGCCTAAAGATAATGGTGGACTGCTGGTGAGTGGTTGGGGTTTGTGTGAATTCCCGAGTGATCGATATTAATCTGCACTTGGCCTTGCTTCAAAGGGTTTATGGGCTTATGGCGTTTCGTGAATCTTTGTGCAGCAGCATGTTTGATAGATTTGATCCTAAATGTTGTTGGGATGCATATGCTATGTTGTGGATATTGTGAAATAATGTTTCTTTACAAATCAGATACTATTGGAAATTGAATAACTTCACACAATAGAAAGGACAAAATATAAAGTAGCAAGTAATTCCAATCTAAATGGTAAATTAATTAATCTTTACCGAATGATTATTTCATTACAATTCTATTGACCCTTTCCAGTACTGTTTTATTAAACTCTATTATGGTATCACTAACATCTTGTCAAATTTCTAAGATAAATATTAATATCAGGTTTCCATTCATACCATTCACATTTACAAAGACAAAAAAGGGTAAAGGGTGTTCCATGATCTTCCATGCTTAGAGGCTATATCATCAGGATGGAAGACGGTAGTAGATTTCCAGATGGTAGTTATCTACACCTGCTCTCCGGAGCATGAAATGACCATCACTGACAAAAATATGAATCTTTAATCTTTGGATGGTATCGGTGTGTCAGATCAGAGTGGACTTGTAATTAGTATGGCTCTTATTTTACTTCTCAGTCTCAACTCTCTCTGTGGTAGCTTGACTAGTGATATGTACATGTACTAGTGACGCTCACACAAACACACACAAATAAAAAACTTGTCCAGAATGCATGACTTGGACTAACATCTATTATCTCTCTATTTTTTGTTGTTGAAAATCTTGAAGTTTTGAAAACTTCATTGTACAAGTTTATAGCTCAATATATCTATTCTTCTTTTTGATAAACAATGATGACAAATTAAAAAATGATAATCATATTATGATGATGCTGCGGTTTGCGAAGAGGATGAAATTAAAGTACCGTTAATCAGATTCACATTCTTCAAGTTTTTCACATGCTCATACATGTTCATGTACAAATGTCAATGTCAATAACACATAACAGTAAAAATGGGATATACATGTACTACTAGATAGCCTTTAGGAGACGGGTTTCTCATCCTCAACCGATCAACAAAACAAGCAGAAATGCACACATGGGGCAAAATGCAAAGAAGTTTGGGTATTTCTTAGTTACATTAGTACATTATACATGCTTGTAATACATCTTGTAACAGTTTCTCAATGTAAATGGCACTTTCAAATAAATGCTGGCTGTCTATTTCGACCCATTCTTTTAATATCCAGCATATCAATGTACCTGTATGATTGAATTGTGAACATGACTCAAAGTTTAATGAGTAGAAGGATAAAATGTACCTAAATATAGTTTTTTTCTGTATACCGGTTCATATACCAGCTCTTATTGAAATTGAGACTAAATACATGTTGTACTAATTATCTTATTTGAAAATAAAACCAATATAACCTGACTGTAATGTTTAATTAGTGTGCTTCATAATATTCAAGCATGTTAATGTTTAATAATTATAGCTCTGTGCATGCATGCTCATGGATGTGTGTTTCTAACTAAACTAACTTTATTATAATACTCCATCAAATAGAATGTCAGTGATTGATATTACTACTGACAGAGACAAATCAGCAACAAACTTGCTATAAAGATAATGCCAATAATTTCAAGGGCATAGTAGATATAAATACAATTTGTAGCACCTTTTATGTGTCAAATTTCAAACATCAATAACACAGTCCTTTTATTTCAAATAAAATCTAAAATCAATAATTGGATATTGCTACTTCTCTGGGCAACTTCTATTGGAAGAAATACTCATTAGATTAACTGGGAGCTTGGTACATCCAATCCCTGGATGAACTACAGATGTCAACGGTGCAACTCAATGTACAAATGTATTAGTTTTCCTCTGTCTACATGACAACTTAATTTTCTTGCTATAAACATGCCGGATATTACACATGCATCGTGCAGGCTCGGTACATTCTCCTAAACTTACCCTGGTTATACGTAGAATGGGACGCTATAGCAGGCAGGGCACAGCAAAGCAAATTTCAGGTTAGACATAGAGACAAATATAACTTACAAACACACACAGGGCAAGACAAACACATTAAAATGGGGGTACAATGTACATCACAAATAAGAAGAGGACCATTTAAGCACATATGGAAAGGGTAATCGTCAAAATACAGCATACCAATATTATGATTGGAAGGGAAATAGAATATTTGGTTTCAATACATCATCTACTGACTACAGAAATACTGAGATTTCATGCAAGCAAATGTTTATCTAAACATATACATAAACATTTCAGCGGCACTTTTCTAACTTTGCATGTACCAGCAGCGTTTGATGGGGGACATTTTTGGCCGTCTTTTTAATCTTGGAAATCTAATGCCAGATAAGTTGATTCTTCTTGTCAGCTCTTTAAAACAAAAAGCTCAAAAATTCAATAACACTTGACTTCCCTAATTAATGAATATCAATATGTAAATCGAAGTAGAGTTACATGTACAAGTAGGTTACGTAATAAACCAATTGTATATCACTGAAAACAGATTTCATAAGTTAACACAGGAATGAATGGAAATTGGTACAGATGTATATTGCATAACACAATTGCAATTAGAGCATCTGTACAATTGAAATTTTCTTTTTCACTATCAACAACATAAAACTTATTTTGAAGAATACAAGCAGGGGTATTTTTGTATATTTTCAGAGCTAATTGTTAAGGAAAATATACAAAATATCAAGTCAAGAAAATTGTTTGTCACAAATGTTCTTTAAAAAAAAAGAGCAATGACAAAACCTTCAGAATACTATAAAAAAAACATACAAATTTGGCCTTCTAGTCACCTCGTCTTTATACTTCTTTATTTTCTTATCGCATGTAAGCACTAATCTTGTTTGGAAAAACAACTTTAAGCTTTTTTATTTCTTTACTTGTGCAATTTTAGACTGCTTCGGTAAACCAGTTTAGGGGTAGGGTGTGATAGCGGCTACATTTCTGAAATTTCTACTTGTCAAAGGAACCACAAAACAGATTAACACAGCTAAAATGTACAACTACACTGTACATGGTACTTGAGAGAGGAAAAGGTTTTCAACACAACACTACATCTACACATTCTGAACCACAACTACTACCAATGATAAATTTCAAATCTTAGATAACAGAAAACTTACCAGCATTATGCTGCGGCTCCTTTGAAAATCTAAACAAGGATGTCAAAAAGAAAGAAAAGAAAATTAGTAAATCACTACAGTACCCTTTCGTTTCCTTCCATTATGATATGTAATTAAACGGAACCCATTGAAGCTGCATTAACTTCATAAACCTGTATTTTCAAGGGGTATGGTAAAAGGTTCATTCTGATTCTAATATAAAAAGAAAGATAATAATTAAATCCATCAAGTTTTATATGAAAATCTCTAAATTAGGATAATTTCATCTACCGGTAAATCATTTTAATTTTTTTCATAAGGGACTCATATTTATGTATTTATAAAATAAGAATTAAAGTTCCACATGCTGTTACATGGAGAGAAAAAAATCATCTTATCACTGTCAAACTCATATTCCAGGGTTTATTTCATACTGCTAATCTAAATTGATTACAAAGTAAATATTTGTCATATTCAAATGAATTACAGAAATTGTTACACTAACTTAATTGGATCATTGGAGAAATATTTGTGGTACCCATGAACAAAGTAAATAATCATTAGCTTTTAACACCATTCAATTGGTAGTCTGCAAGTTATAAAATGCTTCATTTATCAAGCATTCTCGTATTCCAACTGCCAATGGTGGGAAAGCAAATATTGCATGGTACGTTTGGCACCTAATGTACACTGTAGTAATGTCAATTGACAAACGTGACTACAGAGAGGTGGTGAAAATTGTGTATCGTCATGGAATCAAAAAGAAGAAAAGATGAAAGGACAAGAAAAGCATGAACTCTACCTTTAAGCTTCTCAATTCTCTAGCCAGACAAAAATGAGGCAATTATTTATACAACACAATGCACCAGAATTCCAAATCAAATATCCGATTGACTCATTCTACTATGTATAGGGAATGTACACATGTCACATGCAGTATTATTCATTTTCAACTACAATTTCAATTCCCAAACAAGCACAGATCTTCAGTACTACATTTAATATTCAATTTTTCAACTGAAATGTGAAAACCTAGTATAGGAAAAGAAAACAGCAGAAACCACAAATGCTCCATGTGATTATCGGTACGCTCTGTTTTCATAGTTTCATTTCCTGAAGGAAATTACATTAATTCTTTGTTTATAATAAGACAGCCAAAGTATAATTTTTATTTATCATATTTTAAAGCAACTTTTGCTTTAATATCCAGAAGGAGCTTGAATTATTTAACTTCAAAGTATAATCACAAATTTATATGGTGTTTAACCAAAAGCATTAAAACTGAAATATCAATGTTTCAGTTACCATAGTCATTTTTATCAACACATGAATAGAGAAGTTATTATACAATAAAGGGGGTAGTGGTCTCAAGTCATCTCTTTTTGTTATGAAAAAGTTATGAAATATTTCAACAACTGACATACATGTATAACAACAAAAAATCTATTAGTATGATACATTAAATTAACCTTTAAATACTTAGTATAAATGCTTTATTCTCGTGCTTTAATCACTGTTTGTTCTGTCTCTAATTTTAAAAAAGTGGAACCCAAAAGTTCACACCTACATTTACCTTTACCAAGGAACATTCTTCTTGTGTATCATTCAATTTCAAAAGAAAAGAAATGCTGAAATAATAATGAGTTTGGGCTGCAGTCAATAGAACAGTGCTCAAAGACATTACTTTTATAACAAATAAAAACTACAAAGTCCAAAACTGAGTCAATACAGATCCTTCCGGATTGAACGACTTATGCCTGGGGTATTCTCTTTGATGTCTGCTGGAAAAGGCAAAGTATAATGAACAATCAATGAACACTGTATACTTTGCTATGACAAAATATGAACCTTGATCCCAATGTGTGGGTGAGTATTGACTTTGCAATGGCTATTCTCCTAGTTGTGTGTTTAAGCACTTTTTGGTGGGAGTGGCAAGCTCCACGTGGTGAAGTTTGGATTTCGAAAAAAAAGTTCTGGTGCTATGTTTGAGTTTCATTCCATCATCTCTCATGAAGTGTTAGGAACACAAGATTTTGTATACTTGTACATGGGAATTGAAAAACAATTTATGACCAGTTTGAATGATCTACTTCTTAATGTATGTGCCTCAAATACAGTGTAAATAACAGTAAAGGTATCCAACTATCAATCATAGTACCGGTAGACAGAAAATTAAGTTACATGTATAAGGCCAGCAGGGTCAAGCATGGAGCAACTGTGGGTCACTGAGCTTGAAATTGAAAGGACTATTGTAAGCCATTTCTCAGTTCCACAATATACATGTAGGTATCATGTTTACTTAAGACCAGGTAAAGCTTTATATTAACTGGAAAGTTGACTACACGATTGATAGCGTTGGTTTACATTAAAAAGTGTAACATGCAGTTTAAAAGCTGAAATTATCCAACTTGTAAAAAAATCATCCATTTAATAATCACAAAAGTATTTGAATAAAACTAAAAAGGTCAATAAATCACATAAAAAGGTGAAAGGTCTTAGTATTACTAGCATGCAACTGACATGCTTAAATGAACACTCTTTATGCCTTTAGGCCATTTAAGTTGATACTATCAAATGACAATACATTTTTGTAATGAAGACTCCAAATTTCCAAACAACCAGGAAATAAGAATACCTGTATGATAGTTTTTTTAGATGCATTAATTAAATTTCTATCATAAGTTGTATAAGCAACAATCGGCTATAACAAACAAGGAGACCCTAGGATTGTGGGAGGGTCTACGGATAGCGTCACCTACATTTACCAATGGGATGAAGCCATTGTGAGAGTCTGAGGCTCACAAAAGAAGCCCCCTTCGCTTATTGATTTTGAGCTACCCAGGAGTCACTAGGGGTGCAAGAGGTGTATCAATCGATAGTCTGTCCATTTAGAACTCTGTCTCTTTAAATTATGCAGGTGGAAACACAGGGGAGGGATGTAAACAAGTCACAGCTGATATGCTAAAGTTGTTAATCGGCGTAGAGTAATATGTTTACCAGTATACTCTGGATTCCAGAATGTACATTTATGGTTCAAATTCTTTGAAAACAATCAAGTGAGTCAACTTTGGAAACATACAGTAGTAAAGACTAGAAATGGTAATGAACAGGGTTTACTCAACATACATGTAGACAATTGAAGTTAACACTATGAAAATGCCCTACTCTGATACAAATATGTACAAATATTCACAGCTTATTAAATACTTTTCTTTTGGGGATTATAATAATCCAGTTTCATTATATCTGAGAGACTTGAGATATTAATGTTTTACTTGTTGGCCTAGCTTTTACAACATTAAAGTAGACAGCTGTTGTCAGGCTGACTACAAAAGTGCACTCCACTGCCTAGAGCGTCTGCTATTGATAAAGGTTTACACACATCGCAGTAATTTGAGCCGGAAGGCTCGGCTCCCTTCCTTTTCCTGGCCAGCGTCCCTCGATCAGGAAATTGATGAGCAGCTACATGTAGCTACCTTCAGGTTGAGGAGGCTTAGACTTGTCCTATTCTATCATGTTTGTTTCATTCAATCACATATTGCTTCGACAGACTAATTATAAATGTATTATTTCACCAATAAACATATTTTGAATCCTTCTATCGGGATAACTTTCTTGTATACATCATTGATCTTCAGTATCATTCAAAGGAGTATTTTATCAGATAACAAACCTTTGAATACAATTATGGTTTTATGACATTTTTACTTCACTCACAATATTGACTCAAAATTGATTCGCCATTTAGAAATTTATTTTTCACCGGTATGAATGCAAGATAATGTGCTTTCTATTCAAAAGTAGTACAATAAATATAATACATATAATTGCAAGTTTTACAACTTCCTTATTTATTTTTGTATTGTACCCACTTTTCATGAATACAAAGAACAAGATTTGATAATTGCCATACATGATATGACAGTTCTGAATTATGGCATTGTATCATTCACTCTGTGTCACGTCATACATGTAACTCATTCAAGTATTACCAATAACTGCACAGAAAAACTTGGTTTACATTACTGTACAAGACAAAAGACATTAGACAACCTGTCCTGTTAATGTTTAAGCATTTCTTATTAATTACAATCCTTACGTCAGAGCTATGAAGCTGCTATGCTCCATGGTCAGAACAGAACTATAGGACATTCTGGTCGTGGGTTGATGAAAGACATCTTTACTTACCCTCCTGAGTTAGAACCAGAGGATCCTCTTCTGTCCCGAGGCGATAGGTTCGTCAGGGAGGCACTTCTTCTTGATGACCCCGGACTGTGTGTCATCGAACCAGGGAATATTTTAAGAGGGGGTGTGCTCATAGACCAAATCTACCACATGGTTGACTTTGCTTTGCACACACCGCCATGCAATAATCTATGCATACCGAGTTCTTGGTACAGCTATTCCTCATTCAAATAACATTTCCTGATGCCAGGTTTGATCAAAATCAGACCTTCATGAGGACTTTTTTTCCTACATTCAACAAGGCTTCTTGTTCATGACACAAAATGCACTCCATATTGACTCACTTGAGTTGTGGTAATTTTAACCTGGTTACAAAAGTTCAGTATGTCATGATCAAGTCCTTTAGTTTTGTGGTTTCTGCCTCGTTTCTTAACATAGTTTTTTCTGTATTATTCATTTTCTGGGTTCATTTGGTACAAACCACTTTCAAGAATTTCTGATCACCTTGCCCTTGAGCTTGTACCTTGTAAATGCCATTTGAATGAGTGAATAGCTCTACCAACAGGACAGTATGAATGGGGATTATAGGGACAATGTACTATACCACCAGAGCTGATGTTGACATACAGGAATGCATGGCATGGCATGGCCTACCAATCACCATACCTGGGCCAATATAAACGGCAACCTGTGAAATGTGCGCATGAATTACAAACCCTGTCTCTTATAAGTACACTTCAAGAATTATGAACAGCCGGCACACTTTTACAATGTTGTACGCGATATAATTACAACTTACAAGTGCCCCATATGCCATCTGTGTGAAGATCTCTCTTCATCTATTCTCATATACTGCTCATACCACTCATACTGCTCCATAATTATAGTTGTTGTCTTACTTCCCAGACTATACTTCCCTCTAACTCTACCTCTCGTTATTAATCACACTCATAATACCCCTGATTTGAACTTGCCTCTTTCCTCCTGCTGAGCCCCCTCGTGGGCTAGCGCGTGTTCGTCCACTGCCAGGGCGGGCACTGGATGGGCGGCCAGGGGTGTTGGGACGCCTGGGGCTAGCGCTGTTAGGGCGGGCAGTTGATGGCCGATTACTCATGATTGCAAACTTTCACTTAGAAATCCTATTCAACTTCAATTAGATCAAGTCTTTGACAACAGTCCAGTGCACACACAGAGTCAGTGGTTGATCCTCAAATGTTGTCCCAGTGACTTCCAAAACTAACGCTCCAGACTTACTGTTACACAGTTCAGCTATAAACAGCAATCAAGCTAGGCTACGCCTTTCTGTATAAACTCCTCAATCTTTCTCCAAAGAACCAAATCCAAGACTTTCTCCACTTCAAAACTCTGCCTTTACTTTCTTTCTATACCACACCCTTGCCACACGACAGCCAGCCCAGACGTTGGAACTCTACCGTAAACCCAATTTACAGTGAGCTAGCTAACCACACATGTACACACAACAGGATCACGATCTCAGCTAGATAGAACCCGCCAAGCCAAGCCTGCCCACTCAACCTTATCCACGCCAGATGACTGGCTGCCAAAGAACATGTGACCAGATCTTTCCAATTATCCTGTGTAGTCACTGTGCAAAGCCCTGAGTTTAGCTAGCTCACAGTAAGCAGTCTGCCAGCTCCAGCTCTATACACTGTGTGCAATCAACTGTATTGTCAAAACTTCCTGTAAATCAATCAATAGAGCTCCCTCTATTGTTGGTTTACCACACAATGAAAGCTAAACATTCTTCTCCTGTTTTGTTATCAAACAAGTCCTGCAATCTTTCTTTACAGCATTCTTGGCATCAAGTCAATTGTTGGAGCTTAATCTTGATCTTGAAAAGAGGAATCCTAGCTGTTCACAGTTCAGTGAATAGTGGTAATCATGTCCCGAATGTGTCCGATTTCTGAAGTACCACTCTATTTATAAATGTTTAATCACTACATTTCTAATCAATTAAAAAAAAACTACCAATGCTGTAGATAATGAATAAAAGATCCTTACATAATATGCACCATTGCTATATAAGTATAACTGTTATCTGCATCTCCTACAAACCTTTTCAGAATTATGATCTTCCAAATAGGCCTCTGGTTGTGCAAGGCCAAGAATGTTCTTTGTCAAAGACATATATATGCCTAATATAAAAATTGATTTTTCTCATGTATTCTACTTTCATTGTCGAGAGTAGAGCAGTGGATTCAACAATAGTCTCTTCTTGTCTTGAACATAATGGCCCGTATTCTGAAGTCAGGTTTAGTTAAACCCAGGTTTAACTTTAAACCCGGGTTTAACTAAGCCAGACTTCAGGTCTAAGTATCATTTCAGTTTCTGAAAGCCAGGTTTAGTTAAACCCAGGTTTAAGTCTAAAACCCAGGTTTAAAGTTAAGCCAAGGTTTAACTACCATGGAGATGTAGTCTGCTTCTACTGCACATGCTCAGTACAGCTCATCCATCTTCAAGGGTAGCTGATATGGCCTTTATAGGCTTTGTTATAGCTGGATTTCGTGCTGCAAATTTAATAATTTTAATTCAAAATATTCGACACAAACAAATCTCTTTCGAAGCAACCATTGAACGTTATGACGTGATTTTTTGTTTTGTTTTACCCTTTGATTTATTGTTAAACTGCTGAAAAAGTCTGAATCGAGGTGGAATTGATCTTTACGAATAATAAATAATACAAAAATCGGGATTCTACAATTTCTGCATGCCCATGCAGATTAGTCAAAACTTCCAGAACAACATAAAAATGCTCTAAATAAGATTTAGATGACTAAAAGAGAAACTAAAAATGATCAAAAATACCTTCTTGATGCAAAATAACTAGTCCAAAGTCAACATTGCTGAAGCTTATTTGTTTGATTTTTAGTTTTTTTTAGGACGATGGAATCCTTTTTCGAACCGACATGTCGCGTATCATGATCCCCTTCTTGGTCACCGTGCGCGCATATCATCGATCGTGCGCGCATTCATTTGTACAAGTACACACGGTTTAGAAATATTGCATTGTCCTAACAAAAAACGCTTAAAATTCGACCATATTATATGAGCTTCAATGTTGACTTTGGACTAGTTATTCTGCATCAAGAAGGTATTTTTGATCATTTTTAGTTTCAGTCATTTTAATCTTATTAAGGCCTAGGTCTAGATCTAGATCTAGACCTCTAGTGCATCGTTCGGGGCATCTTAAGGATGTTCTCGATGTTTTGACATCATAATATAAATAGACTAGGCGCGCCTAATCGGTCTAGGTCTAGAGTCTAGACTACATCTAGGGCAGATTCTACCCAAAACTCTACTAGATCTAGGTCTAGAGTTCCGGCTTAATACACTCGTCGGCTCTTAATTATACTAATCCATGATTGTCTTATAAATATAGATTATTCTAATCCAACCTTAGGCCTACAGTTTTATTTTATCTCGCATTTGTTTACATCGTTGGGACGCAATTTGAAAATGTGTATTGCACTCACAGTTTCAAAACTACGTGAGCATAACGTCAAACTAAAGGTATGGGGCTACTATATTTGTTTTCCTCTGCAACAAAGTGATACGTGTTGATTTACTTTGGCAACTTTTTAGTTTCAAGGATTGTCGTACTATACAAATCACACAATCTTATATAAAATATAAAATCTTAAGACTTAGAAAATATTAGGCATAAAGATTCAATAAGCAAATGAAGTATCCAAATTAATGTTCAAACTTGCCGAAGGCATAAAATCGCAAGGCCCACTTTTATCCGCAAGCGATGTGTGTGTCTCTCCAATGTTGGAGTCAATGCAAATCGCTGTTTGTTTGGTATTTAAAAAAAGACAGCGATGACAAACAAATCATCGTCGCCATGATTGTGAAAGGTTTTTTTCTTTCCACAAGAGCTCTCTCCGGTCTCATTATTTGCAATAATTCGTCGTAATGTCTTTTAATGTTGTCTTCTTCTCCTCTGAATATCCAACAAATAGTTAGACCTGACTTAAGCCAGACTTAAACTAGGTGTACCCCAGGTTTAAATATGTGTACAATTTCCACAGAGTTAGACCAGGCTTAAACCTAGGTTTAAGTTAAACCCGACTTCAGAAACGCAAAATTAAACCTAGGTTTAAATCTGAGAGTTAGGCGAGGCTTAGACTAGACTTAAACCTAGGTTTAAAGTTAAACCTGACTTCAGAATACGGGCCAATGAATTAAGAAAATATTATATTGATACTGTTTAAGTGCAAAGTAGTATGACTACCGTATGTATGTAATAACATGAGAGTACTCATCTATACCTATGTACATCGATAGGACAGCTCATGATACTCTAAAATGGCAATTGATCAAGTAAAATAAAAGGCCCTTAAATAGTCTATAATACAACACATTATTTCTTATTCAGGCCTAGTGTAATGGTATCTTTATACTTATTAATGCATAAATAATTACCAGAAATGAGAACAATATAGCATATCACCTCTTTGGAGCCAGAAGGCATTAACTCCGTGTTTAAAGCAGAGACTATGGCCGCCACGTCTCTGGTTAAAATTACTTAACACCCTTCTGGCTCCAAACAGATGATATTTTCTTGCTTACCGATAAAGTACAAACTGATCTGCCAGAAAACCTTGACTTATCTTTCTCCACATTCTCGTTTCATACATACTATACAAGTTATATTAGGGTTAACTCATTCACTTTCACAGGTTGGTGATATGGAAGGTTCGCTATGGTAGCCATGCCATGCAAACCATTAGTCAACTTCGAGTTCGATGGGAGGAAGGGGGAGGAGGGGGAGGAGGGGGGATAGAAAAATCAAATCACAGAAAGTTGCACTGCACATACAAAAAAACAAGCATCAAAGGATTCTAAACAATTCTGGGCAAAAATGATGAAAGTTCTGAATACATAAACTGCAAAAATTGTATTGGCTTGATCATGGTTTGAAGTGAAATATTTCTTCTCAATAATGAGCCATTGTATCCTAAAATATTATCCTATTATCTCCTTTAAAATCATAATACTATATACACTTCATTTTCAGTCTGCAAAAACCTGTTTAAGATTATGCCATCTTATCTCTAGTATTAAATTCATTTTCCCTCATCCCTTTCTTCCATCATATTTTACTTGTAGTATGTACTTGAGATTCATTTCAAACCATGATATAACATAAGACATGCATCACCACAGCCCACTGACACTGCAAAACCAGCATGATTAAATAGAAGAAATATAAAGCATGACAAGATGCTATGTAACAGCTTCAATGGTAAACAGGGTTACAGGGCACATTTTCATCCAAACAATTATCCAAACATGGCAAATAGTTCGAATTCAAGGGGAATTAAGCCGTTACTGTAACAGAAAGCTGGCCTGAATGAAAGCATGAGAAGAACAGATTAGTGAAAGTGTGGACAAAGGATTAAAAAAAGGCCAGTTTTCTTAAAAAGGTTAATTCCCCTTGTGTTTGCATTGTGAGATATATTCATCATAATGATAATTTCTCAGCACTTTTGTTTCACTTTCATTATTACAAATTTCAAAAAGAGGATAGTGACCAATTTGTTTTTAAAGGTAACTAAATTGTTTATGATAGAAACAGAAGTAGAATCTTTGTCTTCTTGAGAATTAACAAGAGGCATGACAAGACCATGATTGTTTGTTTATTTCTTTTTTTTTCCCCTTTTACTTCAAACCCATGGACCAACTGGGCAAGTACTAAGTACACATCACTGAATAAGTTATATAGCATCATGTACATTAAAATTACACAATCAAAATGTTAGACCAAATCTTAAAATACTTTTAATTTTCATTTCATCAATGTTTATTTTTTATCTAACTACATATTATTTTGAAGACTGCTTTCTTGCAAGAAATCTGGAATCTAAATATTTTCCATTATCATATATTTAATGTGAATGTTGGTACATATATATTGCTCTAGTCTATTTTTCTTTTAAAACTTCAAATTATCATATCTCAAATATAAATATCCATTTATTTTTTATATCAAACCAAACTGTTTAAGAAAGAAAGACGAATCTAGTTTTTATAAAATTATAATTTTCTGATTAATTGCTTCCTTTAGCAAGTTTTAAAGGCTTTGACAAACCACCACCACCAAAATTCAACAAAAAATAACTTACAGGGAACCATATTGAAAGGTAGACCTGCAATAAAGTTATTTGCACAAACAAATATTAAAATTATCACTTGAAATTATCATAAACTTTATTTTAAATATCAACACGTATTAGGTATGTATCATACTTGTATTTTTTTAAAGCTCCAATATTGTATGATGATAG